AACCTTAATGCATTGATAAAACATTGTGTTTTGTGATCTCATCACTTACATATATTAAACAGGTCAGATCTGAGTGTGACCAAGAGAAAGATGAGGCACTTGACAAGCAGCAGAAAGAATTAACCAGCAAATCCCAGGAGAAACTGAACAAGGAAATGTGGAGACAGGAGCAAGAAGAAGAGCTGAAGAGGAGGGTGCAGGCACAGGTGGGTACAGGGGATGCAGGGGGGTGCAGTCTCAGATAGGTATAGGGGATGCAGGGGGGTGCAGTCTCAGATAGGTACAGGGGATGCAGGGGGGTGCAGTCTCAGATAGGTACAGGGGATGCAGGGGGGTGAAGTCTCAGATAGGTACAGGGGATGCAGGGGGGTGCAGTCTCAGATAGGTACAGGGGATGCAGGGGGGTGCAGTCTCAGATAGGTACAGGGGATATGATGTTAATGTCTAAATGTGTTACAGTCTTATAGTTTTAATTTAATTTTCTAAATTCCTTCAAATGGATGAAAATGAGATGTAAGGGTTGAATTATGTGCAAACAAATAGCATATATTTTACATGTTCCAGGTTGCTATGGCCAAAGTGGCCTGGTTTGATGAACAGCGTGAGTCCAAGGAGGCTGCTGTAGCATCTGCCGTGAAACAGGTAGAGAAGCAATGGCAGCTGAAGTTTGAGGAGAAAATTGAGAATGAAGTGGAGAGGAAGATGTATGCTGGTAAGAGGAGAATTATTAACAGTTTACCCTTTTTTAATATTAATTTTATTACAATTTTTAAAATCTAATATACCAAAATGATACACAAAAAAAATAATTTGAACACAAACATGCATACACGTCCAAACACAAGAACACACATAGAAATTGTTTGAGAAATATGTCCAGCTTAATATTATGGATTGATATTAAGGCCAACAGCAAATGCTTAATTGTAATACTGAAAACTTTTTTCAAAAGTACCTGAAACAAGAAGTTTTAAGGTTTTTGATTATGCAACAACTTGAACTTTCCTGATTTCAATTTATAGCTAAATCCAAATTAGAAAGTGATAGAAGACTGAGCTTTGAGAACGAGTTGCTGGAGCGCCTGAAGCTGGAGAAGAAGAAATGGGAAGAGCAGACGGAGGTCCAGATATCGTCTGCTGTAGAGAAGGCCAGGCTGAAGTGGGAGCAGCAACACCAGCCTCAGGATGTAGACAGTCTCAAGGCACAGTGGATGCAGGGACAACAGGAACTCATTGAGCAGGAAGTAAGCACAGCAAATATAAAAACAAAATTGACTTTTTTTCATAAGATTTTATATGCCCAATGTGTGTACTATCTAAAAAGGTCACTATCTTTTTAATATGGAAAAATGTTCATCTGGTTTTTAGGCAGTTGTAAAATATGCATTCAGAAAAGATTCTATGCCTTATGATTTAGCATTATTGCTTTCATTATTCCTTAAACTTTTCCAAGTATTTATATAATTTGTTCTGTCTATGTATTCATTATGGCAATGTGTGTCTTTAGGTTGCCAAAGCTCTAAAAGAAGCTAAAGACAATTGGGAACATGCGCAGAGGTCTGAAATAGAAACAGCTTTGATGAAGGCAAAGCTTCAGGCTGAGACGGAACTTCGAGAAGCAGTTGATAAAGTCAAGGTTACTCACAAACAGGTACAAAATAATTATCTAAAAATATTTTATTGGTGCACTCCAAAATACAGCAGATCAGAAAGTTAGATTTTGCGTTTTAAAAAGAAAATAAAATTGTTGATCCTTGCTGTTTTTAGCAAGGGTAATTGATGTGCTTTAAAAGTTGTTTTCTGTGTGTAAAGTAATATTTATGAATTAAGTTGTATTTTTGTGATAGATTATATTTGAAAAATGGTTGCCTCATTAACAGGAAGTTGAAAGTCTGAAATTGGAATTGGAAAACCTAGAGAAAGAGTCACACTCTGCCAAATCATCATGGTTGGCTGAAAAGCAAAAACTATTGACCCAGAAAGAGGCTGAGCAGCAGAGGGCGCTGCATGAGCTGGAGGAGCAGCAGGCAGCACAGATAAAGGAGATGCAGGAGGTTCAGCTGGGGATTTTGCAGTCTAACCTCAGGAATGCTAAGGAACAATACGATAGAGAAAAGGTAGGAATATGATACATGAGATGAAGTTACATGATTACTTATGATTGGGTGTTTCTCAGATATTGTGTAAGGTGCTGCAAATTATGGGTAACTGGAACATCTACAATATGCGTCATTTGTTCTGTCTTTAATAATATTAAGTTGTCTAGTTATTTTGTGCAATATATAGTAAGTAGTAATTATGTTTGAAATGAGGTCAGTCCTTATTGAGATGTAAACGAGTGTTCAGTTGTCTTTGCTTCTTACTCCTAGACTGCACTCCAAAAGCAATATGAGGAGCAAATAGACCACTTGAAGAAGAGAGTGAAAAGCCTACAGAGTGAGCATGCCAAAGCTGACAGTGATGCTCTGCAGGAATTACAACAACAGTTTTGCAAGGTATGTCATTCTGGCCGCTTGTCTCTACAATAAGATTACTACACACACACACACAATGTTAAAAAGTGATAATTAATGAAAATTGATACAAATTTTCATAGTACTGAAGATATAGTTTCTGTTTTTCAAGGAGAAAGAAGTTTTGGAGAGCACCTGGCAGAAGAGGCTCGAAGATGCTAACAGAAGTCATGGGCACCAGATGGAGACACTGAAGACAAAGCTGCAAGAAGAGACTGAATCTATCCTAGCTGAGGCCAGGAAGGAGTGGACACTGGTGAGTTATTTATTTATTTTTTTTTTGCAGGAGTGGGGGGATGCAAAATGATGAGAATATGTTGACAAGTTTGTAGCTTGATATAGTGCTGTAACATTGACATCACAAAGATTTGTCAAGCACTCAATGCAGATTTTGGGGGAAAGTTGCATAAGTTTATATCAGTAAGCTTTCAGTGTCTTCATACATATAATTCCACTGTTATTTGTTTGATTTAAAACTGCTGTTACATGTCTGGTTTATGAAGGAAATATCTCAGCAATTTATATTGTATCTCTCCCCCACCCACNTCTTTATCACCCCGCCCCCCGTCGAGAGGGTGAGATCCATTGAGGTCATGGGCCAAACAAGTAACGAGACAAGTACCCGGTAAACATATACCAAATTTCCACTTACGTGGTGGAACACTTTAGCTTAAAAAGGAAAGGGGGAGAAGGCACCCGCCAAAACCAAATCAATCCCCTGGAGGGGGGGGTCGAGAAACCCCCCAAATTTCCGTTTCTTCTTATGTTTTGGGGGGGTCAAACCCCCCCAAAACACCCCCCCAACTGCCCATTTTGGGCCAATAACTTCACAAAAAAAACCCTAAAATAAAGCACCCTTTTTACAGGGGAAAGGGGGGCCATTCCCTCCCCCCTTTCCCCAAACACCCCTTTCTCCCCCTCCCTTGTCTTAACCTCAATCCATCTCTATATACTTAAGTCTAAGAGATTCAAGAGTTGGGAACAGATAGTTTGAGCAGGTTTGGAGTTGGTGAGTGCTCCCACCTACTCCTCTCCCTACTTTCCTCCCCTCTTCTCTTAGACAGTGGTAGAGATAGGCAGGTTAACATATTATTACTCAGAATCCTAGACAGGATCCTTCCCCCCCCCCCCCCCCCCCCCAAATCATATTTTGGCATCAATTTTTTACATACTTGTGTTCTGTACTTCAGCAATATGAACAGGAGATGAAGAAGGCCTGTCAGGAGGTGGCAGAAAACCAAAAGCAATTGTGGGAAAATGAGAGATCAAAACTGATGCAGAAAATCAAAGATTTAGAAGAGCAGTTGCAGACAACTCATGCCAACTGGGAGAGTGAACTGGAGACACTGAGAGCCGACATGGAGAGAACCCAGTTCGGGAAGGTACCTTTAGATGGCTCAGGTTCAAAGTCTTCTCCGGAAAGAAAGTATGAACAGCAGCTGGCCAGTTTACAAGCCAGGCTGAGTGCCAAGGAAGAGGAACTTCAGCAGTCTGAACAGTTCTACAGTGCAAGACTGCAAAATGCTCGAGCAGATCTACAGGAGGAGTGTGACAAGGCCATAGAAAGACTGGAGCAGGAAAAACACAGGTTGGCCGAGCAGATTGACGATTTAAAGAGCAAGCTAGAGAAGCTGGACTCCAGGAAGAGAGAGTTGCAAACGGTACTGCAGCAGTCAGAGGAGGAGCACAGACAGAGTGTGAACAGCTACAAGGATAAAAACAATGAGCTGAATGAAAAGGTCAGACAATTGGAGGAGCAGTTGAAAAGTGCAAAAAGTCAACAAGAGAATTCCCTGGACAACCTTCGGCAACATTTGGAAGAGAAACATATGGCTGCTGTAGAGGATTTCAGGTGGAAGTTATTTGAATCAAACAGAGACAATCAGGCAGCCATAGAGAGAATAAACAGAGAACATGAAAGAGAAATAAGAGACTTGAAACAGAAAGTGGAGAATCAAAGGAAAGAAGTTGTGTGCACACCTGTTCAGGTACGTCTGCTCTGAACTCATTTTTTAAACAAAATTAACAAGGAGAGGAGTTTGTCTAAATGTAAATCTCCCAGTAAATCACAATCTGACATAGGTTTGACTGCAACTACCTTAGCTATAAAGATAAGTTTTGAACGATAATGAAATTATTCCCCCCTCCCTCCCCCTCCAGTAAACCACATGGATGTTCACATGGCCTTTTTGTATGAACTTGTTATAGATAAGTGTCCCCAGTGTAATGCTATTTCAATTTGTAACTCAAAGATTCAATATTTCAGACTGATGGAGGTCTTGTGGATGCCAAGCTGCTGGACCAGCTGAAGGCACATTACCTGGAAACAGTGACTAAGATCAGAGGTGGGTGCTTAATCCATAGTTAAGTCAGAGTATCGAATGAATGTCATGAAAAACCAAAATATGCTGTGTGTGTCTGTGTATGTGTGTACACAGTATTCACCATAGTTGCTGCTTCAGGGTTCATTTTTCAAAAATTGATGAACTTTTCATTTGATACCTTCAGTGATACCATAAAATAGGATGACACAGTTTGATATTGTATATATGGTATTATTGATTTACTTGTAAAAGCTAAAGTATGTACCCTGATTGCAGAGGATGTACTGAGGCATGTGAATGAGACCAATTCCCGTGCAGCCAAGCGTGTGAAGGCCGAGGTGGCCAAGGAGAGACAGGCCACTGCAGCCAGGGTGAAGACATTCTGTATCAGGGGCCTGGAGAAGCTCCTCAGTAACATGGACAGGTAAGGGGAAACAAATCAGTATTAAGATTAATTTTGCAAGTGTTAAGACATAGGCCATGGTTAAGTATATATATACAGCATCAATCTTCTTTAACAGGAAGAATTTATCAATATAACAGTTGAAACAATGTCTGTTTAATTAACACAGATGAACATATTTGCCCCTTTTAGATGTGTAAGTAGTAGTTTTATCCTTTTTATTTTTATTCAGTGCCAAAAAGTCGAAGATCATATCAGCCATGAAAGAGCTCCTACTGCAGTTTTCCCCCAATCCTACACCTTCTTCTACACCAAAGCCCAATCCCAGAGAAACTCCCAGTAGAAATAGTACCGAATATCATGGGGACCCCGTGCAGCCTACTAAGGAACACCCCAGCCTCTCTAGTCAACGCACACAAACTCCAGGCTACAGGAACAATACTGCACCAGATGTGCCCAGGTTAAACCCTGAGCAAGATCAGGTCAGAGGAAAAACTTCACATTATGTGGTGGATCTAAGTGTGAAAGGCACCGTGTCCCCAGGACCCCATGGACTCACCCAAGAGGAACCAACCACACCAAGTAGAGAATCGGCCTTCCATCAGATAGGGGGTGCTGGGGGTCCTCACACACAGCAGGACATCTTCAACTCAGATCAGCATGGTGCACTAGAGTTCCTGAATAGAATGGAAAACCAGTATCCATCAGATCACTCCACTCCTGCCCCAGCCCCTGCTAGGGTAGATGGTAGGAACAGTAAAGCTGACGACAGGCAAACAAGCACAGGCAACAGGAGGGTTATCACAGGGAATCAAAGAAACTCTTCCAGATACAATAACTACAGTAGCAATGGTGAAATGGATATCCATATTGGGGAATCAGATGGAGGCTTGAGCAAGCTTCCACAGCAACCACGGACTTATAATCCTTCTCCGGAGAAATTAGACTCTGAGCAGGATTCTAGGTGTAGTTCACCTGCAGAAAACTTCATAACTGTTCGATCTGGCAGAGGGTTTCAAAGGGCTTCCTGTTTAGAGAATGGGTATTCCAATGGTGATAACCAGAAACCAAAACCCTCCCAATTACAGCCAGTTAGAGACATCCCAGAGGGGCGTTCTGCAGGAAGTGCTATGCTTAAACCAATTGCCATGGTGACCAGACATACACAGATGCCATCTCCTGCACCCAAAAAATTATCTCTAAAATCATGAAAAAAAAATTGAGTTTGATAGTTCAATATCTCATGATGAATGATGACACACATCAGTGATAAAGACAGGCACCTGATTACTTCCAAGATTTGAATCATTTAATATATTTAAAGCTTCCATATCTCATCTGAGAGATGCTAAACAATCATTTAATTTATTGTTACCTTCGTGTGAACACTTATTTATTGTCTGGGAGGGGGAGGTTTAAATGTTGTGTTATGGTTTTGATGGACAAACTTTTACACCATGACAAATAATTTTACAAGTTTATCAGTATTATAGAATTTTTGAATGGAATGAATAAATTATTTTTAATGGTTATTAAAATGACATTTTCTTCTTATTCGTATTTTTTAAAACCATGTTGACCACACCTCATTTTGAAAAAGACAGACTTCAGGGGTACTGGTTACTGTTAATGTTGTGGTGCAAACCTGATCACGAGGAATATAATCGTCTCAAAGAAAAGAACTTAAAAACTTGCCACAGTTCTTTTCTTGGTCAATTAATGCCTACAATTATATAAAAGCAATTAGTTTAACTTGAGACTGTTATCTGTAGTCTTGACACAGTTATGTATTCTACCCTTGATACCATTTCCTAAATTATAGTATCTTTTTTATTGGTTCAAGCTATGTCAATGAGCAATGGCTATGTCAAAAACAAAAACCACAAATCAATTGTAGAATATTTCTATTTGTTGCATTTCAAGCTCCATCATCATATTATACAATATAAATTAACAAAAAATCATAATAAAATGAATCACAGTCCATTATTTACATGATTATTAATGAAATCTGATGAAATCAGTATCAGAGCCAAGATATCATTACTAATTGACCATAACGTCAACATCAGAGCTGACCATGATGTCAACACCTGCTAGAGGTAACCTACATAGTAAATTATTCACATAAATATGCATACCCTTAATGTCATATGGACATACCTTGTTTTATGGTGACACTGATTTTGGTTTACTTATACTGTGCCCATTTGGTTGTAAAAGTATTTTTCTCCATCACATGTTGGAGGCCCGACCTCTTCAAAAACATTTGCATTTTTCCAGTGTTGGGAGATCATGAAATATGTTTACAGCTCTTTTTTTACCAGCTTTTTAGCCTTAAGAATTGTGCACCAACTTTTCGTAAATTTTTTTCACCCTTTCTCTATCTCAAAAAGAAATCCCTGTACCTTTGATTGCAAACACAATATTGATTAATTAATTAACAATGACCCAACAACTTCAAATAAATATATCCAGGTTGCACACGTACTAATTTTGCACTAGTCCATAATAAGTCTAGACCTGGAATACTCTGCTTATCACTAATCACACAAGGCAGAGGCTTCCACACACTGATGTCCAGTTGATGTCCTGTATATATATGTCTATAATATATCTATATGTATATAATTACATATGAATAGACTTGGTAGATAGGAATGACAAATAATGAGAAATAGACCTCATAAAAAGGTACACAACCAAGGCAGGTCATAAAATTCACCAGCAGCAAGAAGCTGTTTGTCAATGGCAGACAGAGATATAGCAAGCACCAAGGTAAATTGCATATGTGTGTCTATGATAATAAATACTATCTAACGTACAGAACACATAGTATTCAGTTATAATAAAGTATGGTCACAAATACTACTCTAGGGTACACAACGGTGGTCTCCACTGTAATCATATGGTTCTTAAATTGTTCTATACAAAATCTGACCGTTGCTAATAAATAAATTGTGAAAAGCATAAGGCATGTCATGCCATACCAAAGAATCAAAATATCCATTTAAGTAGAACATAATCATCACGGGGGGATTTTGTACCTTTTATATATATTGAAGGCCTCTTAAAGTAAGTGTGTTTGACAATAACCTTTTATATCACAAAAGGAGTAATTTCTAAGTTAATATGCTTGTCACAGGCTTCAGTGAAACAATAAATCAATACATATATGCAATACAGTAGAGCAAAACTGCACTTTAAAACTGTTCTCAGTATGAAAACTGCAATATGTTTTTCACACTGACTAGGCTAGTTGGAATGGTTTCACAGCAATTTTTACTTCTGGGAAATCATGAAATTAGTAAGGCATTCAGATAGATAGGTGGCACTGCAGGCACCCCAGTACTCAGCTCTTGTAATGCTGGGTAAAATTAATTTTTGAGATCTTTCAGTTTTCACCTCAAATAAATAAGTGTATGACAACCATTTCTAACAACCAACTTGGTAAAATGTCCTCTATATTGCACACCCCTCAATTACTTCAATCCAAAAGTGTTTTTTATTACAATGCTCCTAACTATTGTCTAAACATTAATATTGTCTTAACATTAATATAATTTTGTGCAACAAATTTGTGACAACATCATATTGATGAGCAGACACATGATTTTGTAATTATAAAATAATTTAGATACCTTTTCTTCAAATACACCTTTTGTGGCAACCCTTATTTTAAACATTTTAATTTTGCTACCATGAGATTAACCCTTTTTTTCCTAACTTCCTTTTTTCCAAGTCTTAAACATATTCATGAAGCATACAATTTTTGCGAACAGTGCTGACCAGTGCTACACAGGCATATCAATCCAGGCACAATAACCTTGATATGCACAGGAATCCTATATCTACTTGACAGTGGTCAGTGTTATCCTGTCACTTCTGGACAGTGATCAGTGCTAAGAGAATAGGCACAGTCTAACTTGGGATTGGATAGGATCATCACCAGCCCTCTGCCCAATTACTGGCTTTTTTTTACAGATGGATTCTGTCTTTAACTACAATACACATTCATTTACATAATTGACAATTATCACTGTACATAATTTGTCACCTGGCTTGTGAAAAAAGGTCACTTCCCAACTCTGCTCATCATTTGACATTCAAAAGCACCATGGAATTTTAAAGCTATGCTCAGAACTCCAACAGTATTGCCAGCATCTCTCCCTCTTTCTTTGAAGGATAAAAATCCATTACAATTTTTTCAAGAAGTTAACATTGAGGGTCTCTGGCACCTGTATTGTTTCCAGCCCCAGGTTGGAGGGATTAAAGGGGAAAGTCACCGGGAACATTTTCTTAGTGTCCATTAACAGATTCCCTGCTTGGTTGGCTTGGCGGGTTTTCTTCAGTTGCTCCTGTATCTTCCGTATGAATGCTATTGGCACACGTTCCTCAAACTCGTCCACAGGGGTGTAGAGATTTAGGAGTTTCACAATCTGAAAAGAAATGTAAGAAGAAAATGAAGCTGAATACAGCTAGATTGTTTTTAGCTGCAAAGAGAGCATAGAACACTGACCACCTGCATCTTCGACTCATTTAATTTATACATTTTTTCGCCTCCTTTAATTGGTATATGAAAACAAAAGCTGGTCCTCAAAACTAGAGGAAAGTACTGACTGATGTTACTGGCAGTGAAATTACCAAGCACCAATAATCATCATTGTAAAGAAAGCTATCTTTTCTAAATCAATAACAATGCAGAACAACTTGAGTACCTGTGGCACAGAGAGTGCTGAACACATGTCACATATACTCTCCACATCTGCCTCTGTCTTCCTGGCCTGCAGTAGCTGGGATGCCTGGATAATGGGCTCCAGTTGCTCGGCCGCCCCACAGTCCTGGAGGTGCTGGTCTCGTAACCACTGCTCTATATGACTGATATTATATCTGGGGATAAACAACATGGGGGTATAGTGAAAGACAGATTCAAGCTGTTAAGTGCCCCCCACAGTCTCTTGTAAGTGCCAATATTTCTACCTCTGGTCAAGATCACCACTGGTATATTCGGGTCTAGTGATTACAAAGCATATCTTTCTATAAAAATATAACATGAATTCAGTTTCATTGATAAACTTTTGACTGTATGTTAAATTCTGGGTTCATTAAGACTACTTCATATTTTCATATATAAATGTATATGTATAAGAAATTATAAGACAACTATTCAATACGATAAAAAATAAAATTACCTTATCTGCATCCCTTTGGACCAGTTAGACAAGTCTTTCCTTAATAATAAGTTGTTTAATGCCACAGCACAAACATAATAATAAAGCTGAAAGAAAGATGTTCACCAAAATTACACACAAATTACAAACTTATGAATACACAGTAAACCACTATGTGAAGTATTCACTTATGAATAACTTAATCACTGATGCCTCTATTGTGACAACTGGCTAACAGCTCCTATGCCAGTGTCAGATGTAGATATCTGTATGTACAGTTATAAAGAAATCACCCTAACCTGTTTGAAAACCTGCTTCACCAGCTCAGGGTCCAGAGCATGTGTCTTAAAGATTTTCAAAAAGGTGCCCAACTGAAAAAGAAACAAAAATTATAATTTAAATTATCATCATACCTGTCCGCTTGTCTTATTTCACATATTTCTTAAAATGGCTCAATGATAAATTCAGAATTCAAAATTCCACATAATATTACTGTTCCACAAACATAAACTGAGATCCATGTGATAAGTGATAAAAGTGCTTAAGGATGAACTCACAGCTTTCATGACCATGTCCAGACTCTTGGTGAAGTCATCCAGCTGCCTGGCATTACTGGTAGATCTTCCTCTCATTCCTGTAGGTTTGCTACCAGTTAAACCTGCTATTGCCTCATGTTCTAGCAATCCATGAACTGAAATAATGTGAAGTTATAGCTTGATGTGCCTGCTAAAAAGCCACTGAAATGGTTAACACAGCTTATGTCTACAAATCTAATACACCATTAAGTAAACATGAACAACCAAAATGAGTAAAAAAAAATCTGGCAAAAGGACGGTGTTCCAGCAACTTAAACACTCTGATCTAGGAATCCAAAAGTTGGCAGAATATCATGAGAATCCCCTACCTATCATAGGCTGTAAGTTGTCCTGCAATAACTTGGTCAGAGTCTGGTATATCCACACAGCCAGGTCACTCAGGACTTGTCTGTACTCAGACAGGTCAAAGTTGCGCAGACAATGCTCATTTTGTTTTGGAGTATTTTCAGTTTGGAATGCCTGGAATGGAAAGAAGGTGAAAACTTAACAAGAGCCAAGATGGCAGTGCAATCATCATCATCATTTAGAGCCTATAGTGTTCCACTGTTGGACAAAGGCCTCAGCATGCTTTTTCCATCGTTTCCTATCCTGAGCCTCAGATTTCCAGTTTGGCCAAGGTTTCTTCTTCCATGGCAGTGCAATAGGCCATTGTAAAATATACCTAATTTAATGCACACCAACTCAGCAGCTTATTTGGTTATATGTTTTTACTTCAGTCTTCATGTTTTTGCCAGCCACATGGTAACAATACTACTTTAGTTATACCTTGTCTCCACTGTATTGCTTGAAGTTGTGTAGAAGTCTACAGGTGTTTGCAAGCCACATGGTGACGCTCTCCACATCTTCATGGCGTTTCTGGAAACAAACCCATAACAACTTTGTCATAAAGAAATTAAAAAAGGACACTATCCTGCTTTTTAATTGTTCCATTTCAAGAGCTGAAGCAACTTTTTAGATCTTCATGTGCTTTGCAAATAAGACAGATCATTTTTAAAAATTCCCCGTCAATCTGAAATAATCACCTTGACAACTCTCTTGATTCCATTGATGACATTAGTGAGCAGACTTCTGACCTTCTCATCATCATTGATGTAGTCTGTGTGGCGAATACACATGAAGAAGACATAGGCTGGAAGACCTGGCAGACAGCTCCCTGCTACCTTGGGGCTCAGTTCTGGAAGACATGGAATGAAAATTTTGATATGGGATGAGAACTTGTACACATAGTTATATACTACATGTCAACTTGTACACAAAGCCACATAATACAATAACACATGCCAAATTGCACACAATGTGACACTGGATAGCAACCTGTATACAATCATATTGTGATGCCAAATTGTACAAAATACAATAGGATCCTACCAATATGCAAATTCCCAATGAACCGTTATGAAAAGTTCCTCATGAAAAGTTCACCGACATTTCTACTGATATCCTGTAGTAATCAACACACTTCTTGCTTACACAAAATGGTACAATCATTTCACTAACCCTGAGTAAGATATATAATCTCTTGTCAGCAATGGATGAAAAACAATACCTTGAATCAGGTTTTTGATGAGGAGGGGTTCATCCTCTTTCCTGTATTCCAGCATTCCCATGTATTCCCGTTCTCTGTGGCGGACGCTGGCAACACTGGTGCTACGCTCAAAGTCTGGATTCTCTTTGGCAATTTCTTTCTCCACCTCCGCCATGATGTCTGCCCCTAGAAATAAGACAGAAACATGACTGCTCATAATTTTTATCACCTCAATTATTACAAGCATTGAATTTTAAAATGAGATTGATGTTAATTTATTAATCATAAATATACAACCAATTAATTTTATTCAAATTTTGTGAAATTTTAGCTTTATTTAAAAATATTTAAGTGCAATGGCAAATTAAAACTGCGTATAAAAAAAGTAATAATACCCAATGGGTACAAGATCAGCATAGTGTTGTAGTCATAGTTCTTTAGAAAAAACATAATTCCTGAACTACAAATTTTGTGCTTAAAAAATCATTTGCTTCTCTACAAATGTTTCAATATTGTGAATTACATGGACACATGATTAAACATTTATGTACTTGTGACTAGATAGACTTAAAACATAGTTTATAGTGTTAGCTATGGTCAATGTCGGATGACATCATGAGCTTGGTTATTCTACCACCCAGAGACCCCCCCCCCCCGGTCCCTTAAGATGTTATATATAAAGGGATCTTTATCACCTGGAAATTAATGAGGGAACCTGTGTGTATCTATTACACTAGGCACAATGGTATAATATTAATTGACATTTATGTCTACTAAAAAGGAAGAAATTAATTTTTATTTTGTTTGGTGGCTTTAGAAAGAAAATAAGAAAACTAAATACATTATGCCAAACTTTCTAAAGTGCTATGAGCATTCAAAGAAATTCAATGCTTCTCAAAACTATTCTGAAAGAAGTTAGCTATTCTATAGAGATGTTTTCATTTCATATGTTTATGCCATAAACTTTGCCTTTTTAATAAGGAAGTATTGGAACAAACAATTTTCCCGGTTGATTGGGGGCATACAAGAATGTTAATTAAGTAAGATATTTTGTCAAACAAGAACCAAGAGATAACCAATATAATAATTAAGTTATATGAAAACAGAAATAACTAGTGCTGATTATATGATACCTTTCTATAAATAAAAATTCAAAAAAAAGATAAACATGCTGAGACTTGTAAGAAAAAACTATCCCAGACCATGTGACTGGGATAGCCATGTGACTGGGATAGCCACATGACTGGGATAGCCATGGAATAAAAACATGCAGGTGTGATCTTACCAACAAGCTCTTCACCAGCAATGGCCTGGGTGCTGCCTTTATTCAAGCAAAATTCACAAATTCTTTACGACAGAGACAAATGGACAGAGTTAACAAGCATATCACATCACACCAGACTGCTTTTGTAAAAGAAGACTTGTCACCATATACTTTACTTTAAAAAGACTCCATATTTTAACATTTACACAGGTAGTTTCAATGCTAAATAGTTCGTAACATTTCCCTTTTACTTTAAAACTTGCATTCAAGGCATACCTTGTGCAACATCTCCAGTCTTTAATCTCTTGGCGTAAAGCTTGAGGGCTTTCTTCAGTCTATGGATCTGCTGTTGTTGCTTCTCAATCTGTTCTCTCAGATCCTACATAAAAAAAATTTGAAAATAAACCAAATTTTGAAATAAAAATAAGAAGGAAATACAGCAATCGAGCCCGACTCCCCTGTCTCAAAAAAAAAAAAATCACTTCTTGGTTTTGAATAAATAGTGTAAGTTTAATTGTAAAGGTCAAAGAAATAATGGGTTAAAACAAGGCCCTCACCAGGTTTTCCGAAGTGAGTCTTGTGATCTCATGCTGCATGCAGGCTTCAATCTTTGCCTCTGGTGACAGGGAGAGGTTCTGGAAGAGTAGGCATGAACTGTCAATACTGTCATGATAGCTAGGTTCTGGAAGAATAGGCATGAACTGTCAATTCTGTCATGAATACCAGGTTTTGAAAGGATAGACATGAACTGTCAATTCTGTCATGAATACTAGGTTCTGGAAGGACAGACATAAGGCAGGAACTGTAAATATCAACATATCAGAGCAACAGCCCGCATCTTATATTATATCAGTTTATATTGAACGGTTATATGGCATCACTAAAATTCACAAGTGACCTTTACAACCTTAATGTATTGTGCATTCATCTTTACACAAGATACTGGGTTCACTGCTTTCAACTGCCGTAACTTGCTATATTATCATCATAACAATTATAAGAATTTATTTTATAATGAACACATTCATTTAGCTTAAACATGCAGTTTGCAGGTTTCCAATATATATTAGTTGTCTCCTCGACAAATAAAGTATGTTTTGGTCAATCATGCAGCTATCTTTAAATTGAAATAAAACACCTTAACCATTAAATAAATAGGGAATTTGAAAATACTTTATAAGTTATATGAGACCATGTTGAATTGATTCTGGTTCAAATCAGTAAATACTGAGCAAGTTAGTTAAGGTTTTGGAAAAACAGAACTCCACTGTTAATGAAGGCAACATGAATAAGGTACTTTTTAATTTTAATTATAAAAGAAAATATTAGCAATATTTAGTAACCTAGTTTGAACTGAAAAGAAATAACTAAGAAATTTACCGCAACACCTCGCCAAGGAGAAAATAAAATGTGCATGCAACTGGGATATTTAAGTGAGAGAAGCCATGTTTAGACAGGAATGCCTTCCAAGTAATCAACAACATCTTCATCAGCAGTTTGATAAAATGTGCTGACTATTTTAAAATTGGAACTATTCCATCTAAGCATAGTTTTCTGCAAGCTGATATCTATGTCAACCATTGGGCAATGAAACTGAAAGTAAAATTAAAAAGTGCTGACACCTATTTTTATTTTCAGTCAACAGAAATGAAAGTGAAAGTATCCCATGCATATACCTACACTTGCTACCCTGTTCAGCTGCATACACATTTGACAGGAAAGACAAAAGTTCAGAGATAAGAAAGCTCTCCATTAAAGATTCCCATTCTATAATTACAGTTTTTATATAGAACTTTCGGGGTTTATAAGCACAACATTCAATTTGCATATCTAACACAAAGATAAGTGATTAACTGTTATTTGAGCAAGAAATTAAAAGGCGTAGTTAATCCTCAAAAGCCTAAGACACAACACTAATTCGTTCAAATCCCGCACAGAGCCAAGCAAATCAAAATGTCTAAAAGGAATGTCCTGTGAGAGTATTCATAGTGCAACAAATAAGTTTGTATCTACATCTACAGCAAGTTTAGTGTCAAACACTGCTTTTAAGCTTAAGCTACAAATTTCAGTGTAGAATGACAGCCAGCCATTAAGTCACTACATTTATCTACCTGTCCAATCAGTTTCTGTTGCCTGTCATTGTCCTGCTTTAGTTCAGTGAGTTCATGCCGCAGTTCTTTCTCCATCTTTCTGTATTTATTCTGAAGCTTGTCTATCTGCTCTTCTTGCATTCTGAAAACATAAATATTAACACGTGTTGATGCCATGGTGTGCTTACTGACTCTTTATCAATGTCTCACATTATCAAAGCTTTTAATCTGAATGACACGGTCACTGAATTTTGGTCATTTTGCAATTAATAATACAACAAGTACTCCAGTATTATTTTGCAAAACTGTAATTATTTTGATAGGGTTACAAAGAAACATACTTCAGCAGTTCTTTCTGAGTTTTATAAGCCATGGCCAGCTCCCCATCCTCATTCAGTCTGTCTACATCTCCCTCATAGTTCTCCTTGGCAACAGAACTCTGGTCCCGGCTCCTGTTGACCAGTAGCGCTCTCAGCTGGATGCATTCTTCACGCCTTCTCTCCAACTCATCTGCCATAGCTTCAAATTGGTCTGATTGGACAGAAATTTTTTTGATTATTATAACAAAAAATTTACAGCTACATAAAATCATGAAAAGCATTATTATTATCATTATTATTTTTTTTATTATTATTATTCAGGCATGATACCAGTCCTCACTGAAAAAGTAGGATTTACATGATTCACTGGATTTGCACAATTCACAAGAAGGACCCAAATGACCCTGAAAGGGTCGAAATGCCAACAAAAGTTGGAATTATTATTATTATTATTATTATTATTATTATTATTATTATTATTATTATAGTGGGGCTAGCTAAATCTACAAGTTAATACCGATCAACATATGATAATATTTCCTTTTATTCCAATCTATTTGCTTTACCCATGAATTCTTTCCCAGCTACATTGGACCCTCTTCTGGAAAGATCTACACTCTCTTCAAACTTGGAATTCATAGCGACTGCTGCTCTGAGGCGCTGAAGTTCCTCCTTCATCTTTGTATTCTCAACTTCCAACTCCTGGTTCTGGAATAACAACAGCTGACAATTACCCACCATATTTTATAACCACTGATAAACCCGAGACTTATGCCAGCAGAAAATCCTAGCATAAATCACCAATCTGACGGTACTGCCTCTGGTCTTTACTTGGTTAACATTTATATATACTGCTGTGACTGTGGTGTAAACTTCCATACTTACACAGACAAGTCTAAACTCTACAATACAGTTCAATCTAAAATCATCAAACGAAGAGAACAAAACTTTCTAGACATTACAAATGTTGAGAAATGTTTTCCTTTCTTCTTCAGAATAAATCATAAAACACATGCCACACCTTGATGGCCTCGTACGCCTCATCCCCCAGCATCCCCAGCTTGGAACCAGCCCTGGGTCTCTCCTGCTGGTCTTCATCCAGTAATTCCTGGAGCCGAGCCCTCTCCTTCTCCAGGTCCTTCACTCTGGTCTGTAACTTGATCATAAGACCCACATCCACCTTCTCTGCATCTTTCTGGAATAGGAAACAATGTTATGGATGTTACCTGTGGGTTTTAATAGCTGCAGCTTACAAAACAGGCAGTCAACTGTCCCCTATTCACTTACATAGAAATATGTCATTATGGTCCAGTTTGTGTTAAGATATCATGGAAGGAGTGCAGGAGAGGTTACATTATCAAAGCCTATAACTTGCTTGGGAGCAGGTTCAAATCAATCTTTGGATAATTTATCAGACTTCTAGACAAAAAATATAACTATTCTGACTATGAACAAAAATGAGCTTCAAATACATTCTAAATGACCAAATATAGGGCATAATTTTTGCAAACCTTTTCATCCATGCTATTTCTAGATGCAGATCTTTCTTTCTTCTTGCCTTCTGCTGAGCTAGGGCTGAGCAACTGGCTGCTATCTTTGTTTTTACTGGCCACAGTCTCCGTAGTCTGGTTCCAGTGCACAGCTTCAATACTTTCACGCACTCCTGTGTCTTCTTTCTTCCTCTCTGTGCCATAACCCTGGTCCTGAAGGATAACAGAAAATGTTATGTCATTTAAATTTATATATTAGGACTTTTTTCACATTTTCGATACCTTGTTAAATTCTGAGCACCAAGGTGTTCCACAATTATTTTGCAACTTAACAGTCACATCTGAATAAATGACTTCCAAATACCTGTAACATTTCCTCTTAAATTCAGTTAACATGAGAAAAAAAATTGGTTAAGCAAAGCCTGAGAGGTGTTCCAGGAACTTCTCTACCATTAACAGAATATACAATACTGAACTGCACTCCCTCTTCTCTGCCCAGCCATCTCCTTACCTCCTCCCCTGGCTGTACCCCATTCATGGCCTTCTCTGCCAGCTCACTCTCATCTTTCTCCTTCTCAGAAGCAGATGTCATCTCTGACTCCAGGCTGATCCCACTGAGGTTGGACAGGTTCCTCCTGTGTCCAAGCTGTAACAAGTCTCTCTGGGGACTGGTCAGATCCTGCATAGTCACCAAGGAGAAAAAATATTAGATCCTGCACGCAGTTACCAAAGAGATAAGACATTATGTCCAGCATATGGTCACCAAGGAAATTAAGCACTGTCTTGCAGTTATCAAGGAGACTAGATATCATATCCTGAACAAAGTTTCCAAGGAGATGAGACATAATACTGTTCTGTGCTGAGGTTCATTTAAAGCAATACATGATAGTAATGAATGATACATTATAAAGACACATGGAGATTAGATATATACACTAAAAATATAAGTTTAAGATGTGGATTTTTACTTCATCAAAAAATTTTGTGATTAAAAAGGTATGATTATCAGACTAAATCGGCAAATATTTTCTTGCAGTGATATCTGATATATGCACTGTTGAATCTGTAGTAGCAAGTAGCATTTATGATATAATTATCAACGTTTTAAAAAGTTTCAGACTGTGGCATACATGAAAATGTTAAAACTGTAAAGAGTGAAAAATCATTTGATCTAAAAGCAACCTTTTCTCCACTACCTGAGCCTCAATTAAGATTAAGAAAATCAAATATCAACAAATATTAATATCATGAAATATTTTATAAATAATTTACAGAAGTGATTTTTCTTGATTGCAGGAGTTTCTTACCGTGACCTCTCCCTGTAAGTTCTCACATCTCTGAAGCAGACGATTGTACTCCTTCACCAGTTTCTGGTGGTGTTCTCTTTCCTCGTCCAGTTCTCTCTTCAGCTGTTGATTGGCTTCCTCTAGCTTGGCCCTAGCAACATCTGAAATGTAGGCCATCATTTCAACTGTATACTTAGATATTTAGATTAAACAACTACAATCATGGTAAATAATATTTTGGACACTGACCCAATTTTAATTAAATTTCAAAGATAGATAACAAAAAGTAAAGTGATAAATATTTGACAGACGATCTACCGATTTTCAGTCTGTATCATATAGATATTACTGATAATGGAGTCTCCTTGCCAGTATGCTATTTATGTTACTTACTAGGGAGGTGAAAATACTGTAAACTGACAAAATTTTCACTCTGTTTAACCTAACATCTCTCTCTCAATTTATCTAGGTACAACGAGTTAATTACGAAGTCCAAAATTTCAACTGTATACTACGATATTTAGTTTAAACAACTACAATCATAGTAAATAATATTTTGGACACTGACCCAATTTTAACTTTGTCATTTGACCAAATTAATATGAAAAGCAAAATACAAAAAAAACTTACCATCAGCAACTTGTTCTTGTTGCTTGTTCTTCAGATTCAACTGGTTGACCTCCTCTTTCAGTTTCAGATTTTCCTCTATCAGACGTCCCACCACCTGAAGAAAGTAGATGACACCGCCATCAGAAACTAACCCAGATATACTGACTACACTGAGGTTAACAGGTGTCAACAGAAAAATTAGATACTATTTCCGCTATATCCCTTTAGTTGAAGACAACAACACAACTTCAATTTGCTTTAAGATGCATATCTCATGAAGTTCTAGTTCACCTCACTTGGGTAAAGAGACAATCAGGGCACAGCAAAATTGCACTACCAGGCTGATAAAATTCTGATACAAAGGTCCTTTTATATACATAACACATAGGTCATGCAAGGGGGTTCTTCACCTCTTATAATGTAGAAGAATTCATGCCATGGATCTTGGTTACCAACACAGATCTCAGCCTTGGATATATCTCATAGTGGAACATAAATTAACATAAAATGAACCCTTTTCTACAATTTAAATGCCATCAAAATTATCATGACAATGTTGAAAAATTCTTTAACTTTCTTCAATGTAAAATGTGAGGGATTTTTGCCATATCAAACTGCTCATTATGAAATCTACAGGTCTGAAAAATTAGAACTGTCCACAAACCTGTATCAGCCTACATTTATGTTGTTGTCGCTGCATTTCAGCATCCAAACTAGCACTATTACAAAAATTATTTAATATTTCTTATTAAAGCAAATGTCAGCTGAAGATCCATATAACAACACTGAGATTTAAATGTGATACAAGTACTTATTAATGTCTCATTTCCCCTCACTGTCTTGTCTAAATCATAAAGAAATATTTAGAAATAATATAACTACTTCAAAGTGCCTTCAGGTATCTATCACAGAGAACAGTCATTATATAACAATTTTTCTTAGTAGTAAACCAGATATATGATGGCCATAATGCAATCTTCATAAAATTACCATCAAGTTTTATGGGTTAACAATCACTATTCTACCCCATACTATGTCATGGTGTACCTACAGGCCCGTAGCCAGGGGGGGTTCAGGGGGTTCGAAAGAACCGCCCCTTTTGCTGGGAAAAGGTCCACTCTGGGTAAAATTTGATGTAGGTTCATGAAGTTTTTATGGAAAAAGGTCCACTTTTTCAGAAAAAGAACACCCCTTTTGAAATTGCTGGCTATGGGCCTGACCTAGGCTGTGTGTACACCAGAAGATGAGTCTAATATTGCATAGTATTTGGTGAAATAAATAAAACTTTTGACCCATGTATGATTCACCCTGTAAACACACTAATTGAAAGGTTTATGGTCACACCAGTTCAAACTATAGTTCACTGTATGGGATGTCTCACTAAAGGAAGTTCACTGTACATGTCTGTTCTATCCACCTGATAGTTTAGAGTCAAGTTACAGGTTATTCTAAAGGCACATGATGAACATCATACCTTGATATAGCAAAAAAGCATTTTTCCTGGAAATTTCCAGACATTTTTTGGAAGTTTCCCCTTAATCACGCAAGTATAGCTGTTCAAAGAATCTGATTCATAGACCTATTTTTGAGTTTTAAGTTTCTAGTTTTTTTTTAACCACTCTTATAATGGAGCTAGAGACTGGACTCTACCTCTGATGGTAAAAATTACAGCACACAGAGTGGCTTTATGACCATTACTTTCTCAGTGGTTTCAGATCTGTTTCATACATAAAGGTCTTCTGTTCATGAGCAGAGCATATGTGATCTTAAGTTTCCACTTGATCAATTTCATAGCAGCTGCAAAATCTACTTCATAGAAAATATAAAATGACTTCCACAATTATGATCCATGATAATGACCAAGTGATAGGGTGATGTCTTACGCCATACACAAAAATAATATCTCTTATTTCAATTTATACTAATCTATCTGAGATTTAATGAGAAATAACAATATAAAACACCAAATTATAAATCTCCTTGCACTTTTCATCTAGGGATACAACATCCCTAGTTTGCTTTCTATGAGACCGTGAGATACATGGCTGGTTTTCATTATAAAAATTAATATATGTATCTAATGCCCCTCCCCCCACCTCCAATCATTAATACTCTCTTGATTTGCACATCTTACAACATATCTGCTAACTCCACCCACCTCTTCGTGTTCTTTGGCCTTAAGTTGTTTCTCAGTTATGAGGTCCTGTTTCTCCCCCTTCTCCTGTTCTAACTGGGCCTCCAACATGGCCACTGTCTGCTCCAGCTCAGCAATCCTGCTCAGGTAGGTCTTGGAGTTGGACTCCATGTTCTTCAGTTGTGCCATTTGGTTCTGCATGTCACGAAGCAGAACCTGGTCCTCTCGCAACAGACCTATCTCTTTGTTCTATACAAAAATTAAATAACGTGTGTTAAGTAGTAAATTATTATTTACGATAGAGTACAAAGTGCTCTTATAGATATTAATATATACTTCTATCTTCACATTTATGAAGGGAGAAGATAAAACAAAGGCTACTTAAGATTTAAAATATCACATATTTTGTCTACTTCTTTTTCTTCTTTTTTTCATTTGCTGACTACAATCAGTAATTCTGTGCTCTTACCTTTTCGTCCAGTTTATGTTGCATTTCAATAATCTTATTCTCAAGTCCCAGGTTGACTTTCTTGATGTGCTGGACAGAACGGGCTTCAACCTGGAGACAAAATGGTTACAAAGTCACAGAAAAAAACAAAATATAACAAAACATTCAAGTTCTTTTGCAAAAGAAAAATGTTTTAGTAAAAAACCAATGGTTGTAAATCATAATTCATATCATAAAATGTACTGTGATATTTACTGTTTGTATCATTGTGCATTATATTAACTTAACTGCACATCAAATGGCTCTGATCCTACCTTGAGAATCTTCAACATCGCCCTGGCCTTTCTTCTCCTGTAGTGACTCTGTATGAGAATAATGCCGCGCATGACCTTCCTGTACCGTCTCTTGGCCAACCAGCCGCGGATGTGACTTTGTATGATAACGGCCTTGTGGTCACGCAGCACAGCTCTGAACTCTTGTCTGCCAGCCATACCTCGCGCGTATTTCTAAAACCAAGTACAAAATGCAGAGTTTGCATTATGTCTTTAACTAGAAAACAGTAAGTTTAAGCCATACATTTGAAGGGTTGTAGCAGAGCATATTACCATGGTAACAAAAACTCATTTTTGTCCTTCTTTGTTGGACTTACACAAACTGATGCTACACTAAGAGCATAAACCAAGGTATTAAGTGATTCCTTTACTTTCCTTAGCAGGGTTTCCACTAGGCTTTAAATCAAGGATCCATGTTGTCTCCAATAGAAAATGTCAAAGCCATTGATTCTTATGAAAATATGGTAGTACTAATGACATCCAAAAGGTTGTGCTACTATAAACCTGGTTTAACAAGAAGTAAATGATCTCAGCATTACGTGACTACCACCCACCTGTATAGTAATAACAGCCTGTCTTGTGCGTAGATATGCCTTCCTGACCTTGTACCCACGCCACACTTTCTGCATCCTAGTGGCAGCTGCAGTGCGCCGTAGATGGAGTGCATGTCTACAATGGTAAAAATATTTTTCAAACTAACTGCTGCAAATACTTCCACATACAGGCTGGCTTAGGTGAGAGAACTGGAGTAAAAATGATGTATGTTCTTCCATTATTGTTTGTTTTAATCCCCTGTCCAAGCAATACCATGTTACATATTCTCCAAGCTATCACATAATGCTAATAAATCATATCATTCACTGGTGATTTGCATTCATAACTATTGCATTGGCAATTTAATGCAAAATGCCCAACCTAAAAGACCAGTATTTACCTCCTAGCCAGCATTCCTCTACCATATGTCTGTACCAGCAGAACACTTCTCCTGATCTTCTGGTACTTCCTGCGCCACAACCAACCACGGATGTGTTTCTGTATCATAATGCCACATGCATACAGCTTGTCAGACCTCAGCTTCTCTAAGTAAGCCACTTGGCCAGCCCGGAAGAAAATCTTGCTTTTACCAAACTGGAATTTGTCTGGATCCTATTGGAAAAAATAATGAAAAATTTTCAGATATAAATATACCTCGTTTTTGTTACTCTTTGTATACTACTTGACTATGACCACAGGGGCAAAATTCATTTTGAAAAATAAAATATTTCATTTAATGTCACTCCATGCATTTACCTGTATAAGCTTTGATAAAATATTTCTGCATGTTTGCTTCTTGTCTTTTTTCACTATATCTTTCTTAACAGACAGCACCCTGTAGCGTTCATAGAACTCTGGATAGCTCCACCTGTAGGACAGAACAAGAGACATTGTGTGAGATGAAGTAATCTTCTAAACAAATGTCACACTGGGTTACAGTAGAAATACTGCAAAATGGAAATAATTAACCCAATGACCAACACTATCCATATTAATCAGCAGTTAAATTGACTACTAAGTGACACATCTGTTCAAATTAAAACACGACATCAGAGCAAAAAAACAAGCTGTACAATGACAGGTCACTGACACATGTCACTATAAAACAGAAAAGTTGTGGGGACACCTGTCTGAAGAGCTTTCCCTTTCTTTCTACTCTGAACAAATATGATTTTTTTTAATTGGGACTGGCAATTTCATTTGTTACAGTTGCATTAACCTCAGAATTATTTTGAAGTGAACTAAAAGCGTAATATATTTTGGCAGTGATGTGAAGTCTACATTGTGTATAATAAAGCAATGGCTGAAGATTAAGGCATCATTACCTGGATGGATATCCTGCTGAACTGATACGAATTGTTTCTAAAACTCCACATGCTCGTAACTGTTGCACTGCTCGCTGGGGCTCAAATCTGCAAGCATGTCCAAAATAAAGGATACAAAATGTATTGGTGTGTAAGATGTATATCTAATTTTACAGAAATACATTCTTATATTTATTTCATTCCATTTTAGTGCTTAAAAGGTTTATCTCACATAACACAAGACAAGAAACACTTTCAAGTGATAGGATGTCTAATTTTCAATCAAGCTCAAGCTTCATCGAGTACTGCACACAAGGTTAAACTAAAGCAATAATACGGACTGCTTTTACCATATCTACATGGTTTTAACTGTAGTATTCATGACTTACGTGAAAGCCTGTTTCATATCATTGGGTTTAATACACCTGATATAGTGCGGATTGGTAGAAAACAGGGTGTCCATTAGCTTATTCAGGGAGTCCCTGAACTGAGAACCAACTGTCTTCTTGTGGGACTTGGAACCCTTGGGTTGCTGAGTACCAGCTCGGATGTTCACCTTGGCTGCAGACGTTGACCCACTACGTGGTTTCCGCTGCTCTTCTTCTTGGAACAAATCGGCCACTAACTCATGCTAAAAATGGACACAGTTGGTAGTTTATGTAATCAGCAGTCAATTTGCCAAATAAAAGAGAGGTTGTCAATTTTTTTTTTCCAACAGCACTCCAGAAATTTAAGTATACTACTTATTACTAGGACCATATTAAAGCCAAAACGAAGTCAAAAGATCTCAGACACACCTGAAGTTGTCAAATATCAACTGAAATAGATTAATAAATAATATTTATTGAAAGGGCATATCAACTTAATCGCATGCAAGGGCCCGAAATAAATAAGTTTCAGATAGCAATTTTTTCCAAGTTGTATATCAGTTACCTCACTGGCTTTGAGTATATTCAGCTGTTCATCCAGAACTGTGTCCCTGTTTTTCTCTAGGAAGCCCCCAGACTGGTACTCCACGCTGTCTGCAAAATGGATGATTACAAACGCAGTCTCAGACATACGCGGCTTCTCAAAGTGCTTTGCTTTCAGATGGCGCTGATAGAGTTTCCTACACCAGCTTTCATCAGAACCCTTAGGCATCTAAAAAATGGAAGAAATATTTTATTAAAACTATTTACAAATCAGGCAGGAAGAGAACACATTGACTCGAAGTGATGTACAATTTCCCTATCTTTATTCAACCACACTTCAAGTCTTTCAATTATTATTTTTTCCAGCATTCTTCACTTATGTGGGATCTCTTGTGCTCTCAATCCATTTACACTTCCACTGACTTTATTTCCACTTCACTTAGCCCACATAAATTGCCTCTGAACCAATCAATGAAAGCATTTCCTGAATGCCAAGTAGTTTAGCATTTGGCATTTACACAAACAATCCTCTTTTGACCCTTGAAACACAGGTTCAAAAGAAGATTTAACCCCAATGCAGGAGTAACTCAGAACTTATCTTTCTTTATCTTTACCCATAGGTCAAAGTAATGAGTCCATCTTCTGTAACACAAGGAGGTCCAGTCTCTCTAAATTGCTTTTAAGAGGTATAACAATATAAAACACCAATTTAAAAATCACCTTGCACTCTTCATCAAGGAGATCCAATATCCCTAGCTTGCTTTCTATGAGATCGATACAGGGCTGATTGTCATAAAAATCAATGAAAGACCACTCTATTTCCTCCTTCACATACTCTTCCTGCTCCAGTTTAAACACATGCTGGAAAAGAAAACAAATACAAGGTGTCATTTTTCAATTCTAGGATATATTCAGGCAATCAATTGTCAAGGATTTTTCAATCATTCTAGTTACAACATACAATGTGCGCTATGATGGTAATTCCTTTCAATTTTTCCTTCATCAATCTAATCTTAAAAGAACAATGTATTCAAACTCATTTACAATCATAAACAAATAGTTTAGCAAACAAATAGTTAATTAATAACCGTTACTCTAAGACTTACCAATGTGAACTGCTGTTGCAGTTTTTCATTTGCATAATTGATGCAGAATTGTTCAAAGCTGTTTATTTCAAATGTTTCAAACCTGAAGCAAAAATGATTGGAAAATTAAGACTTGCATTTAAGGAAATAAGAAAATTTTCTAAAAAACATATTAAATTTTTACAAAGCACCACAACTCAATTTCATTCAAACAAAAAGTTTTAAGTGATTTTACATACTTTTCTTACCATATATAAAATATATGTTACCCATATTAAGTATCTCTTACCCATATATATCTAGCATCTCTTACCCATAGATATCCAGTACCCCTATGAAGTTAGTCTGTTTCCCTGTACTGATGGACAAGGTTATGTTCAACATCTTTACTATCCAATCAAATAGCTTGGCATAGATGTGCTTTGCAAGAGCATCACGCGAAAAACAAGCCTGAAAACGAAATAAAACATTTTACAAATATTATTTTTCTCACACTCACCAATTTTAATTTCATGAAATATTTGCCAAATGATGAACTTTGTTATCATGGCAATGGAAAGTAAAAGTATTCCAGAACAATTAGCTAATTCATCACCAATTTGGTCAAAAATGAGAATGTAGTTAGAGCAGTAAAAAGAAAAAAAAAGATCCAGATGAACTCACAAAAAACATTCCATTACATTTAGAATCAATTCTAATTCACATCTCATGCCCTCACTTTTTTGGTATCCAGTGGCGTGATGAGTGTCTCTCCCACAGTGGTAATCTTCCTGTTACACAACCACTTCCTGGTCTGCTCCTCATCTATCCCCAGCAGGTCACACATTGTCTGCAGACTCTTGTCTCCCTTCTAAAATATGGAATAAAATACTATTAGATACACAAACTTTACTGAATCAGATGCTTATTTGGTATTTTTAACTTTCATTTACCCTGCTGATTCAGAATATAGGAAAAACAAAAATACAGACTCATATTTATTTTTGTGAAATATCTGGTTACATTAAAAGGAAGGACCCAGTACCTTTATAATGGCATTTTCCCCATCCTCATCCTCTGTGATATTAACATTACCAAAGTGCAGAATGGCCGACAGAATTTGGAATATCATCATCTGTTGCTTCTCTGATATGCCTGTGATATTAAAACATTATGAATTTATCTCAAAAAGACAACCAAAATAAACTTATTCAGTGTACTATTTAATTCATTTACTGCACTTTAAAATACACATGAGCAGGAAAAAATTAATTCATTATTCTTTATGGGCAGTAGTCTCAAAACTGATAAGTATACCTAGCAGTGTCATAGCTTCTCTTGTGTTCAACATCTCCTCAGCATCATCAATGCCATCTACAGTTGGATTGCAGCCTTGGAATGTGTAGTAAAAATTATCCTGATGATCTGAGAGGGAAAAAATGCAATAATTTTACATATGTACTTCAAACTAAACTGAAGAGGGGTGAACTACTGAAGATAGATGACTGGATTTTTGATAGATGAAAGGAAAAAAAAGATTAGAAAATGAAAGTGATTTCAAAACACTGGTATAATGACCATAGCAGTTTCAAAATACATATATTTATTTATGTATAGATTTACAATATACTACTATGCAATAATCGCTGCTGAATTTAAGGAATCGCCTACACTTTCCCTTTACTTAACACAGCAATTATCATATAAATTTATTAATAAGCAAGTCAAATACACAAATTTCATACACTAAGTGCATGCATGTTGGGCAATAGCATAACTGCAGCTGCACTTGACTCAATCAGCTGATCAATACAGTGCTAAATATATGCACTCAAAGTGAAAAAGAATACTGAAGTAGTTTTATCAGTTTTCAATAAATATGCCACCTCCGCCACTAACACTCTTAATGCAGCTGGACAGGTTCAACTGTCAGGCTTTGTGGTTAATATCTATAGACCAAATTAACTATAAATAACATAAAAAGTATTTGGCAATGTTGTAGGAAGTGCCAGCACAGTTAAAATCTTTAAGTAAAACACCCCGAGGTGAGGTGCTTAACAGCTTTGTAATCAATGTTTTTTTCCAATTTATGGATCCAAAATCCCAATGTTTTTGTGGTATGTCAATAAGCAGTTTGTATCTCCACTTGACTCATCCCAAACACTGAGAACCCCCACATACCCTGAGGTTCATTGACTAACTATTGACTTAAAAGCCCTCTTACACAATTAAGAAACTCTTGCACTGAGTGACCATCCATGGAAATTACCATTGTTTTCACATTGTTTCCAAACATCTAAATATTTATTGAAGAGTGACTCACAAACAAATAAGCTATTGAATCCTGAACATTTTTAATGCTACTTTTGGGAAAAGAGCTAGTATAAACATACAAAAAATATACGAAGGCCATAGTTTACATCAGATTTCATATTATATATGGCTTTCATTTTCTGCTTATAAAAACTCACCTAATTGAAACTTTTCAAATTCTGGGAGCTCTGATGAGGCACACAGCTGGTAAAATATATGATAATTTCTTTCTTCTGGAGCTTGAAACACCACTCTGAAAGTAGTCATGTTAAAAATAACTTTTAATTAACACATACACTTGAGTATGTATACAATACTAAATGTACTCATCAAACAAAATTAGCTAAGAGGGAAAGTTGAACAGTTGCTCTAAATTTTACTTGAAAGCATTTACAATATCAACCTATTTTCTTTTTGTTCCCCTCTCCAAATTCATACACATGTATGAGTCAGTATGACCCCACAACCTTTTTCAGACAACTTACCTGGATTTCTCTAAAAGATAAGTTCTCATATGAGCTGAAGTGATGTGATGGTTCTTTTTGAAGCCTATTTCAAGATATTTTCCAAATCTACTACTGTTGTCATTTCTGGTTGTTTTGGCATTACCAATGGCCTGAAATAAGTGAATTTTCATATTTTTATACATCATGCAATACAAGTAGTGTTTGTAAGATCAAAGATGTTTAAAAAAGAAGAAATCCACCAAAAGTCAAAAATGAGTCAAAAGTTTCTTCATGGTAAAATGGTAAAGTTTAACTGCTACTTACACAGAATATTACTTTTTCATATCTGTAGTATTGTAATCATTTACATTAAGCTTTCAAAAGAAATAACTAAGGCATTCTTCAAGGACTTGTGCACCCATACCTCCATAATAGGGTTAGAAGCCAGTACTTTCTTTTCAACTTGTGTCTCATCAGTATGAGAGCCACCCACAGCAGCAAAATAACGCATGGCATACTTGGCAGACACTGTCTTCCCAGCTCCTGACTCTCCACTGACAATAACTGACTGGTTCTGGTCAAATCTACAAGGGTATCAACAGCAAGTTAGATACATATCACAGGTATAATATGATAACATTACAATTACTCACCTGTTCTGATTGAAACACCATAATGATAATGAATTAGTCTCTCTCTCTCTCTCTCTCTCTCTCTCTCTCTCTCTCTCTCTCTCTCTCTCTCTCTCTCTCTGTCTTTCATGGGCACACACACACACACACACACACACACCCACACACACACACACTTACTGGACCATTCTTTTAAAAGCTTCCTCTGCCACAGCATATATGTGGGGGTCCATGGCACCCATGTCCTGACCATGATATGCTTGGATAATGTCATTGCCATAGATGTCCAACTCCTCATAGGGATTGATGGCAACTAAGACAATACCTGGAGATAAAAAGGGAAGTTAAAATTTATCATCATAGTCACAGTTAATTCTTTTTTATTTATTTCTTTAATTTTCAAAGCAAAGTGCAGAGCCATTCATCTTTATCAAATTTTCATTGCTAATACTTGTTGACAGGACATAACTAGAAACAATACATAACAGCCACAGGAACTGTGACAAAGTGCTTCCTTGTCTCAAAAACATATGGTTTCAATCTACAGGCAACAAAATAGCCCTGATGCCACAGTTTGAAATATAGAAAAACAATATAAAATTAATTATCTAAAAAAAGTCTTACCACAGTAGGTATATATGTCATTCCTATCACAAAACCGGACTTGCAAATTGTATAAAACTGAAAAGAAAAACCCAGAAAAGAATCAGCAATCCACTTGACATATTGAACATTGGATATGTGACATTTATGAGCAACCCCCTCATTGCATTAACTCAAAAAGTAGAAAAAAATTGTTTCTTCGATTTGAGGTAAATGGATATAGTACCAAGTTTAATTTCACAGACAATTTCATTTGTGTCAGGTTATTCAAAACCAAATCAATTCTTCTGCTTATTATTCCAGCTCTCAGCCTCCGTTATAACATTTCCCAGTCAATACAACATCACTTTACCATTTCCAAACACCTAATCCAATTACAACCAGAACATTAGACATAATGGACCAGACAGGGAATCGTCCAATGTAACCACCAGTTCACTTATCTCCACCTCTGAGAATTTACTGGGAAGGAATTGGAGGAAAGTCTTAGCTCAACTGGAATCAATGAGCACTGGTTACTGGTGTTTTTTAAAAAAATGTTTTCCAAACGCAATGCACACAGGTTAATGTGAGGCAAAAGTGGGAGTGTTAACATTACCTCAGAGAGCACTGGCCATATCAACACACACCAAATGGCTCAAATCCGAGCCAATTCATCCCAAATGACATCAGCCATGCACTCTGTGAATTCTCAGAGTGGGCAACTGAGTGGGGATTTTGTATACACCTTTTAAAATTCATGTACACAGAACACATAAAAATGTGACAGCTTCCTGCTTTATGGGCATAATTAAGGGACTCAAACTTGAAACTTTCAAAATGCATGAGTTAGAATACATTGCATAATATATTTGATTGAAAAAAGAATGATGCCCCCCCTCCCCTTCCATCAAGCAGTGGCCCCTGATGCCTCTTACCAGCTGGTTCATGAAGATAGCTGAGGGAGGTCAGGTCATTCTCCCCTATCAGAATCTCAGGGTTCCTCAATGGGGGCAAGGTCTTCTCTGTTACACTGATTTCACTGGTCTGAAAGATAAGGAAGTTAAAGTTAACTGATTTTAATGTGAATAAGTTTATTTTTCTCTCATTGACTCTAGACAGGGCACTGAAGTATATCAGTGGCCTTGGACCCCCCCCCCCCCTTCCTTCAAGGTATCATAGCATAAATGAGAGAGAAACCCATTCATCCAGATAAAATATTACAGGTCCCCCAACTGTCAGGTGTAGTGTCTGCACATTTAAGATAAATGTCTCTTTTGGGGACCTATGTCACTCTACCTTATCAAGCAATAAAGATGTAATTAAGATAAATGTAATGAACATAATGTCTGGCTTTCATTTTGTATCCCAGGGGGAAATGAATGGGTACAATGTATGCTGGATGCCGATGTGGCTTTATCAGGCCATTTCAGCATACAGGTAACTTTAAGGATCACATTTGGAAAATATATTACCTGTTGCTGGGCAATCTCAGTATAAAAAGAAACTAAAAAGCTTAGCAAAAAATATGTTGACATAGAGTCCAATAAAATATGTACAACACACAATACTCTTTTCAATAAGTCTAAGCCCATGTAATTACTAGTACTCAAACACTTCATAGTCCATATAATATACTGCAAAAATAATGTAAACAGCATAAAAATGAGTATTTGAACAAAATGAACTTCACATTTATTGTAACATATTTTCAAGTAATAATAAAAGATAACTAAAATTTGCAAGAAATAAAATTGATTCATATTACACTGCCATGCTCCATCATATCAAAAACCATGCAATTTTCTAAATCATGGAATCAGATGTGCAAGTTAATAGTAATATAGTTATAGATGTATAAGGATCTGTGAGACACCTGTTACTGGTGAAGGGTATAGAACACCTGAGACATAAATCATTGTCACACCTGTCACAGGGGTCAGAATGAAGGTTATTTTTTAAAGTTTGCAGTATGGCTGGCCATGGAGCTTAATACAAATGCTATAGCATATTTAAAACATGGTACTGCTTGAGTAATTCCGCCTGATATTTAGTTACAATTGGGCAGCCCATAAGCAAAGGCATAAATCTGATCTTCTCATAAAAATTATCAAAAAAGCCATTGCTATGTTTGACACTAACATCTTTGTGAAGGATTAAAAAAGCCTATTGTGATGATGCATTTTGCATTACAGCTTTTTATGTGACATGGTATGGTTGTTCCCTGGATCAAATATCAAGCATGCGATTAAAGCATTATGTTTTTGCAAAAAAATACTCATGATGAGCAAGTATTTGTCAATGCAAACTGTGCAGTTGTTGTCATGTTTACAGAAGCAAAGTTATTCAACACTTTGATGACCCCCCTTCACCCATGACCCCCTGCCCAAAAAATTGGTTTGATGGCTGTATAATGCTACTTTCTAACACAGGTCAGTTAGGTAATGAAGTTGTTTCTGAAATTCTGTGGTAAAATTCTTGCTGGACAGAAGAGAATTGTGCGCAGAATTAGCCAGAGAGATATCTGTGAATGCCTTCAGCAATAAAATTGCTCCCTGGCCTTAGCAAAGGGTAGTACAATGCTGGATGCTAAAACTACAGACACTTTACCCACTGGGGATTTCTACTGTTTAATAGTTTTCACCTTAATGGACAAGGTTACATTTCCATAATGGTTACCTGGTCAGTAATGACTGGAAAGAAAGGGTGTAAAAGAATCTGAGACTACCTAGATGAGTTTTTGACTGAGAGCAAAGGTGGTGCTACTTACTACTGCCAGCAGAAATCTAAAACTGAATATGCCAGGATTTGTTCTCAGTCTTCCAGCCAATGAAATTTATTATACAACATTGCTACCTTCCAGGATTTTAGAAATTTCTACATTCATTATGACCTGGGTGCCACCCTACTCTGAAAATACAGGATCCAATGTTTATTTAAAAGATGTGAAAAGCAAATCAATATCAAGTTTTATGGGGGCACAAGTGTGCATAGTTTTAAATACCACAGGTATGAGTAAGTTGTCACCTGTGCCCTGGGGTGCCTGTTATATATACGCGATAGGCTATTGTGGTAATAACTCTCTCTGAGATTGTGCAGTTCTAAATAAATTAACCTTTTGATAATAATAATAACCCTTTGATAATGTACCTTTCAAGTTTCAACAAAATTGTTTAACCCTTTACAAAAGTTATTCCTTATTAATCTATTTGTGAAGTTAAGGTTCACTGATTATGTATTTTTCAAAATAAAATAAAAATGTTCACTAGTCTATGGACACTAGTCTATGTTATACTATCTGTGCTGCCTTGAGGTAAAGTGTGTTCAGTAAATATAAGTTAGCAGTTATAATCCTTGGTACAGCTTAGTTCTCAGCTTTGACTGTTAGGCTCACTGGTTACAGCCTGTATATAAATACCAATTGTGTTATTCCCTTCTGAGAGCAAAAAAAAAAAGTTTTTAATAATAATGAAATAAATGGGGGTCAAAAATGAACAACTATCACCATGCAGTCACACACAGCAACTAGTCTGGTTGCCATGCGTTACCTGTTCTGCCTTCTTCTTGAGGGCAAGTTGGCGAAATGTGGCATACTTGGACTGTACCGTATACTCCTAGACAGTGGCAAAATATGGCTGAACTCCACATTCTTATTCATATTTTTAATTTCTTAATAATACTATTATAAATTGTACATGTTATGTACAGTCAACATTAAGGTCATGATGTTGAAGGTAAAAATAGAAAAGTAATCATGCTATTCAAAATGTTATTATTCTATTCAACTACTAGCTGCTATGTGTAATTTTTTTTTTTTCAGTCTAGCATCCTGTTTCACTTAAACATTCATGAATATGTTGCATGTATTAAATACAAACTTACCCCTTCCTCTTCATATTCTATTTTCAGAGTTTTCTGTCCTTTGTAATCTTCCAGGAGAACAGCTCCAACCCAAACCGTCTCTGGGTGAGGGATCCAAACCCGCGCCCCCTAAAACAGAACACATACAGCATTCACAAACTAAAATATATAAAAATACAGCTGGCATACAATATCAATTTCTTTCCTGGAAACGTTCCTGATCTTCCACAATAAGTAGTATAAATCAGGATCCCAAAGTTAATAAATGCACAATCATTCATTACTGATGTGTTCACAATTTTTTTTAATTTAACAATTGTTTGTCTCAAAACTGTGTTTGACATACTGCAAGGGGAAGGATAAGGCTTGACATTAAGGGTGGCCCACTGGCCCTGGGCCACTGAAAACCAACCAAGGGCCATTAAATCGCTGGGGTCACTGGCCCAAAGTGCAAGTAAAATGTCATGTGTCTAATCATTCTTGCAATATTTACTGATATCTTGGGCCAGTATAAAAAAAAGTTAGTGTCAAGCCCTGAAGGAGAGGGGATTTGTTGCTCAACTTTGAGTATTTGGCATGCATAAACTCATTAACTAATCTTGAAGGAATATGCAATCATTCTATTACATTTCCCTACCAAATTTCTCTATCAAATTTTAAATCTGGCATGGGGACAAACACTTGTACCTTTTAATCTACATCTCTGTTGACTTTGAAGAGTTCCTCTCGTAACACACTATTTATCTATATAGTTACCAAACCATCAAATGTCATGACACTGTAAGCTACAGGGTTGAACTTTTACATTTATATAAAACCGTTATCATCCATTTCCATTCAAAACCCCTTTAGTCCAGTTAATTTGTAACGCAACTTCATGGAAGGTTAAATACTTTATCAGCAAACATACTACACCATGCATGGAAACTTTCCACAGGGGCTGCTACAGGTGATTAAATACTTATGAAAACTGAAAGATTTTCAGTTTGTTGTGACTGAGCGAAAGCAGGGATTACTCAGTGCTGATAACAGGTGGAAAGGGGATCACTTCAACCCACCTGGTCAACCCGGTGCCTAACACTCTACACAGTCTAGTAACTGATGACTGTTTACTTGACATTTAATGAAAAGGTAAATGTTCCTATCTATACCGATTCCTGGTTGTTATCTCATAATATCCCTCAAAAGGTGATGTTATAATGTGTTGTGGTGCCACTTTTGCCAGACTAGGCACTCAGATTAAACCACGGACACCAGTGAATCATTCTGAATTAATGGGAAACTCCCCTTAAAATAGCTTGTATATTACTGATTAATGAAAGGTCAGATGGCACTGATGAAGCCAATATTCATGTCACCTCTGCAATGAAACAAAATNGCGTTTTATGAATATTCATCAGCTCTGTAAATATAAAACCAAAAAATAAAACTGTGTTCCACTTATCGTGTTTACAGTGAAAGTGCACGGCGACGGCATCGGCATCGGCATCGGCGACGACGGCGACGACAGACGCAGGTGATGGCAATATGTACAGACACATCTGTGTCTGTACATAAAAAAGCTTAGCAAAAAATATGTTGACATAGAGTCCAATAAAATATGTACAACACACAATACTCTTTTCAATAAGTCTAAGCCCATGTAATTACTGGTACTCAAACACTTCATAGTCCATATAATATACTGCAAAAATAATGTACACAGCATAAAAATGAGTATTTGAACAAAATGAACTACACATTTATTGTAACATATTTTCAAGTAATAATAAAAGATAACTAAAATTCGCAAGAAATAAAATTGATTCATATTACACTGCCATGCTCCATCATATCAAAAACCATGCAATTTTCTAAATCATGGAATCAGATGTGCAAGTTAATAGTAATATAGTTATAGATGTATAAGGATCTGTGAGACACCTGTTACTGGTGAAGGGTATAAAACACCTGAGACATAAATCATTGTCACACCTGTCACAGGGGTCAGAATGAAGGTTATTTTTTAAAGTTTGCAGTATGGCTGGCCATGGAGCTTAATACAAATGCTATAGCATATTTAAAACATGGTACTGCTTGAGTAATTCCGCCTGATATTTAGTTACAATTGGGCAGCCCATAAGCAAAGGCATAAATCTGATCTTCTCATAAAAATTATCAAAAAAGCCATTGCTATGTTTGACATAAACATCTTTGTGAAGGATTAAAAAAGCCTATTGTGATGATGTATTTTGCATTACAGCTTTTTATGTGACATGGTATGGTTGGTTCCTGGATCAAATATCAAGCATGCGATTAAAGCATTATGTTTTCGCAAAAAATGCTCATGATGAGCAAGTATTTGTCAATGTAAGCTGTGCAGTAGTTGTCATGTTTACAGTAGCAAAGTTATTCAACACTTTGATGACCCCCCTTCACCCATGACCCCCTGCCCAAAAAATTGGTTTGATGACTGTATAATGCTGCTTTCTAACACAGGTCAGCTAGGTAATGAAGTCTTTTCTGAAATTCTGTGGTAATGCAATGTTTATTTAAAAGATGTGAAAAGCATATCAATATCAAGTTTTATGGGGGCACAAGTGTGCATAGTTTTAAATACCACAGGTATGAGTAAGTTGTCCCCTGTGCCCTGGGGTGTCTGTTATACGCGATAGGCTATTGTGCTAATAGGGTAACGCCCAGCTTTTTCCAACTCTTTCTGAGATTGTGCAAAATAAATAAATTAACCTTTTGATAATAATAATAACCCTTTGATAATGTACCTTTCAAGTTTCAACAAAATTGTTTAACCCTTTACAAAAGTTATTCCTTATTAATCTATTTGTGAAGTTAAGGTTCACTGATTATGTATTTTTCAAAATAAAATAAAAATGTTCACTAGTCTATGGACACTAGTCTATGTTATACTATCTGTGCTGCCTTGAGGAAAAGTGTGTTCAGTAAATATAAGTTAGCAGTTATAATCCTTGGTACAGCTTAGTTCTCAGCTTTGACTATTAGGCTCACTGGTTACAGCCTGTATATATACCAATTGTGTTATTCCCTTCTAAGAGCAAAAAAAAAGTTTTTAATAATAATGAAATAAATGGGGGTCAAAAATGAACAACTATCACCATGCAGTCACACACAGCAACTAGTCTGGTTGCCATGCGTTACCTGTTCTGCCTTCTTCTTGAGAGCAAGTTGGCGAAATGTGGCATACTTGGACTGCACTGTATACTCCTAGACAGTGGCAAAATATGGCTAAACTCCATATTCTTATTCATATTTTGAATTTCTTAATAATATTATTATAAATAGTATATGTAATGTACAGTCAACATTGATAAGGTCATGAAGTTGGAGGTGAAAACAGAAAAGTAATCATTCTATTCAAAATGTTATTATTCTATGCAACTACTAGCTTCTATGTGTAATTTTGTTTCAGTCAAGGATCCTGTTTCACTTAAACATTCAAAAATGTGCTGCATATATAAGATACAAACTTACCCCTTCCTCTTCATATTCTATTTTCAGAGTTTTCTGTCCTTTGAAATCTTCCAGGAGAACAGCTCCAACCCAAACCGTCTCTGGGTGAGGGATCCAAACCCGCGCCCCCTAAAACAGAACACATACAGCATTCACAAACTAAAATATATAAAAATACAGCTGTCATACAATATCAATTTCTTTCCTGGAAACGTTCCTAATCTTCCACAATAAGTAGTATAAATCAGGATCACAAAGTTAATAAATGAACAATCATTCATTACTGATGTGTTCACAATTTTTTTTTAATTTAACAATTGTTTGTCTCAAAACTGTGTTTGACATACTGCAAGGGGAAGGAGAGGGGATTTGTTGCTCAAATTTGAGTATTTGGCATGCATAAACTCATTAACTAATCTTGAAGAAATATGCAATCATTCTATTACATTTCCCTACCAAATTTCTCTATCAAATTTTAAATCTGGCATGGGGACAAACACTTGTACCTTTTAATCTACATCTCTGTTGACTTTGAAGAGCTCCTCTTGTAACACACTATTTATCTGTATAGTTACCAAACCATCAAATGTCATGACACTGTAAGCTACAGGGTTGAACTTTTACATTTATATAAAACCGTTATCATCCATTTCCATTCAAAACCCCTTTAGTCCAGTTAATTTGTAACGCAACTTCATGGAAGGTTAAATACTTTATCAGCAAACATACTACACCATGCATGGTGAGGTTCTTATTAAACAAAGTGGAAACTTTCCACAGGGGCTGCTACAGGTGATTAAATACTTATGAAAACAGAAAGATTTTCAGTTTGTTGTGACTGAGCGAGAGCAGGGATTACTCAGTGCTGATTACAGGTGGAAAGGGGATCACTTCAACCCACCTGGTCAATCCCTTGCCTAACACTCTACCCAGTCTAGTAACTGATGACTGTTTACTTGACATTTAATGAAAAGGTAAATGTTCCTATCTATACCGATTCCTGGTTGTTATCTCATAATATCCCTCAAAAGGTGATGTTATAATGTGTTGTGGTGCCACTTTAGCCTGACTAGGCACTCAGATTAAACCACGGACACCAGTGAATCATTCTGAATTAATGGGAAACTCCCCTTAAAATAGCTTGTATATTACTGATTAATGAAAGGTCAGATGGCACTGATGAAGCCAATATTCATGTCACCTCTGCAATGAAACAAAATTAAAAAACATTAAGGAACACACTATAACCCCTTCCCTTTACAGGACCATATTGTTTAATATTCTCTCTTCATAAACTAATTTCTAAAACAATATCAAGTTGATTTATGTTCCAAGAAGATACCCACCTTTTCCCACAAGTCATTCATGCTGGTATTCAGTCCTGATAAATTTTATTAGTTGAGAAAACATTTTCCTTGATTCACTATGTATACCTTGATTAACTGTATCCTTCATTCACCACAAGTTCACTTTCAATTATATAAAATATGTTCAAGTCCTTCATACACCATATAATGAAGTATCTGAGAAATACTACAACTGTGTAGTCTGTGTATAAACCAAAGAACATAGGGCAGATAACAGTTAAGCCCAGCTTTCCCTGTAGCATTCTATTGACTACAGTCAAATATCATAGATTTTTCCCCTTCTATGCCTTAGCAGTGGAGCTATTTTGTAATTGGATTGGCAGAAATGGCTCAGTCTATCCACGTTAATGGGCAACATTTACGGAGGAGCTTTGTGGGTCTTATCAAAGAAATCCTATGTACAACTTGATATATTAGGCAATTATGGCTATTACTTTTACTCTCATATTATATATCACAAGATCCAAAAGAAACTTTTGTAATCTCAATGTTATCAAAGCAGTAACAAAGTATATTGCTCAAATGCCACAACTAGTCCATAAAAAATGGAGATAAATGTACTGAACATTTCATATGTAGAACTATTATAAGTAAACCAAACAAAGATAAATATCAGAATTTTCCGCAGTATAAAAGTAATAATACAGGTTGATAAAACCTTAGTGTAAGCCAGCTTTTGGTCAGATGTTATCTTAAACAATACACTCCCAGTGAAACCCTGTTCAAAGTCTTTTAATCAGCAGGTTCAGGTACACACTTCAACAGTGTTTTGATCTCGAGATGAAGACCTACATGTAGAGTCAAGTACACATGTCACTATCACACCTGTCAGAAGACAAATTTCATTGTAGCAAACCCCTCCTGTCAGAAGACAAATTTCATATTACCAAAACCCTCTTTATTAAAGAACAGTTAACAGATGACAACTCTTCATTTTGATGGGGGAAAATGCCATGATGATACTTAACTGAAAAACTGTTGACTGACAACAGTACAACAAATTTTAGACTACTGATAGTGAAGTTGCTGCATATGATTTCATTTACTTGCAAGAAGTCATACTGTAAAAAGGGGGGGGGGCGATTCCTTATTTTTGTCATTCATTCACATAATAGATTACAAAAAAAAAAAAAAAACTGCAACAAATCATTTCTAAGGACACAGCTTTTACGTTTGCATATTTACCATATACCATTTGGGTATCAATTATCAATTATCAATACTGTATTTGATATTTGCCTCCAGATCCCAACCTAATCTGAATGTTCCTCAAAATGTACAAAAAAGTGATGGGATTCAATAGCAATCCTTTTACATAGTTAAATCAGCATATTCTCCTTTTCGACAAGTTTCCATTATTCTGATAAAATGATTAAAAGTGCGTGAACTTAATCACTAAATTAATTATGACAGTGCAGTAATAATATCATCAGAGGCATCACATCATGGATTTGGTGTTCTATATTCAAGCAGAGTTCATTTATCATTTCAAACAGCAATTATACATGAACACCACGAAGTTGCAAAATGTGGGTGGTACTGGTCGTTCATTGGTGACACAACACGGCTTTGTCTCAGGTTACAACAGCTGATCAACTTCCAGTTTCAACTGTTGCTCGAGTCAACAGAACTTCTTAAAAGGCAATAACTTTTTATCTAATACACATTTCAGTGACCTTACCTTGGTGTATAATTCTTTCGTAGACATCTTCTATTTGTAAAATTCCGTTTAGGTGTGCAGCGTGTCGTCACTTTCCATTTTTGTATTATTGCTCACATGACCAAAACAAGCGACTGGCTAGTGGCCGCCATATTTACGCCCCCGATGACAGGCGTGAAAGTCCGAGATCCCGCTAGGAGGCTTTTTCGTGGCACAAGACAAGACTAGTCGATACTAATCAAACGATGTAATAATAATAATAATAATATGTGTATCAAATTATTATTATTATTATTATTATTATTATTATTATTATTATTATTATTATCTCGACGTTTTATGTGCACTTTGTGTATCAAATATATGTAACACCAATGATAGTTCAAAATACATGCATTTCTAAAAAAAATCTCAACAGTTTCTCAAAGTGCTGTTATCTGAAAGGCAATGGCTCGTAAATGAAAAATTAAATAGCTTGGAAAAAATGTTTGAATATGTTTTGATAAATTTAAAAGTAATAATTAATGAACAAGCTGAACTAGTACTCAAACATGCAAAAAGGATACCCTTCATAATCATTAAATTTTTTTAAAGAAATTTCATTAAAAAAGAATCAGAAAAAATAATTCCCTATGAAATAATACCATATTTCTTTTTATTTCATTTCACATATTTCCTTTTTGAAAAAGTGACATTTTTTAAAATCTGTACACTACCTTTCAATGAAAATGACTGCAGTTCACTGAACTTTAAACCTTCATCATTTTTTCAAAGTTTTTACAGCCATGCTAACATTTCAATATGCAACATGAAGTTTAAAGGGGTATACTTAATTTTCTTCTAAATATAAATGGTGTAGTAATTATGAATCCTATAACTATGGGAAATTAATTGCACTATCAATTTTTTTTATGCCTTTTGGCACAGTATTGCATCTTCTGTCAGAACCAAATGGCTGAAAGATGGTTGCCAAATTATCATGAGATACTTGCAAATGTCTGCTGAAGAACTGTTCTGTGACCTCACACAAACTCAAAATGAGGCCTCTAATTGATAATTCAAACATGTAGATACTTAAAAAACATTTTAGCTTACATACAAACATTTTCCTAATAATATTTCTATAAGGGCAGATTACATTTGTTCTAAAAAATGGATTCTGTTAATTGTTAAAATTATTAAAATAATCAATTACTTAAGTAGTTCACAAAAATTAATTAGTATATTCCCTTTCTTCTTTTAATTTTTTGCAAAAACAAAATACTTGTTCACTAAGGAAAGTTATCTAACACATGTACATGGCAAGCCTCACTTTTTCTAATTAAAAGTTAACACTAAAAAAAGATATACAAAATCATTATATAAATTTACAAATCTATTTAAATCACAACAAATTATAACTAAAAACAGTATTTTTACAGGACATTTATCCAAATTCAACTGCTGTGGTGAAAAATATACTGAATGCAGCTATCACAAGCAGCACATACGACACCTGTACCACACTTCTCCTACTGAGAGTACAGTAAACTGCTTCAGGCAGTATGTTTCATATCTATCATTTTGATAAATATTATGACTTAAAGAGTATACACCCTTCTTTCAAACATCTACCTAATGAACTCTTTTTATCAAAACCACAAAAGCCACAAATCACTATATCCACCGCGCTGAAAACAGACATGGTCACTTTCACTTTTGCTTTCAGCATTAATGATTTTATCCTATAGATGGCGAAAAAGTGCATGCACATGTTTCCGAAAAAGTGTTCATAATATTTGTGTCATATGCAATACAAAGAGCTCAAGAAGAGACCAAGAAATTTATAAAGAATAAAAATATGTGAAACTTTTCAGTGTTCATGTCCTCTTCTATTGCTCATATTCATAGAGACCGGGTACTGGAGTAGCTTTTCTTGAAGTATGTTACATGCCGCTTCCTTCTTCCTTTTCCCGTCTCTACGTAAACAGGTACATCAAGACTTCTAAATTATTTTATTGGGTTTGTGTAAATGTATACTGTCTCCACTGGTTACTTAGATTGCAAACAATATAGTGACGCCATACGTAAACATTTTACTGGTATAAAAGCGTAGACACATTATACTTATTAAGTACATTACTGTAACCGGTAGTGCTTAAAAAGTTTTTTTATTTGTACTACATGGCACACGTAGAAATTATTGTACATGTAATACATGTAACATCGTACAGCATTGCCTTAATTTTGCATTCTTCTGCAATCTAAATTGCCTGATGTGGTAAATTACAGACTAAGGGATTCGTATTTTAATATGGACATTCGGACCTGGCTTTAATTGTTAACTTTAACTGACCACATGTAAGTACATGTACATGTAATATGATTAAATCAAGCAATTGGCTCTGCTTATATATTTTTATAGGGTTGATATTCAGTGTTTGAGTTGAAGATGGATGACACAGAAACTGACACTCCTCCCAGCAGAGGAGGATTCGTAGATTTAGGGAAAGATAAAAGGTAATTGATCGAAATTATTTGTGCTGTAATAAAAATTAATGTATATACTCAGTACTATATAAGTACTAGTACTAGTAGCACAAACTATCATGTCCTGGATCTATGAGGCCTCATGCACTGATTTAATGTTATGGATGACATCCTGTGGAGAACCAAAAACTAACACTAGAGGACCAAAAAAAATCCTGTTAAATTGAAGGAGTACACAGCTGGAACCACGTGCCAGACACAGAGTATCAAACAAGCAACACATCTCTTAACACAAACATCTTCACATGTTAATTATTCTAGATGATTTTTAAAAGGATAAAATTACTGGTCCGAGAACCAAGGGGGTCATCTGGTCCTCTGCTACCGAGTCTAGCCAATTTAAACGAAGTGACACATGCACACAACCTGTAGGTGTAATTTATTATTTGATTACAAGCCAAGAGAGAATACACATTAATGATAATATCCTCATTTAGTTCCAATTGAATCAGATTTGATATTTAGTTCTTGTATGCTATTTTTGCTACTTTAGTGATAATATTAGATTATTTGTTTTTATCTTAGGCCAGACAAACAGGTGGCTCATGTAAGAGCAGGTCCAGAGAATGAATATCCAATGGACTATAGATACATGGGAAAAGCAATCATATTCAACATCATGGAGTTTAAAGGCAGTGGCATTAAAAGGTACAATGAGACAAAATTAGTCTAAGTTTAGATTTCATTTGGTTGCCATTAGTCCTTTTTTTTTTGCTTCGTTTTAATTGTTTATTTCTCTAATATTAATACCCAAAGATGAGAGCGCATATCATTTTCAGCTCTTAAAGAAATTCAGAGTAAGATTAACAGGGGCAGATCCAGAGATATTGTCTGACTGTCTTCCAAATAATCTTCCTTGATCCATCCAATTTTTGACTGTCCTCTGACAAAAAAAATTAGATACCTGTCAATGTAATCTTGAAAATCTGACCCATCTTCCATAGGATAAAGTGGTTGAGTTTTCATGGATTCAAACTTTTTTGTTATTGCAAGATGAAAAACAAACATTTAATTCTGATGAATCTGCCATTGATATAAATAACCTTCTCCTATTGGAAAACTTTGTCATAGACCACTTAATAATTGACTTAAATCTCTTAATAATTGTCAGTTTGAAAGGGTTTTTTTATAGATACTGGTACATTTTTTAATTGAAGACAATATTTTGTAGCATGTTCATGAATAGGACTTTTTTAAGTTAAAGTAGCCTTCCTACTTATACCAGTAGAATTTTCAAGTAGGTGTGGACATTTATCATTTACATACCCTAACGAAAAAGTCCTGTAGAACCCTATAAGATCCTATAGGAAATTGGGCCAATTTCCTATAGAATCCGATAGGATCTTATAGGATCCTATAAGACTTTATATATGTTTAATTCCAGGAAAGATGTGGATGCTGCAAAATTATATGGAAAATTGGAAGATCTAAAGTTTCAGGTGTCGCTAAAAAACAATTTTTCAGCTGAGGAGATAAAAGATTGTCTTGCAAGAGGTATGACAGGTTTAACGATAAATGCTAAAATAAAAATCATAATGATTTATATTTAAGATTGCAATCCAGAGGGTTGAGGTTGTATATGAAATTTAAAGAGCATTGCAATCATAATGAAATGCCTCATGTTTGAATGAAACTACCCATTAGTTAAAAGACTGCTTCTGGAGCTTCATAACTACTGACCATGAAATACAATAATGCATTTTACTATGTGAAATTTAAAAAAACATACTGAATAATGGAGGATTGAAATCTTTATGTATTGGAATTTGGCACATAATATCTCATTTTCTGTTGTTTGGTCTTAAAAATGATTGGATTGCTAAAAAAATTGATTTAAGTTCAGTTTGTCTGAGGGTTCATTTATTTTGTAAAAGAAAGTTTTGCACAGATCTTCTCTTATTTTATCTAAAGTTCTTAAGCATATTTGACTGGGTCAGAGCTAAACCATAATGTAAAATGGGGAAGTTATCCTCAGTGCACAACTTTGGACACAATTGAAGAGTATACGTTGCTCTACGCATTAGTCCATGTACCACACTTGGCAGGAATATTCTAGAATTGAGTGCACAGTTCTTTGGTAAATTCGGAGTTCTGAGCTTGTCTCATTTCAGTTGATGGAAAAAAGTCTTGCAAATGCTTTTTTTTATACATGTATGATCCGCATGAGTACCACATTTCAGATCATTGCTTATATAGGTGCCAAGAAGCTTGAGTTCAGATTGGGATATTATGTGTTACTGTTGGTGGGAGGTCTGGCATAGAGTGTGTAAAATTTTGAGTCAAGCTTTTTGATTTTTGTGGCATTAAACTTGATGTCATTGTTCTCTGTCCTCTGCATGATTTTGTTAGATGCACTCTGCAGTTAATTTTCATGGACCCTTGATGTTTCATAAGAAATATATGTCTTGTAAATGTTTATGTTTTCTAAATGTTTAGAATTTAGGAGTTAAATCACTGCCAAAATATTTTTGTAAATAATGTAAAAAACATTGTTTAATTTTAGTTGCTAAGGAAAATCACCAAGATATGGCATGTTTTATGTGTATCATATTGACCCGTGGGAGGGAAGGTCTCATCCTTGGTAAAGATCGGTCTATCCCAGTGGAAGAGTTGCTTCAACCTTTCAAAGGAAACAAATGTCCCTCCTTGGCTGGAAAACCCAAGATTTTCCTCATTCAGGTACAGTATGTACATTACAGATTGATGATCATCTGTTTTATTCAAGTTAAAGATCCATTTAAAGTCGAATTTCTGCCACAAATCCCAAACTTCAAAGGAAATCAATGTCCATATTTAGTTGGAATTTTTTCTCTAATCAGGTAATGTGCAATATGTTACAGATTGGTGGGCAACTGTTTTATTCAAATTCAAGATGCATTTTAAGTCAAATTTCTGCCGCAAAACAGGACCAAAAACCACTAATACCAATGGACATTGTTTCATATTTCCAGAAAAATTATATTTGAACGTACATTTTCTATTTTTTTCTATGCTATAAATATCCCACAGCAGTTTCATTTGAATAAGTATACAGTCCCATGCGCAACTATATGTCAATACATGGGAGTGAGAGTGATGAATATGAAATGTGCTCGCTGTAGTACATAATTAAGCAGATAATGAACTGAAGGGACAGATAAATAGGTCAATTTAGTACAACCAAAAATTTGAAGAAAGTTCAGTTTTCAATTTTTTAGCTAAATGAGAGCTTAATTTGGTTTATGACTTGGCATGTCAACTTTATTTTAGTCTAAATAAGAAACTTGCAAGTATGGTTTTTATACCTTACTGGGAGTCCACGTTTGCTTAATATTTATCTTTAAATGCTTCCTACTCATTTTGATACAATATTATGTTATTTAGAGACTTACAATAGGCGTTTGAAAATGTTCTTAGGTATTCATGTATTACATAACATTGAGTCTTGAAGAGTTAAATTTCCATTTAAATTATTTTGACATAAATAATATTAACACTGAAATGTAATTTTTTTTTCATTTTCCCAGGCAGATCAGGATATTACATTTGAAAAAGAAAGTGCAGATTTTTTTCCACTGGGAACAAAATATAAACCTGAAGAGACGAAGAAATACCGTATTCCAGCAGAGGCCGATTTTTTGGTAGCCACCTCTGTGATTCCAGGTACACTAATAAGTTCTTCCAGCTTAATGTTTTGTAAATATCAAAATTATATGTAATATTTATGGTATAAATGTTGTTCCTTCAAAACAAATAGACATTTTGCAGGGGAAATAATCATTCTTTATCCCCAGTAGAAAATTTCATTTATTTCATAAAAATGAAGTTATCATCATAATACAAGTTTTTTCTCTTGTCTAACAAGATATTTTATCATTAGATCATTATTTCTGTCAATTTATTAGGAAAATGGTCATGGGACATAACTTTGCCTACAGCAAGTCATTTCAAAAAATACAAAAATGCCTCTTGTTTCATACATCATCTTTGTGAGATGCTTGAAAAGGAAAGCGAGCAGGAGGAGGAGAGTGAGAGGTTGGACCTTTTAACCCTGTTTATGCGTGTATCCCAACTGGCGACTTGTGATGTCCAGCAGGCTCTTGGGGACACCCATAAAGCTCTCTTTGAGGAATATGATTTAATACCATGTGTCACTTCAACACTGACCAAGGACATTATATTTCCTATCAGTGATTAGATCACTTATTGACAATTAAGACATCAGAACACAAAGAATATGTTTTCTCAAAATAAAATCAATATTGACTTATAATAAAAAATGACAGACAAAACTCATTATGATTTTTCTATGGAGGCAAACTGATTTTATTTTCCCTTAAAGCATCTGTCCCATACATATATAACTGGCATCATACTTTTAAAATCATGAAAATATAACATTACGGTATTTGTGGAAACCAGGAACACCAGATTTCCTCCCTACCACCTATTGTAAACTGTATAAATACTCACAGACACCACGATTCTACTGTGACTTGACAAATCAATGAGGAATACCAACCAGATTTCTTAGCATCCATCTCTGCTTTGTCTATAGTATCCCTTCACAAACAGGAATTGCACATTACACATTATTTTTGTCTAGTTGTACATTTACAAGGACATAAAGTGTTTTCTGTGCAAAATATAGTACATTAATAAAAGCTACTAAATTTATGCCTTTTGCATAATACATAAAAAAGCTTCAATCAAATATTTTAAACACTGAGACAAAAAAAATTTAATGTCTCCAATATTAATTTTAGACCACGTCAAAACAGCCTTACGTGAATTTTAGAACTGGTGAAGAATCATGCAAGCATGTCAGTTGACAAATATATTTTGTACTCCTCTTTATGCAATAAATTTGTACAAAACCCTATAGTGTGTGTTGTGGTCCTCTTACTGATCTTATACACATTGTATGCCATGGTATGCTCTAATTTTTTTTTTTTTTTTGGTATATAAATGATAACCACCAAATCCAAGAGAGGGTCAAGTGGTACATTTACCACTAGTTTGCCTTGCTGCAAACTGTTAAATTAATGCCAAATTGTCTTCGGTCGAAAGTATACTTCTTTATGTAATTTTGAGACAACACTGCACACTGACTTCTTTCCGCTCAAATGTTCTTTATTCGGATTGTAAGATTCATATTCTGTAGCCATGACATGGGCAGTACGTGTAAGCATGTGCTGGAATCCCATTGTGGAGCCATACTTCTCTATCACGCTGCATAAACTTTGAATAAACCAAGAGCCTTTCTTCTTTCTAAAAGCAAAAAACCCTGAAATTTAAATATACAGTACACGTGTTAATGGTACATATACAAAGCAAGATACATTGTATGTTAAGATAATTCAAACTGTAAGTTGGTTGCTGGAAAACAGCTCCATGTTTAAAAGAAAAAAGACAAAAGCAATTTATTATGCTGTGCTGCCTTTCAGAGCAAACATTTCAATTTTTAGACAGGCTGGTACATTAAGACCTGTACAGAGTGTACTAGTATGCAGGCACTTGCATATTGAATAAATGTTCTAGGAGTACTTATCACATAGGGGGCATTCCCATAGATTTTAGATCTATCTATCCCAGTGGGGAGTCTCACTAGATTACTGTCCGATAATCCGGCTTTAATGTCTGTCCCGCCTACTACAAGCTGTTGGGGGGTAATTAACTGTCGTGCACGATCGGCTGACAGCTATTTAGCGTTAACCCCCAAGGAGTTAGGTCTATCTAGTTGGATCGATCTAATCTCTGGGAATGGGGTCATAGATCAAAATTTGCAGTTAGGACAGGCTCGGGTAATAACCACATGAAAGACATTACCTGGAGGAGTTCCATATACAGTTATGAAATTATTAAAGATAGGTATGTCTCTCTGTATTGCAGGATTGCTCATGTCAGCATCATCAGGAACATCAATGGTACCAGCTGGTGCATCACACACATCATAATCCTGGTCACAAATCTCTTCAATCTCAACTCCATCATCTAGTTTATAACCACGGCAAGCCTGCAGGACAAAACAGTAGTATGGGTCATTTTTTTAAAAACCAAATCACTACTGTTACAAACCCATATTTACATGCTTTTGAGATAATTAAGGGCTCACTCCCAATGACACTATCATTCTACATAGTTCAATCCAACTCTGCGGGAACTATAGCTGAATTAAATCAGCTAGTTTAACAGATTAACACGCCTCCTCTTATTTCCAACATACTCGTACAATCACCAGCTTTACTGTATTCTACTCGACACCAGAAAGAAGAGTGTTAATCTCTTCATCTAACTGCTGTTCACCAACAAGAGTCCCCGTAGAGTATATATACATCTATGTAAAATGGGAATGAGCCTTTAGACTCTTCGACGCAGTTAAGTATGCTTAACTATAGAGGTGCACTGTGAGAGATAGATAACTGAATGCTCTCTAAGTGTACTATTCAATGTAAAAGGGCCTTAAGCAGAGAGAATGGAATTGCAGTCTTTTTAAAAATTGGACTATGTATTTTTATAATTCATTCATTTTTTTTGTCACTGTTTTGTGGGAAGGGGGGGTTGTTTGGTATGCCTAACAAATGAAGGTTTCAGCTATTACATACTAACATTGAGCTTTGAATAGGGAAAATGAGCATTGACAATGGTATAATTTACCTGCAAGAGAAATATTTTTGGTTTTCCCCTCAAGGTGGGGCACTTGTTGTCTCTAAAAAGTTCCAAAAGCAGCTTGATATGGATGGGCCTATTGTCTGTTCCATACACCATTCCATGCATTGAAACAATGCTATCACCACTGGCATCCACAATAGGGGGACCCTGTAGCTCACCCCCATGACTGAATATGGCACAAGCAAAGCAATCTGAGTCTAAGTGATTCTCCCTGGATGCTAAATAAATAAATTCTTGATGAAAATTAGTCTGCACTTTTATAGAAATGGTTATGATTCTCTTTCAGTTTTCAAACAACAATACTAAATATCCCACCACAACAACAAAAAAAGCAATTCTATGTAGGTAAATTAAGTTAAGGCTGAAGTTAAATTAAAGATATGATAAAGTATTAATTATTACTCTTACCACTTTTCTACCCCTGCACCAAAGAGCAAAAACAAAAAGTTCCAGAATTATTTCCATTTTTAAAAGCATTAATTGCTTACCTTTGAACAAAGTGTGATACATAGCAGATGCAGTCAAATTTCGAAGGACTCTAATGTCTTTGAAGCCCAATGTTTTAAATGCCTGGTATAGCGACTTTTCATCTCTTCTGGATCCTACAATTGAAAATAACAATATATAATTATATATTATATTCTCTCAGTGAAACACAATAAAATGATATAACTTACTACATAATAAACTTTCCATATAATAACTTTATAATAAACAACAATATCCAAGATTTTGCATTTGAAATCAAATTTCTGCTACAAAACCAACTATTAAGTGCCACTTTAAAGTTTAAAATTATATAACTTAGAGAAATGACATCATTTCATATTTTCCCAGAAATGATCCCTTGTTTACCATCTCTATTTTTTTCTGCATCATTTTCAAAAGTCTCATTATTGATGATAATTGCTACACCACGTGATTTGTTGCTGAAGTCATATTCCCAGTTTGTTTGGTCCATGTTTACTGATCAACGCGGGCAACCACTGAAAAATTAAAAATATACATTTTAAAATCATTATGCACGGGTGTGTGTGAGGCCTTTGGGCCCTTACCTGTCGTGAGCACAATGCACCTAGCATGTAAGGCCTGACAAAAGTGTGAGAGCTGAGAAAGAGAGAAAGGGGGCGACAAAAAAAGAAAAAGACGTATAGAGTTTAAATTGTCAGTTCTAGACACAAACGGAATCACACGAAACAGTGTGCCAACAAACCTACTGAATTAAAAAAATCAGTGCTGGTGTATTAGATTCTTCTTAACTTGGCATGTATATTAAGCACCTGCTAAAAAAATCGACTTCCGGGGTGGTTATAGTGGGTTAAATTTAAGTGGGTCGGAACCAGGTAACGAGTGGGCTTTGTGACATGGATTGATATTGAATATTTACACTTTGGCAAGCACGTACGTCTCATCTCTGTCCTCCGGAGCTTTCAGTCTAGGCCCTTATCATCTAAATACCCTTAAGTAAATACCGGTACATGTGTACCCGGCGTATGCATGTACATCTGCATAAATAGAACTACATGTAGGCCTACCAGTCCCTACTAGAATGGCGGAAGTGTGAACACTCGAGCGCGTATGAACCATCTGTATTTTACGTTGGCAGTAATATAACCTAGGCCTACGAATGCGTCCAGTCCTTACAACGCCTTAGACAATGAGAGTAAGTTAGGATTACCTGGTGTAGGTAACCAGTTCTTCTCCCAGAACTCCTCTGTTCAGACTGTAACAGACTACCGACTCTGACGTAGGCCTATACAAACGATGAATGCAGTGTTTGATTAACCCAGTTTCAGTGAAAGTCTAAGTTGGCCTTTATTTAACCAAGGAGTTATAACTCCTTGATTTAACCAGGGAATTATATCGGATATAATTCCCTGATTTTAAACAATTTACGAGTCCTTGCTTCGCAGTGGCGGATTAAGGGGGGTTCAGGGGGTCCTGACCCCACCCCCCTCCCCCTTCGGTTTTTGAAATTAGAATTTTGACTATCGGAATCATAGTTCTACAGTAAACTGTAGGCCTATATGGTACCGTTCGCCCTCTAAACTGGTTAAAATTTTCGGGCAGAGGCAAATCCAGGATTATTTGAAGGGGGTCCGCGGATGCGAAGCCGACTCTACCCCCCCCCCCCCCCCCTTGGCGTGGGGTGTTTTTACAGTAAATGCCATATTGTTTCAAGAATTGACATTTCGTTCTTGTATGCATTATAAACTGATAAATGTAAATTAATGGCCTCATTTTTTATTTTGCCGCCGCGTGCGCTTATTCCCATCCGTATGTCAGAAAAATAGGCTTCTTGAATTAATTGAGCGATTTTTCAACATCTATTTTTCAAAGTCTATAAAGAACACAACCTGAAACTCAAGGTAATAACGAACAACAAACAAACCAACAAAAATGACCTAATTTTTCTCAGAGATAAAGCACATCTCAGCATCAAATTATGTTTATTTTTTGTCCGCACCCGTGCAACTTTCGAGATCCTGGATCCTGGTGACAGAAAGCCAAAAGTCAAGCTTTTTGTATACATGTAAGTTATGCGAACATTTTCTGATTTATGATTCATGACACGCCAGTGGAGAGTTTTCGCTAACGAAGGTTTTAATAACGGAAGTTTTAAAAAACGTTTTGGATAAAATTTGCACGTTATTGATACTAAAAAAAAAATTTTTAAATAGTGTAAATCAAGCAGATTTATCAGCGTTTTGACGTATAGTTATTCGGATGTATAGGTATGTGGGATGATTGGGACATCGTATCTATCGTTTGTTGGGCGTGGATTTATCGCGGTATTTATTCTCCATCTTTCATCTAGTGGCAGTTGGGCCTTGTCGGATTTATCGATATCGTTATGCATCTACATTGTCGGTAAATTGACTTACCGGTAAAAAGAATTATCAACATTCACCTTCTTTCAGTGGTGTTGAGTTTGTGGAAGATGTTGTATCACGGGGATATTATATTTGCATAACAAAAAGTTGCTCAGCGCAGATGTTGTATCACGGGGATATTTATAACTGCATGGTGGAAGACGCACGTGTAAATTTTCTAGAATAAAGTAGTTCAATTCAACACCATGTGGGCATGTCTACTTGTATTTTGACCGTGAACAATCATGAACAGTTAGTGACACAACCTCTCACCTAAAATGAACCACACTTGTTGCATTTGCATAACAACAAGTTGCTCATCGTAGTGCGAGCTGTCTTCAAGAATACTCACCTGGACACATTTGGGTGAAGACAGAGCAGCATGAGTGGTGCAGTCAAAGGGTCTAGCTTTTATAAGGCGTAGAAGCAAATACGTTTGGTAAGTATTACTGCTTCTTCAATAGCAAATGAAAGAAAATTTATAACAAATACTGTATATACGAATATTTGTAATTGTATGTCCATCGTTACTTGCATGTCACTCAGAATATTATCTAGAATATATTGACGTTCATTGTTATATGTACAATGGTTTGGAACTGCAAACGTACAGAAATAACGACCTAGGTTTGCTTTTAATCTTATAACTCTGCACTTTCTCTGTATAAACTTTTCGTAAGATTCTGGACAAATACAGCACCTTTGATTTAATCTAAAATGTTTTATGAAAATGTAATACACAAAGAACACTGACTAATTTAGCTTGTAATGCATGTCAAAGCTTTTGATCCAGGATAAGCATGCCCCATCAAGGTGTACATCAATTTTATGGTCAAATTTCTAAACAATTCAAACGTCTATCTTTACAATTACGATTGTTATTATTATTATTGTTGTAATAATAATAATAACAATCGTAATTGTTATTATTATTATTGTTGTAATTATTATTTTATTATTGTTGCTGTTGTGTATATGATAAGAAAAGAGCTATTATAGTTCCCATTACTGTTTCAGATTAGACTTGTGCAGTTCGTTTTTTGATTGAGGTTGACAAGCTGTTCAACATCTTTTTTCTGGGTAAATATGCCTATATATAAATTCAACGCACACACACACTCTCACAGTGGCATTCCAGTTGCTCAATACACAAATAGTCTTTTGTCTGCCGTATCCATTGCGCCCAACCGTATTAAAATTCAAGTGCCCTTGCATCCAAGTAATGTGCAATCAAACTCCCGTTGAGGAGATAGTTTACAATTCTACGAAATACGTGAAAAATTATTTACAATAGAGAGCCCCAAACACGTCATGCATAACGGTTATAGGTGTAATAATATTCAGTAGTGAGTACAATATATTAACGACTGTACTTCAGATAAACCAATAAACGCGCCCATTGCTTCAAAAACAATTAAAAGTAAACAATATTTTCTCATTTCAGAAGCCCACCGATGTGCCACAACAAGCAGCCTAGCATTTGAGTCGGATCCATGAACCCAACGCTCAGTCTTGCATCTATTAAGTTACAACTTAATAAATACATTTGTAATTCTGTGTTCTTTTATTTTTATATGAAACAATGTTGATAAGGAAAGTAGATTTAATAATCGGGGAAAGATTGAGATAAACTGTTTGACGCCTTTCAAATTCAATTGGTTAAATCCGATCTGTAAATCTCGTCTTATTGGCTTTCATACTGACGATTTTTTATAGTAAAATATCTAAAATTGAAATGGTTTGAAAACTTACTTTTGAAAATATGCTTTTGTAAATAATTGGTTATAAGCGTTAAAATATCTTACCTGCTGAAAGAATATATCTTAGACTTTAAAAAAAAAACATTTATAAATTCAATTTGAATTTACTCAGAATCTTGTGTTTGGAAAAGTGTTTAATGTACATTGGGACAAACTGATACATCAGCCAGATAACATTTTCCTAAATTTTCTTAGTATAATTGGCTTTATGACAAGTACTGATTTAAGCTACCACAAACTGATTCATTTTAACTTTATCTTCATATGGATGCTTCAATTAATTTTTTTTGAACAGAAAAATTAGTGAAAAAACCTTGAATCAATTTTGAATGGTTTTCTGAACCATGAACCATAAAATGGAATAGCCTTGCTCAACCTGCCACCCCTCAAGTGGAATGGAATCTCCCAACCTGCCACCCCTCAAATGGAATGGACTCTCCCCCCACCTGTCACCCCTCAAATGGAATGAACTCTCCCCACCTGCCACCCCTCAAATGGAATGGACTCTCCCCACCTGTCACCCCTTCAAAAAGAATGAACTCTCCCCACNCCCTTCTCAATCATTGAATATAATGTACTTCCCCCACCTGTCACCCCTCGTATTGAATGGACCCTCCCCACCTGTCACCCCTCAAATGGAATGGACTCCCCCCACCTGTCACCCCTTCAAAAAGAATGGACTCTCCCCACCTGTCACCCCTCGAATGGACTCTCCCCACCTGTCACCCCTCAAATGGTATGGACTCGACCCACCTGTCACCCCTCAAATGGAATGGATTTGTCCCACCTACCATCCCTCTGCTGGAATGATCTGGTCCAACCTGTCACCCCTCAATTGGAATGGACTCGACACACTATACAACACTTACGTGGAATTGCCCCACTTGTCACCCCATAAATCAAAATTGATTGGTATCCCCGAACTCCCATAATATGCATGGTTCGTCAAGTTAAAACTGTTACCATTCACACTTAACTCAATCTATAAGACATGTTTTTGAATATCTTATTTATTATATGATATGAACATTTTAAATTTGAACGGAATTTATCTGAAAATTGACAGATCCACAACTTACACATGTTTTTCAAATAGTACATTGTGTCGATTTTAACTTTTACAAATCTTGAAAGTTAATTTTACTTTTAATTTGAGAAAGCAAAATATACAATATTTAAAGTCGACTAAAATTCAGTATGTATAAATATAATTTTTACTCCTGTGTCTTTTAGATCAAATTGAAAACAGCGAAAATAAAGGTACATTTATTTTTTACTTGCTCATCAATCACAAGTGTCAGATTATAACATAAATTAATGATGAAAACAATATTGACTACAAAGTATATTATAAAAGCAAGTATGAGCGAATCAATAAACAATCTTACTCGAGTTTCAACTCGCAATATTGTCATGGCATTTTAAAATTCTTAATTACACTCTGTTATAATTTTTATTAAAAATAATATTGGATAAAATAATTATTGCATGTGTTGTGCGTGTAAGAATGTGAGTGTGTGTAAGAATACGCGTTTGCACGCGTGTCTGTGTCCCGTTCCAAATTGCGACTAGAAGACTAGGGGGCTTCTATCCCACGCACAAACATTTTGCAGAATCTTGCCAAAGGATCTGGCTATTCTGAAATAAATAAAAAACGTTTTGATAATGATATTAAAATATATTTCATCGCAATGAAAACTTGAGATTAGATCAACTGAAAATGGAAAGAGAGAAGCTGGCTAAACACCAGATTAAAAAAGTCGACTGAAAGAAGGTATGTAGCTTAAAATTTTAAATACTTCGATATTTCGCAATAAATTTCAATGACAAGAAATAATACGCCCAAACTAAGGAAGGCTGTTTCAAAGTAAAGGCAAAAACGAATGTAGTGGGTGCTACTGACGTAGACCTACAGCTTTTCTTAATACAGTGAACTACACAAACAAAATAAAAGTTTACGCGATATAGCATATTATAATTTGTAAATCTGCATGAATTCGTAAAAACGCGAAAAAGGATGAAACATTCTTGGTGCTAAGAACATCTTAATCATAAATGACATAGATCTAGAGACTATTCAACCCATTTCAAAAACTTTCAAATTGAAACAAGCTTTTGACAAACACACACACATAACAGGCTGGGAGAAGTATGTATACTGACGATAGTCATACACACCGCTTTATCGAATTATGCACATGGGACGTAACTTACTTCCACTTTCATAGGCTAACAGGAAAATTTTTACTCACCAAACATATTTGCCTAAACCATAGATCCCTAACGCTGATGACATGTTCGGTCCTGCGACTTCACCACACCTATACCGTGTCCTTACTTGGTCAAGCTGTCAAATGACCAGTCGAGAAAACAGTTCGCACTACGCTGAGCGACTTATTGTAATGCAAATTACAACAGGTATGGAGCGTTCTGATTGGGGAATTACTGTTGTAATCATTCTCAAGGAACAATGATTTCAATGGACTTACAGACTTTTTGGACAAGCATATAAAATCCCTGCTGTAGAGAGCCTAAGCTATGTCTGTCCATTCGGAAGTTTCTTTTCCATGCGAATGAGTTCAATACAAGTTACACTCAGAATCCGGTGTAACGTGACAGAGAGTCCCTCACGATAGAGGTCCGCTTCCCATTCATTTGTACAAGAAAGACACGCCCTAGATTTTGGACCACTTAGGTCAGGCTAACCATTATAACTATATTGAGAGCGAACTTTCTGTTTAACTGACCGTCAGTTTCGTTACACCGGCATGCTTCACTGAAAAATGACCACAAACATGTACCTTACAGGATTTATCCAGTGACTTTGAGAGAGTAACAACCTCATAACGTTTGTTACATCAAGTTTTTCATCGTTTCATTTTTTTTATTTTTTTTTTTTTTGTATAGATCTTACGCTTATTTAAGGGAGAGAAAACATCAGTAGATCACTGAGAGAAGACATCAGTTGATCAACAGTGGATCACAACAGACAAACAACAAACACCTTTTTTTGCAAACTTTTACCACCCTTAATTAGAAATGCACAAACGATCTTGCTCATTAGGTTCACTACCTTCAACTTTCTTCAAGGTTTTGTACTCGACCTTTTCGACTGATCTTGTGGCGATTCCCGCAGCTGACATTCAGTCAGCTCGGCAGAGTCAACTTCATCACAAAAAAATGGATAAACGAGAACGAGACAGTTAAAACGACGAAGTCGACTTGAGTCTGTTGCATAAGGGGGTACATGTACATGTAGCACATCTACAAGTAAGTTGTAATGTCAATATTGCCAGTGTCTCTCAGCCAAACTTAGGTTGGGGGAGGGGGGGGGGTAAACACACACAGAATCACAAGAAACAATGTACCAACAAACCCGGCGAAACAAAAATCAAGCAGGTGTATTAGTTTTTCCGTAACTCGGCATGCACCAATGTAAAAATTTCCGACTTCCGGGGAAGGTTAATTTAAGTGGGTCAAGTTCAGGCGACAAGTGGGCTTAGTGACATTCATGGAGTGATATTGAATATTTACACTTTGACAAGCACGTCTCACCCGTGTCCTTTCCCAAACTCAAAGTCTATGGTGCATCAAGGTATGCGGTGCTGCTCAGGCTACTGTCAAACTTTTGATTAATCGAGGTATCAGTCCAGGCCCCTGTCATAAAGTACTCTCAGTATATACATCTTAAGAAGGAGTGAAGAAAATGGACGTAAATTGGAAAACGACGGAAACAGCAGGTGAATGGTTTGCGAAACAAGATAAGGACGATTTAAGGAAACAATTTTCGGATAACGGGTATGTGGTAAGTTTGACTTATGTGAAGTACATTCACAGATTGAGCGGGCGAACAAATTGTATTGGACGCTGTTTGAAAAGAAAAAGAATAACATTTAAGCAAAAGACTACATTCGTCTTCCACACTCTAAACCTCAACAAAATTTAATTTTGTACTTTTCCACATATACATGCGTTTTCAACTTTATATTGTGGGCTTCATCTGTCACTGAATGTTTGTTTATATTTTATTTATTTATTCATTAATTATATCTTGTACAAACAGGTAGTGCACAACTTGTTGGACAACGATTCTCTAGAAATCTACCAAGAGATATACGATAAGCTTCTTAGTGGAGAGATAGATGCCAGTAAACATAGACACGACTTGGGATCTCACGGTAAAGCTGTATATGACCTCATTTCGTTTGCGGCAATGATATGTCCTTGTCGCCTTCGGCGCATTTCTTATATTAGATGAATTACTCGTTGGTTACGAATACAAAAGAATATGTTTAATAACAGGGAAAAGTAGATTAATAACAAGCCGAATAATAATTGCACGCCTTATATCACAGTCGATTGTCGTTTATTCATTTATTTATTATTATTATTATTTCTTTGTAAAACAGTTGACTCCACGTAACTTGACACCTTATTACTCGAATTGAATTTTTTTTTTGGAATTTTTTCACCTTTAGATGAAGTTGAAAATAATGCAAGCATCGCCCAACTGGTCTTTTACGTTTACATTATTTTTCCTGTGCCTTGTGTTTGTAGTGAAAAAAAAAATTATGATGATAAAAACATCACTTTCAAGGCGAAACATTAACTAGAATCTTTGCGTAACTCTTGGACATAATAACGTAATTTTGTCCATGCGTAACTCAAACAAACTCTCTGGCGTTCAAGTTTCTTACGCGGACTCTACTTCAAAATTTTCCGGTCAAAAGAAGTCACTAGCTCCAAATAGATAAATACATAAATAAATAGTAATAATAATAAAAATTATTATTATTATACGTATATTTTCAGAAAAGCGGAAGGTGGTTGACCAGGAGAACGTGTGCCAGATCATGTGGCCCAGTGTGTATTTGCCAGGGTTAGCGCAGGGCCCGCTGCACCAGAGAACCAAGGCCATAGCTAACGTGATCATTGGGGAGGACGCCGAGTTCGACTTCGATATGTTGATTGCAAAGGTGGACTTGACTTTTTTGGAAATTTTTTCGAAGTTTCATTACTTACTTACAGTGGCTGTCAATTTTAGTCTTTATGTTGGACTGATGTGTTTCAAACTAACACACTAAAATAATAATATTAATTTATGCCAAATGAATTATAAAAGGCATACAATGCACATTAGAACTAAATAAATTTCTTAAATTGATTTTTTGCTTTATAACCAAGTATAGTTTACCCTATTCAAAACTGTTGATAAAGATTAAGATTTGTAAACCTGTTTCTAAGTTTTAAGTTTGTAATTTTTTGGTCACCCACCAGATGAAAACTGGTAAAATTCACTGGTGATTTTAAAAAATTTAAAACTTGGTATTTAGAAATGGGTATTTATTTGAAAGGTTTAACTTCGTGATTAAAAGAAATACGTTGAAATTGCCAGGGAAATTGAAAAAAAAATTTGCTCTAAAAGTCTTGCACAAATCATTTTGCGCAATTTATAAGACCATGCATACATTTCAGTTGTTCGTCCTAGAATAATTTGACAGTGCACTGGAGGAAGAAGTTTGACATATTTCATAATTTCTGTATGTTTATATCCATTTAGTCTGTTTTCCGTTTAGAGCCCGCACACAGAGACGGGAACCCCGTGGCACCAGGACGAGTCCTACTGGCCCGACATGCCGGACAAAAGGGCCGTTTCCTTCTGGTGTGCCATGGACGACGCCACGGTGGAAAACGGCTGCATGTGGTTCGTGTCGGGATCCCACAAGAGGCCACTGAGAACACACCGCCCGGTTAAAGTGGGACACCATATAAGGATGACCGACGACTGCAGCGAGGTAGGCGTGCACCATGAAAATCGGAATGAAGCCCATGCAGGCTATTGGCCCGACACCGTTTTCAGCATGTCTTGCAACTATAATTTCAAAGCATGCAACGCTCTTTACACCTTTATAGATCAAAATGTAAAAAACATCCTGGAAAGTTTTGAATTTCTTTTTATCACCAAGGTGCACCTTATCCAAAAACTGATTAGAAAGTAGCAACCCGTAAAACCATTTTCGTGCTCTTAATACTTTCGGGTCTCCATAACTGCTGCGAGAAACGTGATATATAAACTCGTTTTCGAGCTAAAATAATTCTTATTTTAACTGTCACCGGTAAATTTTACAAAGAATAAAAAAAATCAAAGAACTCTTACAGATTGTAATTTTGATAAACGTTTTGATATGTTATACCTTGGTGACAAAAAAAGTTGATTTTTTTTTCTTTTTGCGTTAAGGTCTAGCGTTCATTGCGCGACTTTTATCACCTATAACTGAAAACTCAAAATGGTAAACCTGATATGCCATTTCTACCCTGTGAATTTCTTCGACTCAAAAGCGTATTCCACATTATTAATCACATCTTTCAGGCAGAGGGCCAACCGCAGCCCATCCCTGCCGGATCTTGTACAGGGCATCACGGGAGGACGCTTCACTACACCCGCGGAAACTCCACCGACAGGTGGCGCAGGGCGTTCATCGTCAACTACAGGCCGAAGGACATGGTAGCCTGGGAGAGAGAACATAATTTTGACCACGGCAAAGAGGTGGGTTCAGCGGTGCTTGCAACAACTTAACCTAGAATCACTGGGCACTTTTTACTCATGACATTTTGGCCAATCGACATGAATTCAATCTGTAAAAGAGTCTTTTGAAATGTAACATATGGTTTAGTTTTAAGAGTCCAAATGCTTGGCTCACTTCACAAACTGAAGCAATGAATATTAAAAATAAATATTTTTCATTCATTTCCAGTCAATGGAAAGTGCAATTGAAGAAGTGCATAAATAATCAGTGGAATCATAAGTCCGGGATAATAATGTAAAGAAACATTTTACCAAGGACATTCACATTTTGTCCCGTATGTTACGAGTTACAGGGTTTTTAATACCATAATGGTTGCCTTGAACTTGATGATTTGCAAAATAACTTCTTCATCCTTGATAATAAAATGACACACCATTATCAAACTTAATAATCTTTTAATATATTTACTTATCAAGTCATATGAATGTGTAACAATTTTAACTTGTTAAGAATGTGCCCCAGTTATTCTAAGAGTTGCAATTCTGTGGCGTTACCAGACTAGACCCAGTTTTTTGTCTAAATACAGGTATTCAACCATTTCTACACAATCTGTGTTAATCACATTTTCCTTACTAAGGAGGATACTCTGTTTCTGTCAAATGAGGTCTTTCATCTCTCCCCTGAAACAGAATTACTAAAAACCATATAAAGGTGCATTGCTCATACCTCATTCCATATTATACCAAACCTTTTAAAAAAAGTTATTAAAATGTACAACCTTGAAGTCTTCCACAATTGTGCATTCTTATAATAAATATATCTTTTAAACAGTTTCTTCAAACCTTATTTTGAATTTCTACACATGCAGCAGATTTGGTAATAATTTTTATAATGAAATGTTGTGTTGTAAATTGATTTCATGAATACATGACTAATTTCAAGTGTCTGAAAACTGTTCACAAATATCTAAGTTAAATTGCACATTGTCTTTTCCCCAGTAATGTCCTTTGTTCTCTAATAGGCCTATGCTATAACCCAAGAGATTTTCTGACTGTGCGTCGTGCTATTTCCTCAAACTCAGTTTTGTTCTCCCTCCACGTCTTTGCAGCATCAACATTTGCAGCACTTTCATCATTCGGCTCTGAAACAAAAACACCAATTTTTTAAGTACAAGTCATCAAGATAATTTTGAAAGATGACAAATTTTGATAAATATCAGACTGCCTTTTGAATTAATGTATGAAGAATAAGCATTCTCATGTGTGCAATCCTGCATGTCTTTATTATATATTTCATTCCTGTGGCTATCTGGTATTGCGTGTCTAAATCTTATAAACTGTGCCAAGCCATTAACCACTGTAACACTGTTAACAAACTAGAGGATCAGAGAGGCGATACCGCCTCCAAATATTGTACCACCAGCTGGAGCAAACGCATTCGTATAGACCCTCACATACACAAAATAAGGGACACAGCCACCAGTTTTGTGCTTGACAAGCTGTAAAAATGCAATCAACAAGAATTTTTTAACTATTGCAAAAAATATATATGGTACAATCAAATTTAAGTTCTTCGTAAGGTAGGTCAAGGGTCAATTTCAAGGTCACAGTAAATTGCCAGTATATGACTTCCTATTCAAGTTCAAGAGTAACTATGGACCTATCTCTGTCAAGTTTGAAGTTAAAAGAGAAAGAAATTAGCAGAGTTCAGTTCATGATAAAAAGTAGGTCAAAGGTCAATTTCAAGGTCACAGTAAATTGCCAGTATATGACTTCCTATCCAACTTCAATAGTAACTATGGACCTATCTCTGCCAGTTTTGGAGATAAAAGGGAAGCAAAATTTGCAAAGTTCAGTTCATGGTGAAAAGTAGGTCAAAGGTCAATTTTAAGGTCACATTTAGATTGCCAGTATATGACTTCCTATTCAAGTTCAATAGTAACTATGGACCTATCTCTGCCAGTTTTGGAGATAAAAGGGAAGCAAAATTTGCAAAGTTCAGTTCATGGTGAAAAGTAGGTCAAAGGTCAATTTTAAGGTCACATTTAGATTGCCAGTATATGACTTCCTATTCAAGTTCAATAGTAACTATGGACCTATCTCTGCCAGTTTTGGAGATAAAAGGGAAGCAAAATTTGCAAAGTTCAGTTCATGGTGAAAAGTAGGTCAAAGGTCAATTTTAAGGTCACATTTAGATTGCCAGTATATGACTTCCTATTCAAGTTCAATAGTAACTATGGACCTATCTCTGCCAGTTTTGGAGATAAAAGGGAAGCAAAATTTGCAAAGTTCAGTTCATGGTGAAAAGTAGGTCAAAGGTCAATTTTAAGGTCACATTTAGATTGCCAGTATATGACTTCCTATTCAAGTTCAATAGTAACTATGGACCTATCTCTGCCAGTTTTGGAGATAAAAGGGAAGCAAAATTTGCAAAGTTCAGTTCATGGTGAAAAGTAGGTCAAAGGTCAATTTTAAGGTCACATTTAGATTGCCAGTATATGACTTCCTATTCAAGTTCAATAGTAACTATGGACCTATCTCTGCCAGTTTTGGAGATAAAAGGGAAGCAAAATTTGCAAAGTTCAGTTCATGGTGAAAAGTAGGTCAAAGGTCAATTTTAAGGTCACATTTAGATTGCCAGTATATGACTTCCTATTCAAGTTCAATAGTAACTATGGACCTATCTCTGCCAGTTTTGGAGATAAAAGGGAAGCAAAATTTGCAAAGTTCAGTTCATGGTGAAAAGTAGGTCAAAGGTCAATTTTAAGGTCACATTTAGATTGCCAGTATATGACTTCCTATTCAAGTTCAATAGTAACTATGGACCTATCTCTGCCAGTTTTGGAGATAAAAGGGAAGCAAAATTTGCAAAGTTCAGTTCATGGTGAAAAGTAGGTCAAAGGTCAATTTTAAGGTCACATTTAGATTGCCAGTATATGACTTCCTATTCAAGTTCAATAGTAACTATGGACCTATCTCTGCCAGTTTTGGAGATAAAAGGGAAGCAAAATTTGCAAAGTTCAGTTCATGGTGAAAAGTAGGTCAAAGGTCAATTTTAAGGTCACATTTAGATTGCCAGTATATGACTTCCTATTCAAGTTCAATAGTAACTATGGACCTATCTCTGCCAGTTTTGGAGATAAAAGGGAAGCAAAATTTGCAAAGTTCAGTTCATGGTGAAAAGTAGGTCAAAGGTCAATTTTAAGGTCACATTTAGATTGCCAGTATATGACTTCCTATTCAAGTTCAATAGTAACTATGGACCTATCTCTGCCAGTTTTGGAGATAAAAGGGAAGCAAAATTTGCAAAGTTCAGTTCATGGTGAAAAGTAGGTCAAAGGTCAATTTTAAGGTCACATTTAGATTGCCAGTATATGACTTCCTATTCAAGTTCAATAGTAACTATGGACCTATCTCTGCCAGTTTTGGAGATAAAAGGGAAGCAAAATTTGCAAAGTTCAGTTCATGGTGAAAAGTAGGTCAAAGGTCAATTTTAAGGTCACATTTAGATTGCCAGTATATGACTTCCTATTCAAGTTCAATAGTAACTATGGACCTATCTCTGCCAGTTTTGGAGATAAAAGGGAAGCAAAATTTGCAAAGTTCAGTTCATGGTGAAAAGTAGGTCAAAGGTCAATTTTAAGGTCACATTTAGATTGCCAGTATATGACTTCCTATTCAAGTTCAATAGTAACTATGGACCTATCTCTGCCAGTTTTGGAGATAAAAGGGAAGCAAAATTTGCAAAGTTCAGTTCATGGTGAAAAGTAGGTCAAAGGTCAATTTTAAGGTCACATTTAGATTGCCAGTATATGACTTCCTATTCAAGTTCAATAGTAACTATGGACCTATCTCTGCCAGTTTTGGAGATAAAAGGGAAGCAAAATTTGCAAAGTTCAGTTCATGGTGAAAAGTAGGTCAAAGGTCAATTTTAAGGTCACATTTAGATTGCCAGTATATGACTTCCTATTCAAGTTCAATAGTAACTATGGACCTATCTCTGCCAGTTTTGGAGATAAAAGGGAAGCAAAATTTGCAAAGTTCAGTTCATGGTGAAAAGTAGGTCAAAGGTCAATTTTAAGGTCACATTTAGATTGCCAGTATATGACTTCCTATTCAAGTTCAATAGTAACTATGGACCTATCTCTGCCAGTTTTGGAGATAAAAGGGAAGCAAAATTTGCAAAGTTCAGTTCATGGTGAAAAGTAGGTCAAAGGTCAATTTTAAGGTCACATTTAGATTGCCAGTATATGACTTCCTATTCAACTTCAATAGTAACTATGGACCTATCTCTGCCAGTTTTGGAGATAAAAGGGAAGCAAAATTTGCAAAGTTCAGTTCATGGTGAAAAGTAGGTCAAAGGTCAATTTCAAGGTCACAGTAAGATTGCCAGTATATGACTTCCTATTCAACTTCAATAGTAACTATGGACCTATCTCTGCCAGTTTTGGAGATATAAGGGACTAAATGTTATAATTTTGGAGTTACCATAATGTGCCTTAAATTTCGTACAGAAAAAATTAATTAAAATAAAGAAAATGTCATTTTGGTCAAAATTCTTGAAATAGGAGGTGCTCTGAAGTTTCAGAAGTTCAAATTTGATGAAATAATGTCATTTTTGAACACAAGTTGTCTGCTTTGCCAAGCCTTATGTTTTATTTTTCCAGAGTTCAAAATTTATTATCCATTACCGTACTGCACATTTTGCTTTTACCACCAATATGTACTTTTTGATACAGCGTAACTCGAAAACCGTATGGAATACAAAAAAACCGAGACCACCTCCAGTGTTGGGCTTTACATGCTCTACAAAATGCAAAAAAGAATGGGTCTCTAGCATTAACGGTTCCCGAATTAGAGACAGTTTTCAGTTTCGGTATCTTATGGCCGCTACTCCCGTGAAAATGCACCGATTGACCCCAAATTCATGGAGATGAAAGATGACCTGAAGGGTAACACTTTCCAATAATATTATTGGTTAAGTCTGTGTGGTGTCTGAATAACAGGGCAAAAAAAATTTTTTTCGTAAAAAATTTCATTTTTTTGAAAATTTTGGCCCATTTGACCTTGAAGTAGAGGTCAAAGGTCAAATCCAAGGGTATATTTGAAATCTACACATATGACTTTTGGAAAGCCGTCTATAGAAATTTTTCCCATAACTCCTTCCGTAGGGTAGATAATTAGCATTTAATTTTGCCATTTTTAGACAAGGGTGCATTGCAATGAGTGCCACACCCAGACCCCAATACCGACAAAGCCCAAATTTTACGTGGAACGAGTTGAGATTATAGGTGACCTAAATCCATGAGATGGGTACGGGGGTCCTTACCGTCTAGGAGGAGAAGCGGTAACGGTAGCCGTCCGGCGGAGCCGGCGGAACGATCCGGACGGGACCGAAACCATGTGTACCGCCAGCGCTAACGCTGGTGGTACAATTACTGCAAGATCTACTCACTGACAGGAGGACCTACATACCTGCCAGCATACTGACAACTGAAAGCAGTATCTTCTCCACACTCTGCACTGGGCTCCATCTCTCAGCACTGGTTTCATAGCCCATGGGATCATCCCCTGGGGCATGTAATATTGATATACACACCCTGCCATCTGGATATACTATACAGAAAGAAATAGTTTGGGACATTATATCATATGTAAACAGGACATATTCTGTGATAAAATAGAAATCAATATATAAATCAGATTTTCATTAGTTAAAGCCTCAATTTAGGATTACATTATTTTCACATTGTTGTAACAATGTGTTTGGGGACATCTGAAAACAAGTTACTTGTAAAACACATAAACTTACTATTTGGATGAAAGAGGTCACAAGTGAACTTCATTTTTGGTGGGCTTAGAGGATAATCTGGTGGAAATATTAACCTTGCTGGAAATATTCCATCTTCAAAACATGTCCCCTCTGGACCACTGAAAAAAGGGAACATTTTTGGTACTAGTAAGTAAAAGGCATGTCAATAGAAACAAACTTCAACACAGTTGTTTAAATTGCTTCCAATTCATTAAAATGTTTTGTAGTGTTCTCAAATTCTATACTAATCGATTTAAATTTCACTGCAAAACATATCAACATTATAGCATGAAAAAATCATTCACTAGCAGTTATATCAATTATTTTTAGATGATTTAAATATTTTTCTTAATCTGGGCATATACAGTATAGAAGATACCAAAAAAATGAACAACAAAATGAAATGTACACCATAGTACTAACAAATCCAAGATTTTTTAGGCTAAATTCATACTGTCTCACGTTATAAGTGCCTCCCACTCAAAGAAATTTTCTTCATTTATTGGGCCAGCCACAATACCTTCTGGTGGGTTAAGCGTCAACTCTGAATAAAAGTAACATAGAAAAATAACAACATGAGAGAAAATTGATCACTTTTCAAAGTTTTGACCAAATCATGATAATTTCCTTAGTGAAGAAAAATTAAGACCTTTTTCAGTTTGAGTGTTAAATCTTAGTGATGCTGGTATGTTTTGAGATGTTCCACCACCAAAACTATGCTAAAGAGATCTTGCTTAACTAGCTTTCATTAATTCTCCTCAAACTTGTTCCCTGCTACTTATAAGTATCTAGCTAAGTTAATTAATTAATTGGGCATGTCTTGCAAAGAAGTGTCATATGGGTGACTCTTGTCAATCTCTCAAAAAATTGGATGATCTCATTCTGAATATAATAAACCTTCAGATAAATGAAAACGTCAATAAAAGGTTAAAATTCAGACTATAAACCCTTCAGACTACTGAAGCTTCACCAATCAGTCTAATGGACCTCTGAACAAATGAACCTTTGGACCAATCAAGGAAGTCTATCTTCGGAATATCGAGACGCACCCTCTCTCGCAGGATACATGATAAGTAACGGTAAAGCAATGAAAAGTGCGATCAGGTGAAAAATGAATGTAAATTAACATGCTACTCGAAATAAGTCACACTCACGTTTATATTCGGCCATCAGCCTTTTCAAAGCTGAGCCTGCCATGCCAAACAAACAAACAGGCTGTCAGCTGTCACAGTAATTAATAGCGACAGCTTCCAAATCCTGCTTCGGTGCTTCCAGTGTTTTGGTACGACACACAGACAGACTCAACTTCTCTTGTTAGGTCGAAGAAGATTGGTCCATTTTGACGGTACTTACTTTTTCGCCAATCACATCGAGTAAGACAATTTTTTTCTTGTCGCGTGCACACCGGCACAAATTCATCTTTGTTCGTGAGATTTTTTGCAAAAATCAGCAATTTGTTAATGGAATTTCTGATTGATGGACATGGATGCTTGGTGTATGCCGCGGATTAGCTAGACTGGATTGACGTTTATTGCTTTGTTCATTGCAATATACAGATTTGGACTCGGAGAGCATGTGTACAGTATTCAGTTCACTTTATCGTCGTTGATATTCGTAAACCCGTCGGAATCACAAAAGGATATGGGGTCTTCATCATCCTAGGCCAAAGGCAGCTGTTCTGCATCCCCAGGAAAACCATTGTATTTTCTTGACTTGGTCGTGAATCCGTGGGAATCAAATTTTATTATAACAAGGCTGACTATAGACAATTATTGTGTATTAATTGTCCTATTATAATAAAACAATGGCAGATGGAAGTGGGAAATTGCAATGGGTGGTAAGTGACTTTAATTTATTTATTTCTTTTTGTTTTCAACTTCTCAATTGATCGACCTTCACCTTTGGATATAGTGCGCCAAACGTCATCACTAAAGTTGTCACGTGGTAGCAATTCTCTGTTTTGATTGGATAGATTGGCAAGGGCGCTGTAAATTGAAAATTATCAGACACGGTGCTGGCCCTGTCGTTCGATTATTCCCCTTTTCCCAAATAAACAACGACAATGGCGTCTGAAGGCCCATTAAAGGTGAGCATTAAAACTAAGTTTCAAATGTGTTTGAAGTCAAACTACTGACTGGTGAAAATTAATTTGATTTTAAACGTTCAACCTGACCCCATCAACATGAAATCTAGTGAGCAACGATTTTTTTGGTCTGATCTCTAGGATTCTCGAGTTTGACCGGCAATTATAACAGAATTATTGAAGATACTATTTAAGTTGTTGTGAGTCTAGTTTTCACTTTCATGAATCAAATGGTCCTAAATTATTTGTGTGGAAAAAAAAAGACTCAAAATGGATCATACTAGTGGAATATCACAGTTCTTTATAGATGAAATTCATGCACTAGCACTCCTATTGACGATCTGGTACTTTTGTAGTATACCCCCCACCCTGTAACTTTCTGTTACTTTCACTTTTCAAACAGTTTTTTACATTTTCTTGTTCATCTATGTCAAAGCTGTTGAAATAAAATGCTTTTGTAATTACCTGTGGACTTTTTATTAGTTTTAATCACGTTTAATCCAGCCCATTGAAATACAATGTTAGAATCTTCAATTTACACCTGCAGTCAATAACTTGCCGCGTTTTCGTTGGCTAACTCTAAGGTAATTTTATGTGAACAAGTTGCTCCTAATAATTTCACAGAGGAAGTCCAAGTATACAATGTATCAATCCTATGTTCACATAAAATAAGGTAGAGTTATGCGGCAAGTTATTGACTGCAGGTACATTGTAAATTTTCATATTGTATTTCAATGGGGTGGATTAAACGTGATTAAAACTAATAAAAAGACCACAGGTAATTACAAAAACATTTTATTTCAACAGCTTTGACATAGGTGAAAAAGACAAAGTAAAAAAATGTTTGAAAAATGAAAGTTTCAGGAAGTTACAGGGTGGGGGGGTATACTACAAAAGTACCGACGATCTGATATATACTGGCTGTGCTAATATGTTGAAACAGCGTGGATATCAAAATTGTCAATAGGAGTGTTAATGCATGAATTTTATGCTTTGCATTTTTGCATCATGTTAATCATGAAATTAAAAATGATGCATGGACGCTTGAACAAGCTGGGTTAAAAACCCATTTTAAAACTGTTGACAGGTCTCATTGCTGTCTCCTCTAATTTCTATCCTTCGTTGCCACTGGTCCACTATCAATCTTTATCTTTTCAGACACTCTTTGATAACATGAATGCCAAAGCTGAGGCTAAGGAAGAGAAAAATGAGAAGAAAAAATCCAAGCCCAAACCAAAGGCTGAAGATGCAGCAGATATGCCCCACCTGCCTAAAACCCCTCCGAAAGGAGAGGGAAAAGGCAAGAAGCGCATGTCTGTGGAGAGAATCTACCAGAAGAAGTCTCAGCTAGAGCATATCTTGTTACGTCCTGATACTTATATTGGTTCTGTGGAAAAAGTCACCCAGGTAGGGTTTTTAGGAATAAAAAAACACATAAAAAATAAAAGTAAATGAATGTTATTTGTAAAAATTGAAAATTGCTTGAAAAGTAAATTTTGTCTGTAGCAGAAAATTTATTCTTAAAATTTGCATGGTGACCAGCTTTATTATTATTTTTTACTCCAATCAAATACAGATTAATTGTTTTATGTGGCCTTTCCTTAACTACTCTGAATTGTCAGTACTATGAATTTTACATGTTTTTTTTTTTTTTTGCAGCCAATGTGGGTTATTAACGAGGAGGCGGACAGAATGATTCAAAGAGATCTCACCTTTGTACCCGGGTTGTACAAGATATTTGATGAGATTTTAGGTAAGCAACTGCTGTCAAGAATTGTAAGGAGTAGCCAATACAAAAGATGTCAAATGTCCCGTAGTATACATAAAGTTACCTATTTTATAAATGTAATAATATGATGTATTTCACACTTTTTTTTTGTAATTATTTTTTTACTTCATTAGTTATTGATGTTAAAGATAACGAGACCCATTAGTTACATTCTTGTCTCTGTTTCTTTAGTGAATGCTGCAGATAATAAACAGCGAGATCCTAAAATGACAACCATCAAGATCGATATCGATAGGTGAGTATAAGTTCAACAGTTTAAGTTAATCATCACCCTCTGTTACTTCAATCCCATTTAGAGCCCATATCAGTGACAACAATTGGGCATAACCTTATTTCAGAGGTAGTCTTGCCAGGCTGTGCCTTACACTTCTGATTCTTTTTCTTTTGTTTTATGTAAAATATGTGCATAGTACAATGACAAGATATGCCTGATAAGTATGTATTTGGATTTCTGTTTCATCCACAGATGTATTTGCTTTGGGTTTGAGAGATTGAGATTTTTCAACAACCCTGACTTTAGCACATTTTATATAATATTCCAGCAGCTAGAGATTTATGGATGATGGATGTTACAATGTGTCAGGGTTGACTTTCTATCCAACATTTCTCTTCATTTTTTAAGACTTGAAGAAAAATAGAATGAAAGCTTGATTGATTCTATTGCTCACCTGTGTCCAATCTCTCATTATATTTAGTGAGAACAACCGTGTCAAGATCTGGAACAATGGTAAGGGGATCCCTGTGATAGAGCACAAGACAGAGAAGGTGATGGTCCCAACACTGATCTTTGGGCACCTGCTTACCTCCAGCAACTACAATGATGAGGAGCAGAAAGTCACAGGTATGCTGGGAATTCTGAATGTAGGGTAACCTGCAAATGTATTTACTTAATAGGTTTGTTATCTGTATTTGAACTGGTGTAATGTTTTCTGTTGAAGAGGGTGAATTATTCAAATCTACACCATCCTACTGCTTTGTTATGTATGATTTGCACTTTCTGTTATAATTTTAATATGAGCTAACCTAGCATCCACTTCAAACATATGCACATGCTTTTCTTTCATTCATTGTTCTTTTTGCCACACATCAGAATCAAAGACAATTTAAATTTACTTTCAGGTGGTCGTAATGGATATGGCGCCAAACTTTGCAACATCTTCAGCAACAAGTTTGTTGTAGAAACTTCCTCCAAAGATGAGGGCCATGCTTTTAAACAGGTGATTTTTTAGCCCATAAATTATTGACGAAAAAGTAACCTTAATGGGTGATACTAATCCATCCTTTATTCAGTGATTTTACATGATGCGATCCATCTTGTAGCTGTAAGGATGTCTGTAATCCTCTATAAAATTCCTAATTTCTGTTGAAATAGTTTTTCCCCACAACAAAATTGTTAATTTCCCTCAAAATTGATTTAATGCACATAGCGTACAGTGTGACATCATGATATACCAAAAAAAAACCTCAACAAAATGATGTAACTGCATATTTGCAGACCTGGACCCACAACATGGGAAAAGCTACAGAGGCAAAGATCACCCCGTGTGCGTCTGAGGACTATACCTGCATTACATTCGAGCCAGATCTGGCCAAGTTCAAGATGGATTCCCTGGACAAGGACATCGTGGACCTGTTCTCTAGGAGAGCCTATGACATAGCTGCCTCCACCAAGGGAGTCAAGGTGTTCCTCAATGGGAAGAAACTGCCTGTATGTTCATTTCTGAAATCTTTACTTTTTTGACACTTCAGGAACACTTTTCTACCCTAAAGAACCCCTAAGAACCTATTTTAGTTCTTTTGAATGGTGCAGAACAGAATTGCCTGCTACATGTTGAGGCATAGCCAGATATTTGAATCGCCATCTTTAGATCTATCAGTTACTAAATAAATGATTAAGTACAAGTCAATGGAATTTACAGATTATTTTGATCAAAGGTAACTTAGTTTCCCGTTTTTCCAGATTAACAGCTTCCGAAGTTATGTGGACCTGTTCCTGAAGGACAAGTTTGATGACAATGGGCAGCCACTGAATGTTGTCCATGAGGTCATCAACCCACGCTGGGAGGTGGCCGTCACCCTCAGTGACTCTGGCTTCAAACAGGCCAGCTTTGTCAACAGTATTGCCACCACCAAGGTAAGGGGGAAGTAATCCACATTCCACATTTAGATCAGATAGGTATATCTTGTTTGATGGGATTATAAAATATTTTTCCCAGTGCATATGCATGTATTATATTAATACCTGTGAAGCAAATTAATGTTTTTGAGACGTGTCTTGGAAGATAAATTAGTTATAATATATAGATATACATATGATGTGCTAGAAGACAAAGAATACTCAAGTAAAATGCATTCAACCTGACTAGAAAATCTTCTATAATCCCAGGGAGGGCGGCATATTGACTACTTTGTGGACCAAGTAGTGAACAAACTCGCAGATGTAGTGAAGAAGAAACAAGGGAAAGGGGGGATGGCCGTAAAACCTTTCCAGGTAGGTTGCCTGTTTTGAAATATTTTTGAGAAATAAAATGTTTTGAAGACCCAAAAATATTTTCTTTTATTACCCAGTGTTATTTCACAAATACAGTAGTTACAGATACAATAACTGTGAAAAGAAAAAATGGGACAATAAATTGTTTTGTAACTTGATTGTTTATAATTTTTGAGATAATATTAAAATGAAGGCAGGTTTTTATTTGCTTTAAAATTTAGAAAATGTTTCTGGAAGCTTANACAAAAATATTTTCTTTTATTATCCAGTGTTATTTCACAAATACAGTAGTTACAGATACAATAACTGTGAAAAGAAAAAATGGGACAATAAATTGTTTTGTAACTTGATTGTTTTTAATTTTTGAGATAATATTAAAATGAAGGCAGGTTTTTATTTGCTTTAAAATTTAGAAAATGTTTCTGGAAGCTTAATACCAACTAAATACTGTCTTAATTTCAGATCAAAAACCACATGTGGGTCTTTGTGAACTGTCTCATTGTAAATCCAACCTTTGACTCTCAAACCAAAGAAAACATGACCCTGCAGGCCAAGAGCTTTGGTTCTAAATGTGAGCTCAATGATAAATTCATACAACAGGTAAGACGTGGAACTCCACCCACAGGTACACAGATTTACGCTGGTGTAAATTCCTCATATGATCATATGTCATTCAGTTTCAAACATAGTAGCAGTACTAGTGAATAAGACAGCTTACACATGCGAAATGGTTTCATATTATAATGTAACAATGCCATTTACATTGAAGGTGTTTGAATGATTTCTTTAATAGTTTTGGTGACAACTTTCAGGTGTCCAAATGTGGCATTGTGGAAAGCATCCTGTCCTGGGTGAAGTTCAAGACCCAGACTCAACTGAACAAGAAGTGCCATGCCTCTAAGCATTCCAAGCTGAAAGGAATTCCGAAGCTGGATGATGCCAACGATGCAGGTAACATGGAAACTTGTTAGTCTTGCACAACTAGAGTTTTTTTTATATATATAAAAGACTTTGTAGAGATGAAAAGATGAAACATGGTAATAACAGAATTATTTTAAACATTTGAAGGACAATATTAACTTTGTTCACGTTTATGTATCCCAAATAGGAACCAAGAACTCAGCCCATTGTACACTGATCCTGACTGAGGGAGACTCTGCCAAGACCCTGGCAGTGGCTGGACTCAGTGTGATCGGTAGAGACCAATATGGTGTCTTCCCACTGCGTGGTAAAGTTCTCAACGTGAGGGAGGCCACACACAAACAGGTAAGAAGGAAGGACTGACATGCTAGTTTGAGTTCCCATCCCCTGTGATGATTGAGTAAAACCAGTAAAATAGGTCTACAGGGAATAGCAGAAAATCGAGTAGTTGTTTTAGGAAAAAAGACCAAAGGAGAATATTTTTATTGTGCTGTTTTGAGTCTGTCAGTTATTCTTACAATCATAGGAATTTTTTTGGTAAGAGTTAATAAGTGCATCAGTGTCTAAAGGTGACAGTAAAAGTAGAATCAAAGTGCTTCCTTTCTTTTTTAGATCATGGAAAATGCTGAGATCAACAACCTGATCAAGATCGTTGGCCTGCAGTACAAGAACAAGTATGACAGCCCAGAGACCCTGAAGACCCTGCGCTATGGCAAGATCATGATCATGACTGATCAGGATCAGGACGGCTCACACATTAAGGGTCTACTGGTCAACTTTATACACCACAACTGGCCGTCCCTACTCAAACACAACTTTGTTGAGGAGTTTATAACTCCCATTGTTAAGGTCAGTCTGGGAATTCACTGTAGTGCTCTATGCTGATATTCAGTCTTCATGATAAAATCTAATGGTCCACTCTGTTGAATGATGCGTGAACATTTAAAGAAGTCTGCCTTTGTTTTATTTTGGATAGCTTATGTATATGTTCAATAGTATTTTGTAGTCTGATATGTAATAGTTAAAATTCAAGAAATACATTTAACCATCATTGTAAGTTTACTCATGGGAAGAAAATTCTCTTTAATATGTATGATTATCAGATATTTTGTTGGTTGGATACCAGTAGAAAATTTGTCAGTTTTGTTTTTACATTGAAACCTGTTTACAGTTCTTTTATGACATCCCTTTGTCATTGCCCTATAAAGGACATATTTGCCTCAATGTGCATTAAAGACAGCAATAGTTAACACAAATTCTTTAAACTCTTGCAGGTGACCAAAGGAAAGGAGGAGAAGGCTTTCTACAGCTTGCCAGAGTTTGAGGAGTGGAAAGAAGCAACACCTAACTGGCACACTTATAGATGCAAATACTACAAAGGTTTTAATTTTTTTTGCTTTTAACATTTCCCAATTCAGCCTAGATCCTAGGCTTTTTACTAGATCACATTATTGTGTATCTTTTACTCAAAGTGAATACAGTCAGAATTATAAACATAGAGCATAAACTTCTTAACATCTAAGAGGCCAACATATTGTTAAATCTTTCCCCTATTTCACCAAAATGAACATAGAATTTTAACTTTTTTCCTTGATGTTTTTCTGAATTAAACACCCTGCAAACCTGGTTGTAAGGTCAACCAGCTATTCTTTCTACCCTTTTTTTTTTTCTTAAAACCCAAAATTATATCTGAACCCTGTTATCTATTTTGATAAGGTGTTTCTTTATCTATCTCCACCAAGGTTTGGGTACCAGCACCTCCAAAGAGGCAAAGGAGTACTTTTCTGATATGGAAAGGCACAGGATTCCTTTCAAGTACAGCGGACCTTCTGATGATGCATCTATCACACTGGTTTGTTTCCTCTAAGAATTTCTTCACTTTTAGCTGACCATGTTAGATTAAATGACTACAATGCGGGTGGGAGGAGTTTTGTAATAGAATGTTTCACATTTGAATGGGTTTGTTCATGAAAGGTCTGAAAACATGCATCTGTGGAACTAGGGCATATTTTGACCAAAGTAGTTAATTTTGTATTCAAGGCTTTCTCCAAGAAGAAGATAGAAGAGAGGAAACAGTGGCTATCTAACTTCATGGAAGATCGTAAAAGACGTGCTGAGTTAGGCCTGCCAGATGTAAGTATGCTAGTTTACAAAAGCACTAAACGGTTTCATATTTGTTCCCATATATTTTAATAAGTTGCCAGGGAAAAACATAGGTTTTTCTCTTGTGTTTAATAAGAAAAATTTTTCTCATTCCCTCTTCTTTTCTCTAGGTTTACCTGTATGGCAAGGACACCAGACACATAACCTACAATGACTTTATCAACAAGGAATTGATCCTGTTCAGTAACATGGACAATGAAAGATCCATCCCAAGTCTTATTGACGGTGAGTAGGGTGATGCGAGATATATTGCTACATGCTAGAGGATTGGAGAAAAAAATGGGTAGCAGTAGTAGCAAATTTGAAAAGGCAGTGGTCTGTGCCCAAAAAATTANCCAAAAATATTTTCTTTTATTACCCAGTGTTATTTCACAAATACAGTAGTTACAGATACAATAACTGTGAAAAGAAAAAATGGGACAATAAATTGTTTTGTAACTTGATTGTTTATAATTTTTGAGATAATATTAAAATGAAGGCAGGTTTTTATTTGCTTTAAAATTTAGAAAATGTTTCTGGAAGCTTAATACTAACTAAATACTGTCTTAATATTTCAGATCAAAAACCACATGTGGGTCTTTGTGAACTGTCTCATCGTAAATCCAACCTTTGACTCTCAAACCAAAGAAAACATGACCCTGCAGGCCAAGAGCTTTGGTTCTAAATGTGAGCTCAATGATAAATTCATACAACAGGTAAGACATGTGGAACTCCACCCCTAGGTGCAGGTACACAGATTTACGCTGGTGTAAATTCCTCATATGATCATATTCCAGTCAGTTTGAAACATAGTAGCAGTAGTGAATAAGATGGCTTTCACATGCAAAATGGTTTCATATTATAATTTAACAATGCCATTTACATTGAAAGCGTTTGAATGATTTCTTTTAATAGTTTCGGCAACCACTTTCAGGTGTCCAAATGTGGTATTGTGGAAAGCATCTTGTCCTGGGTGAAGTTCAAGACCCAGACTCAACTGAACAAGAAGTGCCATGCCTCTAAGCATTCCAAGCTGAAAGGAATTCCGAAGCTGGATGATGCCAACGATGCAGGTAACATGGAAACTTGTTAGTCTTGCACAACTAGAGTTTTTTTTTTTTTTTTTTTTTTTATATATATATATATATAAAAGACTTTGTAGAGATGAAAAGATGAAACATGGTAATAACAGAATTATTTTAAACATTTGAAGGACAATATTTAACTTTGTTCACGTTTATCATGATCATGATATGTATCCCAAATAGGAACAAAGAACTCAGCCCATTGTACACTGATCCTGACTGAGGGAGACTCTGCCAAGACCCTGGCAGTAGCTGGACTCAGTGTGATCGGTAGAGACCAATATGGCGTCTTCCCACTGCGTGGTAAAGTTCTCAACGTGAGGGAGGCCACACACAAACAGGTAAGAAGGAAGGACTAACATGCTAGTTTGAGTTCCCATTCCTTGTGATAAATGATTGAGTAAAACCAGTAAAATAGGTCTACAGGGAAGAGTAGAAAATAGAGCAGTTGTTTTAGGAAAAAAGACCAAAGGAGAATATTTTTATTGTGCTGTTTTGAGTCTGTCAGTTATTCTTACAATTATAGGACTTTTTTGGTAAGAGTTTATAAGTGCATCAAAGTCTAAAGGTAACAGTCAAAGTAGAATCAAAGTGCTTCCTTTCTTTTTTAGATCATGGAAAATGCTGAGATCAACAACCTGATCAAGATCGTTGGCCTACAGTACAAGAACAAGTATGACAGCCCAGAGACACTGAAGACCCTGCGTTATGGCAAGATCATGATCATGACTGATCAGGATCAGGACGGCTCACACATTAAGGGTCTACTGGTCAACTTTATACACCACAACTGGCCGTCCCTACTCAAACACAACTTTGTTGAGGAGTTTATAACTCCCATTGTTAAGGTCAGTCTGGGAATTCACTGTAGTGCTCTATACTGATATTTAGTCTTCATGATAAAATCTAATGATACACTCTGTTGAATGATGCGTGAAAATTTAAAGAAGTCTGCCTTAGTTTTATTTTGGATAGCTTATGTATATGTTCAATAGTATTTTGTAGTCTGATAAGTAATAGTTAAAATTCAAGAAATACATTTAACCATCATTGTAGGTTTACTCATGGGAAGAAAATTCTCTTTAATATGTATGATTATCAGATATTTTGTTGGTTGGATACCAGTAGAAAATTTGTCAGTTTTGTTTTTACATTGAAACCTGTTTACAGTCCCTTTATGACATCCCTTTGTCATTGCCCTATAAAGGACATATTTGCCTCAATGTGCATTAAAAACAGCAATAGTTAACACAAATTCTTTAAACTCTTGCAGGTGACCAAAGGAAAGGAGGAGAAGGCTTTCTACAGCTTGCCAGAGTTTGAGGAGTGGAAAGAAGCAACACCTAACTGGCACACTTATAGATGCAAATACTACAAAGGTTTTAATTTTTTTGTTGACATGTCTTTAACATTTCCCAATTCAGCCTAGATCCTAGGCTTTTTACTAGATCACATTATTGTGTATCCTTGACTCAAAGTGAATACAGTCAGAATTATAAACATAGAGCATAAACTTCTTAACAACTAAGAGACCAACATATTGTTAAATCTTTGCCCTATTTCACCAGAATGAACATAGAATTTAAACTTTTTTCCTTGATGTTTTTCTGAATTAAGCACCCTGCAAACCTGGTTGTAAGGTCAACCAGCTATTCTTTCTACCCTTTTTTTTTTTCTTAAAACCAAAAATTATATCGGAACCCTGTTATCTATTTTGATAAGGTGTTTCTTTATCTATGTCCACCAAGGTTTGGGTACCAGCACCTCCAAAGAGGCAAAGGAGTACTTTTCTGATATGGAAAGGCACAGGATTCCTTTCAAGTACAGCGGACCTTCTGATGATGCATCTATCACACTGGTTCGTTTCCTCTAAGAATTTCTTCACTTTTAGCTGACCATGTTAGATTAAATGACTACAATGCGGGTGGGAGGAGTTTTGTAATAGAATGTTTCACATTTGAATGGGTTTGTTCATGAAAGGTCTGAAAACATGCATCTGTGGAACTAGGGCATATTTTGACCAAAGTAGTTAATTTTGTATTCAAGGCTTTCTCCAAGAAGAAGATAGAAGAGAGGAAACAGTGGCTATCTAACTTCATGGAAGATCGTAAAAGACGTGCTGAGTTAGGCCTGCCAGATGTGAGTATGCTAGTATACAAAAGCACTAAACGGTTTCATATTTGTTCCCATATATTTTAATAAGTTGCCAGGGAAAAACATAGGTTTTTCTCTTGTGTTTAATAAGAAAAAATTTTTCTCATTCCCTCTTCTTTTCTCTAGGTTTACCTGTATGGCAAGGACACCAGACACATAACCTACAATGACTTTATCAACAAGGAATTGATCCTGTTCAGTAACATGGACAATGAAAGATCCATCCCAAGTCTTATTGACGGTGAGTAGGGTGATGCGAGATATATTGCTACATGCTAGAGGATTGGAGAAAAAAATGGGTAGCAGTAGTAGCAAATTTGAAAAGGCAGTGGTCTGTGCCCAAAAAATAAGAAAACCTAAATTGCCAGGATCTCAGAATCTACTGGCCCAAATCAGAAAAAATATCAGAAAAGGAGACCAAAATTACGACATTTTACAGACCAGGCTTCGCTTTTATTGGCATGGGACCAGTGCTAACTGTGACATAAATGGAAAGGTCATCTCTAAAAGAAATTCCTTCTTTGTATTGGCCAATGCTTCAGAAGAGAGAGAATAGATTTTTAAAAAATGGAAAAACAAAAAAATATACTGACCTTTATTATTTGTTTGTGTTTTGAACTTGCAGGTTTCAAGCCAGGCCAAAGAAAAGTCATGTTTACCTGCTTGAAGCGTAACCTGCAGAAGGAAATCAAGGTGGCCCAGCTAGCTGGTTCTGTCTCTGAGATGTCTGCCTATCATCATGGTGAGATGTCTTTGATGGGCACCATCATCAACTTGGCCCAGAACTTTGTAGGTAGCAACAATCTCAACCTGCTGCAGCCCATTGGTCAGTTTGGTACTCGTCTCCATGGAGGCAAGGATGCTGCCAGCCCCCGTTATATTTTCACAGCATTGAGGTTAGTTGAAATGTGGATTAAAATGGTATCCCACTATTATCGTGCTTCATAGTTAAGTAAATTTTTCATCCTGAAGCAAACTTAAAAGAGTGTTATCTACTACGACAAATCCTCAACCCAACCTATCCTAACCACCACCTTTGGATATATATGAAATGGCAATTTCTGTCCTGAATTCCATTTACATCATGAGCAAAGTTTATTTTCAGATTTGTAAATTTGAAAATCACCCCCCTTCCACTGTACTTTCAGCCCCCTGGCCAGAGCAGTATTCAATGCACACGATGAACCTCTGTACAAGTATTGTTATGATGACAACCTGAAGGTGGAGCCACAGTTCTATGTCCCCATCCTGCCCATGGTGCTGGTGAATGGTGCCGAGGGGATAGGTACTGGGTGGAGCACCAAGATCCCCAATTATGATATCCGTGAAATAGTGAGCAACCTGAAGAGGCTGATAGATGGGGAGGAACCCAGGCCAATGGTATGGTATAAGTCTAGAGTTGAAAGTCTTCCCAATTTATCTGGATATTTGAAATGAAGTAGTCTGGGTCTTTTGTTTTACAACATCTGCTGTGATGTTATGCTGTGATAATATGTAGTAGTTTTCAAACTGTTTTTCAATTCTGTGTTCAGATCCCTGCCTTCAAGAACTTCATAGGAACAATAGAGGACCACAGCGGGGAGACCATCTGCCATGGAGAGGTGTCCATCCTGGATGATGAAACCATCGAAATAACCGAGCTGCCCATCCGAGTGTGGACGCAGAACTACAAGGAGTCTGTCCTGGAGCCCATGCTGCAGGGCACTGACAAAACTCCAGCAGTGATCAGGTATGGTATAAGTCACAAATGTTGTTGCTTAAGTTGCTCTTTGAAGTAATATATATTTAGAAGTGTTTTTGGAATTCTTTGTTTTGTTTTTTTCCTTACCATCTGCAAATTTTATTCTTTTTAAATTTAGTATTACATTTTAATTGAATGATCAAGTCAGATTTAAATAATGCTTTTGTGTATTTTAGTGACTACAAGGAGTACCATACTGATGTGACAGTGAAATTTGTAGTCAAGATGACTGCTGAAAAACTGGCACAAGCTGAACAAGTAGGACTCCACAAGTTCTTCAAACTCCAGACCTCGATATCTTCTAACATGGTAAGTTTTGGCATCTAACTTATAAAAACCTCTATAAATCAAGGAAGGGATCTTTCCTTACAATGTGCATAGGGCGAGGGGGGTGTTTCTTCATCTTTCTGAAATTGTAGTGCAAGTGTCCTTCATGATGACCTGAAATTTGTCTTAACTGACCAAGTTTTCTGTCTTTGATAGGTTTTGTTTGATAAGAATGGCTGCTTGAAGAAGTATGACCGTGCAGAAGATGTTCTCAGAGAGTTCTACGATGTCCGTATGGAGTACTACATCAAGAGGAAGGACTATCTGGAGGGCCTGTTGTCTGCAGAAGCCTTGAAGCTGGAGAACCAGGCACGCTTCATCTGTGAGAAGATTGATGGAGAAATCTCAATCGGTAAGGTTACACTGGTGTGGACATTTCATGTACATCTACTGGCAATCAGCTTATTAACTAGATTTTCACATGTACATTTTTTTTTAGAACAGTATTAATAAGTTTCAGTAATTGAAAGTCTTTGCAAGGTGTTCAGTTTATTCTAAATGTATGTGAAATAATATATGAAGTATACTGTTCATCTCCACAGAGAACAAACCCAAGAAGGAGTTGATTCAGCTTTTGGTGCGTAGAGGATACGACTCTGATCCTCTCAAAGCTTGGCGGGAGGCACAGGACAAACTAGCCGTATGTTATCAGACTTGTCTTTTTGTTAAGCACTTACTTATTCACATGGCTGTGATGGCCCATGTGGAATATTATATTGTTTTTCAGCTTTCAGTCTTTGAATATATGGCTGGGAATAGACCAATTTTAAAGTGTAAAGCAATTTCATTATACCAGTGTAATAGACCAAGAATTTTGATACAGAGGCATCATTAAAGGAGTATATTATTAGAAAACAAATCTGGTGAATAATGCTATTTAGCATGATCTTTTTATACTTGTTTAGACTTTTATTCATTGAATATTTATACAAATTTTTACAAAAGACAGATAAAGCAGTTGCTAAAAAAAGATTTTAAAATTGTTACATGTATATGCAGATGACTGTTACATTCCAGGAGGCAGACAGAGGGGGTGTTGAGACAGAGAGTGATGATGAGCAGAGCGAGGCCTCCAGCACAGCAGGGGGCCCAGACTTCAACTACATCCTCAACCTGCCACTGTGGAGTCTGTCCAAGGAGAAGAAGGAAGAGCTGCTGAAGCAGAGAGACGCCAAGCAGGAGGAACTGCGAGCACTCCGCAGAAAAACTCCAAGCTGTCTGTGGAAGGATGATCTGGAGAAGTTTTTTGGAGGAGTTGGAAGTATGGATCTCTTTGTCAAGTTAACTTTTTTTCCATCATTTAATGAGAAATCTTACATAATTTTTATTAGTACTGAAGGGTTCGTTGTTTTCTGTGTCTTGTCACAATACAGAGTCAAATTCAATGCCTACTTTAGAATGTACTTTTTTCTTTGATTAGTATTAAAAAACAGAAATTGTTGCAGCAAAATTTTGAAATGAATGGCAGATTTGTGCATGCAAACTCATAATTTGGGGTGAATCCTCCTTTATGTAGAGTGAAAAACCAGATAGATGCTGGAATCTAACAAATGCATTTTGAGGCCACTCATCAACTGTCATACTGAGTTACAAAGTTGTTAGTTCTCTACCTTGGTATGCATGTGTTGTATTATTCTTTACTTTTCTCGCCTCGTAGAAAGTTGAGCAGAAGGAAAGAGAGGATGCTGCGGCAGGTGTCAACCCTGGTGTCGTCAAGACGGCCAAGGGCAGAGCTAAACCAAAGAAGATCCACATCGAAGAGACGAAACCTTCTCCCATGGGACGCAGGGTGGAGCCCAGGATTGACCAAGCCTTGAGGTCAAAGCTTGAAAGAAAGAAGGGAAAAGGAGGAAAGGTAGTCATGGATCCATTCATTTATGCAGAAAAAAAGATATCCTTGCTATATTTTCTCCTTTTGTTGGAAATGGGCAAAATGGTCCCTTGAAAGAATTAGAAAAATAATTTTTTGTGCTAGGGTATCTTATTTGAAGTTGACATTCTCAGTTACCAAATTAAAATGTTTGTAAATATGTTTTTTCTATCATTAATAATGCTATGAAAGTGTACTGAAATCTAGCATATGCAGTGGTTCCCATTTAAAAGATTATGATATGATAATAATTTCCATTTACAGCTAAATAAGGCATGATATTCCCTTATGTCAGTCCACAGCTGATGTAATTATTCGATGATTTACTAAATTCAAACCATTTTCTCATTTTTTACAAAAAGGGTGATGACCCAACACAGAAAAGGCTGTTTGACTTCCTGGATGCAGAGGATGGCAATGACATAAAATCTGTGGCGGCATCAGAGACAACATCTAAAGCAGATGATGAATTTGATGAACCCAAATCTCTTGCTGACCGCCTGGGAAAGAAGATTGGCAGTTCTCAAGGCAGCTCTACTGCTGGTAACTTACCTACTTTGATCATTAAACGGGGTTATCACTGTAAAAGTCCAATGCTGTACCATAGTGCTATGCATGGGCTATCTGGAACTGCTTGTACCCTTCATGGGCTATCTGGAACTGCCTGTATTCCACTGGCCAATGACCACAGGGCTGCTGAGAAAAGGGGGGTTTACTGTATAAAAACCACACCATACATTACTAATGACTTACAGTATAAATGTCTCCCAACATTCACTCCACGAGGACTTGGTTTCACTTCTCTAGACTTGAAACATACTAGGCTAGTGTTGTCAGAACAGTCCAATCAGTTACAAACTGCGAGAGATCTGTCATATCGTTCAAGTCGTTTTATACTCCAAGCTGATATTAACATTTCAGCAGTTATCAGACAAAGAGAGGTTTACAAATGTCTTCGTGTTGTTATGAAAAGGCTGCTTAAGTGAATGGAAATGTGCCAAATTTGCTATAAACAGTTTTAAAAGAACAATATGTAGTCCTGTTGTTCTTTTTCTTGGCAGTTTGTTTCTTGGCTTTTCTCCCCCCAGAAAAAGAAGCAAATGGCACATTAAAATAAAAAATTATCTAACAGAAACATTTATTGGTACATAAGATTTATTTAACAATCCCAATAATGCCATTGTTCCACAGCTCCCAAAGCCAAGAGACAAGCCAAGCCCAAGAAGTCTCCTGCCAAAGGAAAGAAGGGGAAGAAGAAGAAGGGGCCCTGGGAAAGCAGTGATGATGAGAGTGATGTCAACATGGAGGAAAGTGATAATGACGATTTTGATTTTGGACCAAGGGAGAGAGCAGAACCCAGGAGAGCAACAGGTAATGAGTAGCCTTAGTTGGATTGTTGTTATTGCTATCACTGTGCACTTTGTTAAGATTTTATCTTTTAAACTCTGAATGCAAAACTGTGTTACTTATAATCTCAAACCTGCAAGAATAATTCAGATGCCTAAAATACAGCTTAAACTCTAAAAACCAGCCAGATTGGCTTATTTTCTAGCAGTAATGACTTTTTTTCCTAAAATTTTCCACTAGCTGCCTTGCTAGCTTATTGAAGATTGCTAAATATTATACTTCACTACTTCATATTCTACTTGTTTTCATTGTAGCAAAAGCCACTTTTTCACTACTTCATATTCAACTTGTTTTCATTGTAGCAAAAGCCACTTTCAAATTCAATGATGATTCTGAGGACGAGGTGGCCAAAATTGATGACGACTCTGATCAGAGCTTCAAATTTGATGATGAAGAAGATGAACCTAAACCCAAGAAAGTAAAGTAGGTTGAAAACAGTGCTGTGTTCATATTTAATGCTGAAATTAATTGACCATCATGTATATCCATCAAGCTGCTGAATGTGATAATGTGGGATTTAGTGTATAAAGGCCATCCCTGTTTTTTCAGACCTCCCAAAAAATCTGTGAGGATTGCTATGTCTGATGATGAAGATGAAGAATTCAATGATGTTCAGGAATCTCAAGGTAAAGCTGTTGTTATAATTACCTCCACCAAGGAGGTTATGTGTTCACCCCTGTTTGTCTGTCAATCAACATAACTCGACAAGTTATGGACCGATTTTGATGAAATTTTCAGGAACTGTCAGAAGTGGGCCAAGGGAGAGATGATTAGTTTTTGGTGGTGATCCAGATCAATAATCAACCAATAATCAATAATAATAATAAAAATTGCTGCCTATGTGCTCTTGGAGTGCTTTTCTAGTTAGATCATGCAGTGTATTTAGCACTTGAATTCTGTTTTCTCACGGCATCTTAAAGGCTTTCTTGGGGGATTTGTGGCTTCTTGTCATCTTTGATTACATTGCTGTCACTTTTTTTTTAACAGAGATAAGTTGACAAAAGATAATATTTATAACTCGATAAAAGATCACATTCAATTTATAGTCTGTTGTTGATCCAAGTTATCTGTATTTTCAGAGGAGAAAGTGATGGCCGTAATCAGTGACAGTGAAGATGAGCCCCTTGTAGTGGAGAAGGAACCTCCCAAACCCAAGGAGGCACCAAAAAAGAAAACACTTGGGAAAAAGACTGTACCACTGGGAACAAAAGGTAAAGGTTTTGAGCGATTTCCTTTGTGAGTTTCACTAGTGCTTTGCTTTAACATATCATTTTCTTTGATGTGGTGTTTGAAGTTTGTACAACTTTTTTTTACCTTTTTCTCCTATTTTAATCTTAATTGCTATACAATAACAGCACTACTAATAGGCATTCCGTGGCTTATGATTGAATGGCATGATTTGTATGTAATTGCAAAGCAAATTTAAAAAATAAGATGAGCTATTTCACAGGGTCTCCTTCTCCTGCAGATTCCAAGCAGCCCAGTATCTTTGCAAAACTGTCCACTATTCCCAAGTCTTCAGATGTAGATGTAGCCTCTGTCTCTAGTACTGCTAGCTCTGGGTTGTTTGGGGCCAGGAACTCACAGCTCTCTTCGGCTCCTTCTTCCTCTCAGAACTTGGATGACATCATAGAAGTAGAATCTATTTCTAGTGTGGCTAGTTCTGCCACTGCTGCCTGTCCTCCAGGAAAGAAAGAAAGTATGCATTTATTGCATGATTAGTTATGATTAAAAAGAATTGTATATCTTTAGAAAATCTTGTGGTTGCTTGTCTTGATTATTTTTTTTCCTAAAGTATTTAATATGTTGAAGTGTTTGCTGTGTTCTGTTGTGGTAGTAGAGGAAGATTTTTATGATAATTGCACAATTTTGAGGCAAACAGATGGTTTGGTGTTGCTGTAATATTGCATCATTTTGCTAATATTAAAAAAAAAGTAGACTCGTGGAGTAAAGCTTGCTATTGCTCCTGTTTCTGTGAGCAGCCTATGTGCAGTTCAATTACGCATCATAAGAAAAATATGATATTCTTTTTAGCAACAGAATTTTTGACTTTTAACAGTTAACTTAAAAAACTTCCATGTTTTTTTTATTTTATTTTATTTTTTTCAAATCTATCACTGGATTGACAACATCAGCTGGAATGAATTTTGAATTTGTAATAGATTTTGAAAAAAAAGTAAAAAAAGAAACAACTTTTTAAAAGTTCAAGTGAGTTTATATAACTACAAGCAGTTAAGAAAGTTTCTTCTATCCAAAAGGAATGTTCTTTAGTCAGTAGCTTGATAAGTAAACCAGCCAATATTCCATCTGCTTACATCATTGAATAGGACTGTAACAGAACTTTATATTCCCTGACTTCAACACATTTTTGTATTATTTTTTTTACAGAAGCCCCCAAGAAGTCCAAACCCAAGAAAAAGGCCACTTCGGATGGCGACAGTGAAGATGACATGCCAAAGAAACCCAAGAAGTCTGTAGCGGCCAAGAAGAGGCCCAAAAAGACTGTGAGCTCAGATGATTCTGCTGATGAGTTTTGTCCTAAGAAAAAGAAGTCAACAGCTGCAAAGGTAAATGAGTTGTTAAGCATTTTTCTCGGTTTCAATTTTCAGTCAGTGATACAAAAAGAACTTGTCATTGTGAATTTGTGACCCTAATTGAACACTTTGCTCATAAACATGTCAACACCTTTATTTTTTTCAGAAAAAGAAAGTGGATAATGAAGATATGGAAGGAATGGACTTGAATAACATAATTCCAAAAGAAAGATCACAGAGAGCAAGGAAGGCTGTCACCTACAACTTTGATGATGACGATGATGATTCGGATTTCTAGACTGGAAGTTGATCCACAAGTAGTTTTTTCAGCGCGATGCATGGATCTTAAGAGGAAGAGAAAACTGTGTAAAAACAGAGAAAAACGACGCAAAATTTTATTTTTTGTGCCTTTTTTTTTCTTGAAGGAGGGATGTTCTTTTAGTTAGAATCTGAGTATACTTAAATTGTGAGGAGTTCAGTAGTTTAATAACAGTCAACAGACACTGTATTGCACAAGATTTATTGATAATATTTTTATGAATTTAGTATCTGTGGGAACTTTTGTGATTTTAACTTGTCTTAGAATAATAATATCTTATGTATGGTTTTATCATTGCAAGTGTGAAGTGCATTAGGTGCTCGTCTCATTGTCATTTGTACATATGCCATTCAGAACACATGAGTAATGTATGATTCTGACACTATGTGAAAGTTATTTTATCTTGTCCTGCACAATTAAGATACTTTAGTTTGCATAGTATGTCATTGAAATTTATTGTAAGCCGTATAAACCAGTTTATCATTTTATGAAAACTTTGTAGTCTGAAAGTTGATGTACGATATCTTGTACAATAAAACAGCCTGCTTATTAGTATACAAACGTCTTCATATTCCATTGTTATTAACAGGTTGGAAGCCTTAGGTGAGGGTCCATTATAGCCTTGATATGCCCTGCAATTTGAAATCAGTTTGTGGCCTTGAACAGTACTGTAAATTGCTGTTATCCGTAAAAAGTGCTTGAATTTCATTTTTGTCCTTGAAAGGTAGGCCTACTTGAATTTGATCTCTAATGTAAGCTTTACAAAATTTATGAAATATTGCTCATGGCTTACTCGTACAGAATATTGCCGGTGAACTTAACTTAAATATTGAAAGTGTGCTGACAGTATGTATTGACGGTTGGTCGGAAAACTAAGAGAGTGGGAACAGTGAAAAACATTCACTTCTTTTGGACAGACCATCCTTGTCGAGGTGAAAACTGATTTTTTTCAACTCTTCGGTAATCGATCTTGCCTACAGTTTTCGATTCTGTTTCCTTGACTATTTTTTCAATGTTTGGTGTCTGCATATTTGTTGGCCTTGCGCAGTTGCATTATGCAACACTGTGATGACGAAAATCGATAGCAAGAACTTATAACAATAAGCACTTAAGTACATACAAGATTATGTTTAGCGGGAAAAACTGACCAATTACAGTGCATAAAATGACCACTAAATTGGTGTCGAAGTAAACCACTCACCGCGGGACAGCTTGTGTAAATATGATTTTGATATTGTGCAAACGGTTAAATGTGATTTAATTATTGGTTGCTATTTGTTATATGAGAATGCCCCGGATTATAGCTGAGATCCCCCCCTCCCCCATATCAGACAATCGTCCTATTGCCATCACGCACTAGCCGCGCAAGACTATCTGGACATCTGAGTTTACGTTGCCCACCTGTAAGGAAAATTGATCATCATGGAGGCTTTTCTAGGAGAATGGGTGGCCGTTAAGGATAACACGGACTGGACGCCGTTCTTAAGGGCCTCAGGTAGGCCGTCACTTTTTAGAGTTTTTAAAATGGTCTTCAGAGCGCGTCTAAAGTTATGTGGCTTTATCTCTATATTCAGATGCTTTACTGGCATGTAAATCAGTAGACTATAGTGCCAGTGGCAAGGAATATTCCAATTGTTTGAAACGAGAAAGTTATGAATTAAACTTTGCTAAAAGAAAATTATCAATCGAAAAAAAAAAAAATTTTAAGGAAACTGTTTAAAACAGTTATGTTGCAACATTGATCAGACAACAGAAAAAACTATTTTGGAGAACAGATGCAATGAAAAAAAAACGAACAAATCTGCTTTGCAGACTAGAATTTCGTTATTTTTCAGTCCCCAAACAGTCTGTTGACCGTTTGTACCGTCTTTTTGACAGGGGACGTAGAATTTGTATTTTCTATATCTGATATATTTCTTTAGGCATGGATGATGAGAAGATTGAGTATTATAAGAAACTCGACCAAGAGAATGAGACAATAGTATCCCTGACCAAGGATGGAGACGGTTTCTTCTTCAAATCTGATTGCGGCCCAATTAAATTTTCGAACAAATTCCAGCTTGGAAAGCCTTATGATGTAACCATGGATGAAATGAGCTTCAAGGTAATACTGCACATGTAAAGTCAGTTTTTTTCTCAACTTCCATTCACATAACGCAAGTTCCCAGGTCAAAACTTAAAAAACATCAGGTTTTCTCTTAGTCACCGAGCTGGTAGTCGGTAAATATAACATTTAATCATTTGGATCAGCAGATATTGGTATTTTCTCCTATTTTGATGTTGTTTTACAATGTCTTGATCGTTCAATCAATCTGTTACAAGGGCGTCTTTAAGTTGGAGGACGGAGTTCTGAAAGACGAGTCGATGTTTGCAGGCAGCAAGACTTCAAACCCAAGTGAAAAGACCGTCACCACAAGAACAATTAGCGGCGACAAGATGATAACTGTAAGTCTCTCTCTCTCTCTCTCTCTCTCTCTCTCTCTCACACACACACACACACACATGCGCGCGCGCGTGCAGCACAAAGCGTCACCCCAAAGTTAGGCAAAATTAACAGTTTAAAAATACTGACCTTTTTTTCTTTATTTCCAGGTATCAACGACTGCGGGTATCTCACTTACCAGAACATTCAAAAAGAAGTAAACAGTCGTCAGATCTTCAGCTACAACAAAAACTAAAAACCAGAGGCAATATATATCTTCTAAAAGGATCCCTAATATATTAATCATAAATTTGAGAAATTAAGATTGACGCAGTTATTCTCTCTTTTTTTAACCCCTCTTGACTCTCAAACGTCACCTGAACCAGTGGAGATGGATTTATTCACACAGGAAACAAGACGCCTACGTACAGGTGGAGTTAAAATCTACTCGAAGCGGCTCCCCCTGGCCGAAGTGACTGGATGGACTTAGTAATGTTTACAAAGTTTGCTCTCTTTGCTGTAATCCTACATGCACATATTTGTTATACCTGGATATTGCGTCCTAGGTAATACTAACGACGACAACCAATTTGAGCTTTCAACTTTCAACGTTAACTCACAGAACTGTTTTTTTATACAAATGCAAGGGTATTCTGTCTCAATACGGATCACAGGTTTATTTGTTTGTTTACAACATTTTTTTGGCGTGATTAAAGGAATCTTCCCAATCTAATTTGTCAATCTTCTTATATCTTCAATTTAAGGTAATATCTTTGAGCCTTGATTATGTATCCTACAATTAAATACCCAAAAATTGCTATTGCATCATAGTTGGAAAGTTCTCAAAGTCCAGTTTGCAACTGTTATCCACGCAAGAAAGATGTTTTGATTACGAAATAAAGCTATCAACTCGGAGCTTATGTGACTTCGACAATTTTCATTCTCGTCAAATACAAAATCAATCGTGGCATTTTTTGGTCTTTGAGCAAAATTAAACTTGTACTTTATAACTTGCTTAGCTTACACTTATTTGAATTTACTTTACTTATTTATTTGCAAATAACTTCACAATATACACCTTCCTAGCACAGTATATCAAATGGTCAATATTTGATTCTTGAAGCTGATTGGTCAATTCCCCCAACCCCCTCAAAATTAATTTTCATTATTTTTACTTGCTAAAAATCTCTGCGCTTTACACTAGTGCGTTTGTGAATTTGTTTGTGGTAAATTTTGGTTCGACGATAGAGGCCTTAATTTTGGAAATTTTTCTTTCAAATATATAAATGTAAAATTTCATAAATAGATGATCATTAGTTAATACTTATTGAATTAAGTGTGCTAAAGTTCGCAAGGCCTTGCTCTTTGAGTAATATTATTAATTAATTAAGGGATCATCACCAAAGTTAATCGATTCTACATGTAGGGGAGACCGGGGCTAGTTGGACCCCGGGGTAAGTTGGACCCCCGTCAATTTATGAAAAAGTAACTACGAGGTAAAAAAATTGGCCACATACTCTTGTAAAGTGACCGTAGCCTACAATGCTAAGGAAGTGTCGGACGTTAAAAAGTTTTACTTAAGCGGTGAGTCGAAATAAACGATTTTTGCACCTAAAAGTAATTTTGTTTAAGAGATTTAAAAATCTATTTTCATAGGATTTTGATCGAATATAAGATATGTATATCGCATCAAACTGAAGCTCATTGTTTCAAGTTTCACAGAGATGTATCATCGTTGTTTATTCTAGCACCATAAATGGCTACCATCCTTTAAAATACATAATGTGCACCCGGGGCTAGTTGGCCCCCTTGACTCGGGGCAAGTTGGACCCTCGTATTACCCACAATCCTTTGCGCGCAACGCTGTTTGAAATGAACAAGTTGGTGAAATTGACAAAGCTTGCCGGTGTTTACCGTCTGATTGATTTTTATTTAATTTGCTCTCTGGTGTCTTTTTGAAAATTTATATTAGAAATGTTCTGTTGATTGTTAGTATTAAAAAGCAAATCCATTGGACTTTCCTTAGAAAAAACATTTATTTTGCCTTAATTCATTGTAAGGGGATTCTCTTTGTATTCATAGTGTTATATGTGGCCCCAAGGGGATTTTCCACCCCTCCCTAGCTAGAGACCATTGTTGAAACAAACTCAATGGTTTAAAACTGAATTTGTTACTTTCTTTTAAAAAGAAAATTTATTATTCGTTTTCATTCATTAAAAACCTTCTTTATACCATTATTAATTTTTTCTTAATTAAAACAAAACAAATTTTATTGATAGATATTTTGGTTCTTACAACACATACCCCCCCCCCCTCTTCAACGTGACGTACGGAAACCTCAATAAATCTTCCTCATTTGAACTATTTATTCATCAAAGACTCTCAAAAATCAATTTAATAAATTAAAAATGTATAAAAATGTATTTCAAGGCGTTTACATGGGATATGTACTTCATTTTCGTATAGGGGGGCCAACTTGCCCCGACCCTGGGGCCAACTTGCTCCGTGGCGGGGCAAGTTGGCCCCCCTGACGTCAACTGCGTTTTTTGTCAAATTGTGAGCCATCTGGCATTATATTTGAAAAATAATGACGTTGCATACGTAGCTTAGTTCATGGGGCTTACTTTGAAACAGCTTTTGTTACTCTAACCCATTCCTAGTTGGCTCTACAAGGCAAAAAGTGTCTCACTGTGCCAACTAGCCCCGGTCTCCCCTAAGTTAGCCCCTTTCTGACCTATCCTCAAATTTAAGTCTAAATCAGATCGTAACTTTTTAAGTTGGACTGTTTAAAGTTAACTGTCTGCATTTGAAATGGCCCTAAAATCATTTTCTTTGTCTGTATATCCTGAAAAGGTACTTATCTTTTCTTATTCAGAAAATCGCTCGAATGAAATTACCTGTTCCAAACTAAAGCATTGGCATAATGTCTAATACAAGTGCCGAGACGGGCGAGCAGGAGAAAATCACTTTTTTACGGCAAATTCGATTTGGCGGGAAAAATCCCAGAAACTAACAAAGGCCAAAGTAAATCTGCTTGGTCGAGGAAATAATGATATGCAGGCACAATTTTTAATGCACACATTAGTCATTTTATCAATATTGTGCAACACTGCGATTGCCAAACACAAGTACCAAAGTTCAAACAAGATTATGAAAAGCGGGAAAATTTGACCAATCAAAGACCATAAAAAAAGGGATCATGGATCGAAATGAATCACACAGCACGTGACAACTTCGATAAATTTGATTTTAGTGTCGTGCAAACAGTTTAACGCGATCCAATCCATTGGTTACTATTTGTCATTTGAGAGAGACCTGGATCACAACAGGGCCTCTTTATCAAACCGCCATCTGCTCGGCATCACGTACTCCACGCACAGAACTCTGTGGATCACGCTAGTTAACTTCGCCCACCTGTAACTAGAATTTATCGTCATGGAGGCTTTTCTGGGAGATTGGGTGTCCATCAGGGATGAAGTTGACTGGACACCGTTCATGAAGGCATCAGGTAGGCAGTCCTTTTTTAGAGTTTTTAAAATGGTCTGTAGAGTCTGTCCTTACGCTGTTTTGCCTCTGCATTTAGAATTACTGGCATGCAGATTCGCGCCGGTAGCAAATTATATTGCAATTTTGTTTGAAATGAGAACGTTTTTAATTAAACTTTTCTGAAAGTTCATTATTAATCAAAGAATTGGACATTTTTGTTTAACGAAAAAGAAAAAAAGATAAAAAGACTGAACTTACCTGCTTGAATGTATAATAAGTATTTCGTTATTCGTCAGTCACTGAACATGTTTGTTGGTTAAATTTTGTGCTGTCTTAATGACAAGGGAGCCAGGATTTGCATTTTTATATCTCATTTCTTAAGGTATGGATGATGAGAAGATTGAGTTTTATAATAAGCTCGACAAAGAGCATGACACGATAATGACCTTTGCTAAGGAGGGAGACGGTTACATCTTCAAATCTGAAAGCGGCCCAGTTAAATATTCACTTAACTTTCAACTGGGCAAGCCTTATGAAATGACCTTCGATGAAATGAACATCACGGTAAGACCGCAAATGTCCAGTGTTCTCTTTTACTTCTACCCACTTACTTTTAAACCAAGACTTATAAAAACCAAGAATATTCTTCAATTACACGCAGAGATGGAAGCCGATAGAAATAACTGCTGAGGTTAATTTTAATTTCACAAATACTGATATGTTCTCGTATTTCGATGTCGTTTTACAACTTTTTGTTTGTGACATCCATCTTACATCTGAATACTTTTTCTCTAATGGACGAGATGACAACGTTAAAATTTTCCTCATAAAAATAATAACATGGTTTAAGTACTCATCTGCATCTCTGAGATATTTCATCAAAATAACATTTTATGATTATCTTCTTTCAGGGCATTTTTAAACTTGAGAACGGAGCTCTGATAGACGAGTCAAAGATTTCAGGCAATAACGCGACCGTAACCTCAAGAACAATTAGCGGCGACACGATGGTAGCTGTAAGTCTCTCTCTCTCTCTCTCTTACACACACACACACACACACACACACACACACACAGCTTTTAACGTCAACTCAAAGTTGGTTAGAAGAAAAAAGTATATAACCTGTCTATTTTAATTTCCAGGATTCAACGACCGGAGGTATCACACTTAGCAGATCATACAAAAAGAAGTAATCGCCCTCCACATTTTCAATTATGACGGAAACTAGGAATTATTGGGAAATATATCTTCTAAAAGGCCTTTTAATATTTGAATCATAAATTTGAAAAATACATTGATTTGGATAGACGCAGTTCCTCTCTCCTTAAAGGCTTTTTCTGAACCGCCCTTGCCTCTCAAACGTCGGCTGAACCAGGGGGACTAGATTTATTAAGACACAAAACAAGACGCCGGGCTGCAGAATTCTAGAAGCACCTCGCCTGGGTAGAAGAGGATTGGCTGAGCAATGTTTACAAAGTTAGCTTTTTTTGCTGTAATCCTATATGCAAATAACGGGCATTGAGCGTTAATGCTACACCATAAACAGTATTTCACTTTCTGTACCACAATTAACTTCACCTGTGATATGCTTGAAAGAAGTATTTTATAAAGGACAATTATAAGCAGAGCCTATAAATTCAGCTTTTTTTTCCCTGTTATCCTATATGCAAATAATGGGCATTTCTCAAAGCGTATTTGCTGCACCATAAACAGTATTTCACTTTCTGTGCCACAATTAACTTCACCTGCGATATGCTATATAGAAGTATTTTATCATGGACAATAAATGATGTAAACAACGTCGAAAACTCACTGCATAGCGATTTGCAATTCGAAACTTTGGTATTTGCAGATAATTCATGCGAATTACGTAGAAAACTGAATAAATCTCAAATATTGGAAGTTAAGCTTTATTCATCTTTAAACGCTTTTCTTATCATTTTATATTTATTTTTTTCATTTCCAGTGCTTGAAATCTTTTCAACATAATTTACTCTAAACTAGTGATCGATCAGAGGAAATAAAACTTGGTATCTCGCTTACACTATTTAACGCATGATATTGTGATAAAGATAAGGCTCTGAAAACCCACCCCTTACAGCTCACTAACACCCCCCCCCCCCTCGGTTTAGCCTCTATGTTCATATATATATATATATATATATATTGGTCATTTTCATCTTGCTGTAACTGTAAACTGTATTCACACAAAATGCAATTTGAGATGGCGTGTTGACTGTGTGTTTGAAGCGGCAAATTTCGGCCGATCACAAAACCCAACTGAAGTTAATTACGTGTCGTAGTGAAGAAAGCACTTTGCGCTGGCTTAAATCGATCTCTTCTTGTCGCCATCCAAACAACTTTAAACGAAACTCGATGGGCCGGTTGCTATTTGCTTTTTAACGTGCCTCAGTGTATAACAGGGGGGTTAATATAAACCTCTTATTCAACCGCTCCCTGTGCAGAACTAAATCAGAAAACGTTGCCCGTCTGCAAGAAAAGACAGTCATTATGGACGCTTTTCTAGGAAAATGGATCGCCATAAAGGATGACGTAGACTGGACGCCATTCATGAAGGCGGCTGGTACGTTAAAACATGCACTACTTCACTAGAAATTCAACAAGTTTCCACAAAAAATGAATAAAATGAATAATTATCCGAAGAAATGGTCTATTGGGTAAAGAAAAGAGTGCTAGGGAGCGATAAATATTTTGACATTCAGATTGAACAATAATTTAACCATCATTCAATCAAAATCCCAAAATATCAGAGAGAAAACTAAGCTTTTGTTGCAGATCTTGTCACCAAACACAATAAGCAAGCCTAGCACTGTGGGAAGCTGCAACATTTGCAGCACCATTTTTAATTGATTACGCCACGTCTCCATCGCAAACCGGCCGTCTGTTAAATGTTCTGGGCATTTATAAAAACGAAATACAAAACACAGACCTTCTATCTCTGCTCTTTTTCTGTAGGCATGACCGAAGATCAAATCCAATTCTTCATAAAAAACGACAAGGAAAATGATACCAAAGTCACCTTTAGTCAAGAAGGAGATAAGTACGTCTATCACTCCGACTCTGGTCCAATGACATACACAATCCAGTTTCAGCTTGGAAAGCCTTTCGACGTGAAGCTGAAGGAGGGCATGGGTGTCAAGGTAAGGAGGCATACACCCAACCTAAGTGTCTGGTATTCCAGTGTCTTCTTCCATTTTTCACGCACTAGACAAACCAAAAAATATTATACTCCTTTTGCCATTTAACCCATTTTGATCGAATGGCGAGGAGGGGTGTGATCCAACCGGAAAACCTGCAAATATACTTTATTGGTTCGTAAAAAAGACATATATATTCAGTCATTAAGTTACATAAGTAAATCTATACATGCCACAATATGTTTTTACACATTAAAATTCTTGTTGCATTGATGTTGTCGTCATCTAGTACTATTTAACAATTATGCATTTCTAGGGTGTAACTACTTTTGAGAATGGGCAGTTAAAGACGGAGTCGCAAATGACAAATTGCAAACCTACTTCACACATCAGAACAGTTAGCGGTGGTAAAATGAAAATTGTAAGACTCTCTCTCTCTTCGTTCCCTTCATAATTGTCAATATATAAATATAATAATGTTATTTCCATTTTCTTAACCTTTTACATTGCATGATAACTCATAAACGGCCAACTTTGTTGTTGGTTGTCAAGGTGACTCTTTATTTTCAAATGTTCAAATAAGACAAAGCAAAAACGTTCCAAATTCCTGTCGCGTATATTATCAAGCGTCCCCCATTGTCGAATAGAAAGAAATAAAATCATAGGATTCTCTATTTCTAGGTTTCAACGGCCGGTAATGTGACACTTGCTAGAGAATTTCAAAAGATGTAGGTAACCGCCGAGGCTTCAGATACGACGAACAGGAAAATAATTGTTGATACGTGTGCATGCATGTTAGTCATGTTGTTTTCTACAGAGACCAGTACACGTTTTTGAAGGAGCCTACATCTCTTTTATTGCTAAATACTAAAAGCGCACAATCTTTTTTTCGCGACTCCAACAGTCCCTAGTCAGCCTAGACTCCCCAAGAAATAAAGGCGGCTTTGTTCACACTAGACGCGTGACTCACGAGCAAACTGACAAAGTTAAATCACTTTGAAGCATGTCACCCAGGCACAAGTCGGTGGATTGAGCAATGTCTATTAGTTTGCATTCCTTGCTGTTATCCAAAGAACACACATTACTCAGCGCACTTATTTTGTACTTTGTAAGCGCTATCATGTGTTTGTTTTGCCCCAGACAGTGAAGATTGTGAGTTCATGGTGATGGTATATTTTCCATCCGTGTCAAAGCCACGACCCTGACATTGTATGTATGCAGCAAATACTCAAAACGTGAGGATTTGAAATTGCTTGAGAATTCTCTTTTTGTAACGTCGGTCCACTAGATAAATAAATTGAAATGAATGTGAGTCGAGATTTTTCGTATTCAGTTGTGATTGAATATAATGTGAAAAACTGACATGTTTTGTGTTCTTTCGTTACATTTTTACATACGTTTTTTTTTTATCAAGATTTGACATTTTAGAAGACTTAAAGCAATCTTTTAAAATCGCCAATCAAAATATCTCCAAAACAATATAACATTATAGATATCTTATTTTCATAATGTTGGAAGAGTTGTCTATTCTGACTACCTGAGATTGCCTTGACACACTATTTAGGAACACGATCTGACCATTGGCCTAGATACACTGTGGTATCACCAAGAATACGTCAAGGAGAAACCAGCGTTGCCAGGAATGGTAGTCCTAGGAATCGAAGCCAGTAGTTCCAAATGATAAATAAAGGTTAGGGTTAGTCGGAGTATCTGGGTTAGTATATGGGACGAATGTCACCTGTGCAAAGAAATTGGGAGAGGAGAACTGTTCCCAGCGGACTACCATTCCTGTCACACTGGTACGGCAATGATCCCAAACGTCTTGCCTCTCGTGAAATACCGAGGGGATTACAGCCTTTATGGAGCAAGAAGAAAAGATGGTTACTGTGTCATATTCATGATTAATTTATAAATAATCTTCTCCAAATGACATCATAGTGAATAAAATGTAAATCAATGTGGCATTTTTCAAACAAAACTGAATTGTGTCCTGTTTAGCTGACAAGCGTTATTTAAGTTATTCATTCACTGCGTCTGTTGCACTAAATGTCAAAAAACAGTACAAGCACACCTATTCATACTGTAAATTTACTCAATGACGTAACCCTATGAAAAAAAAATCCAAATAGGCTACCTTTCTAAAAATGGCGGCCAGAGCAGAAAAAGCTAAGAAACTTGATAGCGAGTGACAAACCTGGTCATTGCAATACTCGTCATTACAGTATCAGGAAAATAATGGTAGCATTGGACGGTTCGGGTAAAAGGCGTGAGGGAAAGGGGGAGGGGATTGATAGCTTGAAAGAGTCCATGCAATGTATATAATTTGGTCGCTTTTTCTGTATAGTATTTCCTTCACGCCCGATGCCTACATCAACTTATTAATTTAAAACACTGCTAAACGTATTTTCCAGACAGCTATTTTTTCTAATACATTGGTCTCGAATAAGGCATATTTTAGAAAAATTATGGCAATCAATCAGTAAAATCGCTTCATCTTTATTATAGCCCATTTGACACAAGTCAACATGTATTGGCAAATGTAATATTGCTGAAACTGGTCAAATATTACCAAACAAATAATAATCAACACAAATTACGAAAGCATCCGCTTTCTTTATCGCGTTTGTCCACAACATACTGAAAGCAAACACCAACAAGACTTCTTAAAATGAATGTGACTTAATCGATCCAATCTAATAACAAAGTTTCTGAAGCTTCCAGTATTTGTTCTGTCGATATAAGGGGCACGTCCAGTAATACCGTCAAATACAGTAGGGACCAAACAACGGAAACGGCGGCCACGTCTAAAATTGACAGAAATGGAATGTTACGACATGTTGTTGTTCGTGTACTAAGTGTGTTAATTATTTCATGTCTGTGACATACTCAGAGATATAGCACATAGGTAGCTCGTTCAAACAGAGATATGGCACACAAGCCGCACACAGAGATACAGCACATAATTCAAGTATATCCTATAATATAAAAATTAAAATAAGCCATTCAATAATTTTGTAACAGACTACTAGCGCACCTGGTGGTAATAGAGTAGCTCAAGTACAAGGACACAGCGCGCCATCAGGGGCATAAAATGCATAGACGGGGGGGGGGGGGGAGGGGGGCTTATCTTATCTTATTAATAATAATGGTATCGGATGGATAAAGGACGCACCGAATTTAAGTAGCTGACAACTTAAACCATATCCATAATGATGAAATGAAATTTCTGCACGCACTCGTCATACTAGCATTTTATGGTATTGCCTCTGACATACGGCACTATTTTGAATCAACGGCTCCAAAATCCTTCATCCAATGTCTGAATGAAGTGCAGTGGAGTTTCCTCTGTAATCTCTTCTGCACACATGTATGTAGACTGTTTTAATCTATTTTCCTATCAATGCGCCTTGACCTGTGCCAGGGATATATTCTCTCAAACATCTGAAGTATGATCACTTTCTTTGCTTTCGGTTAAGTGACACTCGACAGGTTAGGCGGGCACCGTTATCAAGACGTTGGATTACAAACTGTCATCTGGTCAAGCTGCTGTATGTACTGGTCACGCCCCTGAACGAAATGTGCCTGTGAGACCTACGTGTAAATAGTACAGAACATCCCTCTCCTGAACTAAAGTATAATTGTTAGGCCGAGATTGTGGCACAGTTTATGAGGGAACAACGACTCTACAAAAGGCACCAATTTCGACTATCATTTTTGCTTTCAACCTTAAGTATTTGAACGAAAAAAGGTATATACTAGGGGCAATATCATACCGGTATAGTGCTATCTATTTAATGAAATGTCGCCTAATTAAGACGTAAATTCGGAGAAGGAATAATTTTAGGTAGTAGGTTTTCCCTTATGAGACCTTAGCCCAACGCACCATATGAACATAGTTCTGCGTTAGGTTATATTAAAAAATTTTACTTTGTCTTTGGCTTTAAATTAAGGAACAGCAATTGTACATGTATTACTTTATTTTAATTTTATCCAAAATGTTGTACATATGTGAGCTATGATCCCTTGACACATTGGAATTTTATGTTCAATTTAGTAACAAGAAGCAAATAATTTGATTACCTTTGGTAAGCTAAAATATAAGATAAGATTTTTAAAATCCATCATCTTTCAGTGTTGTCATTCTGACAACAATCACACCACATATCAATAAATTGATTTCACTAATCAATAATGCATTCACTTGTCAAAAGACAAATTTGACATCATAATTTTTATAAAATGATACAATATCATTCATAAAAAGTACTATGCATAATACGAGATGATTCAAATATAAATTCACCTACATACATTAGTACTTTTTGTGTTCAGTTATTGAAGAATCATCAATTCATGTTCTTAGATCAAGTACACATTTACTACTCATGCTTGCTTCTGTATATGTTACTTAGTTAATTTTTTTAAACAAACAATAGATGAAAAACAATAACCATTAATTGGCAATAAAGATATATAAACCAAGTTAAGTATTTGCGAGAAGACCCTCTAACATTTAAATGTTACCCCAAGCATGTTACGCCAATGATGTAGAATGTGGAATAGCTTTTTTAAAGAAAATACTCAGATACATGTTCATATCCAAAACCTAGTATACTCTTTTATATATATTATATATTGCTGTTTTTTGTGTGGTATGCGTGTTTGACACACAATTTTTTTCAATTCCCATATACACATTATTACCACATATTTTCTGTAATTTCAAATTGAATTCTTCAGTAGTATGAAGAATATGTAGTCTCCCACTGGAAGATTTGTGTCCTTTTAAATACAGTTCTTCAGTGTTAGTTTATGACAACCCAAGAACTTCTTCAGTTACTGGATCAACATCAATTTCATAGAAGCATGGTCTTGTCGGCAAGCCTGGCATAGTGCTCATCTGGACAAAGAAATGAAACTTGTTCGAAAACATTTCAACAGAAGTACTGTACATGCTTATTGTTCTAAATATTTAATTTCTTTTTAAACAACTACAGGTACATTAACCAAATCTTTGACAAAATCAAGTGAGCATTATTGAAAATTAATTAAAAAAATGCATTTTAAGATACCAAAAAATGGAACTTAAATGTATCACTTGCATTGGGTATAAAAAAGACTGGTGCTGAACTGGCCAATACACAATGTAGTCATCATTTAACTACCATTTCCTAAAATATGTTTACAGCCAACATGTAGATTTTAAAATGTATATCTTATATAGACAAAAACTCATCAAGCGGACTCCGCAAATTGATGACTCACCTGTCCTACCAGAGGGTATATGAACCCTGCCCCCACACTGGCCCTGGCATCCCTTATAGGAAGGGTGAAACCAGAGGGGGTTCCCTTTAAATTAGGGTCATGAGACAGAGACAAGTGGGTCTTAGCCATGCAGATTGGAAGGTCATTGAATCCCTAAAATAGAAGGACAGCATGACAGAATGAAAAACATGGCATCCAAACGAACAATTTTTAAATTTTCACATAAAGTGAGCATTGATTTATAGAAACACGCATACCAGGTAGTAACACTTTGACCAATTTTTTAATATGCCTAAAATAAGGTTGACATGCCAAGTCATAAACCAAACAGATCTTTAGCTTTAAAACTGCACGTTTTTAAACTTTTGGTAGTAAATGGACCTCAATATCTGTCCCTCCGGTTAATAAAGGTTCACTAAATGACATAGTACAGTGCCCACATTGCATTATCTGATCATCATTCTCACTCCCATGTATGGATGTACAGGTACTGTAGCTGCACTTGCAATTGCATATTTATTCAAATGAGACTGCTGAGGGATGTTTATAGCACAGAAAGAAAGCAGAATAATCATTCAAATATCATTTTTGGGTAATAATGAAATGATGTCCTTTGGTATTTCTCTAAGTTATACTATTTGAAACTGGTGGCATTTGGTCAGCTTATGTGGCAAAAATTTTACCTTAAATGCACCTGTAAGTTTCTTTTCAGCTTTACAGCTTATTCCTACATAGTAAATATGATTCATGGCAATTTTATATGTCATATTCGTAAAATGGTGGTCACAGAAGAAAATATGAAAACTCAGCTTTTGCCACCATAGTTAAATCCACTGAAGCACAAAAACTCTACCTGTTTTTTGAATAGTTCAATTCTCTGCTGTGCCTCAGGAAGGAGCTCAATGCCATCTGCTCCATAAATTTCCTTGGCAATGGTTTCTATCTTCTGTTCTATAGGAAGCTATAAACCATAAAATACAGTATTGCAATGCAGTTGTTTGCCTGATTTTGGAGACAAATCCCAATCCCATGCTTTGTTACAATGAACACAACAATAGTGGCTGTTTAGTAATAAGACACTTCAATAACAATGCAACAGATGAATTTAGGAAATAATCTCAAACTCTAAATCTAACAACGTTCAAACCTGCAGTATACAAATACATCTTTTTTTTGACAGATAACAAAGATATATACACCTTTATAAAATACCACATCCATAAAATTCACTTTATGCATTTAAAATCTACATCACTTTTCTGATGTGCATTTACCTCTAGGTCATATAAGAACTTGAACTGGCTGCTTTCCTTGCAGGCTTTCTCTACTGCAGCAGCCAGACTGACCGCGCCATTCCCACCCTCTGCCCAGTGACGGCTGATAATGGCGTCAAAGGCTCCACTCTCCCTTGCGATACTCTGAACTGTCTTCAGTTCAGAGTCTGTGTCTGTACTGTAATGAGCATTAAATGGTTACGTTGGTACACTTTTTGGTTTCAATTAAAGCAAACATTTTTATTTTGGATTATAATTTTAAAAAACACAAACAAACAATGTGCATATCTAGATCTACCCAATGTCCAACTTTACACACACACACAAAAAAGCGAATGATGTTCATATTTTAATAATTTCATATTGTAAGTGTGTGCAGGACATAGTGAGGAAGCAGAAACATTAATACTTTTCATCTTTACTTGATTCTAAATGCAAAATAAAATAGCTTCCTGGCTCTCCCTCCATTACTTAGTACTGCTCAAAAACATCCCCTGACCACTTACTCAAAAGCATTGATACAGACAACAACTGCCACTCCATATTTCCTGGCATTTTCAATCTGTTTCTTCAGGTTGCAGCAACCTTTTTCAACCAGTTCAGTATTCTGTGAAAAAAAAACACAAAAAAACACTGGTTTATGTGTCAAAGTGTACGAGTTTTAGGCATGTATATAATGATTACTGAATAAAGAGGAACAATTTAAATCCTTACACATGAATGATAAGAAAACCAAGACATCTTCCTATCTTTGGCCAGGCCTGCCTTCATGTCAGGTGATGAAAAAATGACCAGCCCTTGACCCACCAGTGTAGAATCAGACACAGATAAATACAAATCTAAAAGCTAAGCTAAAAATGTATCGAACTTCAGTGTATGCGAAGTATGCACAAATAAATCAAATTCATCAAAAGGTGAAAATATCTTTAACTTTTTCACAGATGGCTACATTTTCAGAACAAGCCACAAGACTTTACAAATGACAAATGAATCACAGTTTACATACCTCCTGTACATACTCTGATGGCAAGGGCACCCCTGCCACCACTTTGGGACCCCCACCGTGCATCTTCAAAGCTCGCACCGTGGCTACCAGAACAACCGCATTGGGAACAAGTCCAGAGTAGCGACACTTTATGTCAAAAAACTTCTCCATCCCAATGTCAGCACCAAAGCCTGCCTCTGTCACTGTAGTAAGAAATAACAGAAGACTTAAAGTATGAATTTCTTCATAAGAAATGTGCCTGCTGAATCATATCTATGCTAAAATTGAATTGCAACCTACAGGAGCTTTTTACTAAGAGATAAATTTATGACTACCTCATTTTTTGTTAGTGTCACACTCCTCAATTTTCAAAGTTGGTTGATATAAGTTATTAAAATACTAATTTTTTTTACTTTACCAAAGTCAGTAATCTCTAGATTGGACCAAAACTATGCCTGCTTGTGCATAACTGAACATCTTTCACACAAAAATTGCGTATAAATATATTAAATAAATAAATAAATAAATAGATAAATAAATGGCAACTTACCTGCATATCCATCTTCCCCTACCAACTTCAGTGCAATCATGTCTGCCAAGATGGAGGAGTTACCATGAGCGATGTTGGCAAAGGGGCCAGCATGGACAAAAACTGGAGTGCCCTGAAGAGAAATACACATTACACCAGCCAAGGATTAAATGAGTTCTCTCCTCAGTTTTTGTTGATGCTTTACATCTTCATGACTATCTCCTTGATAAACAAAGGTATTCCTAGTCTGTGAGAACCAAAGAGTGCCACTTAAAAAGTGCAGCGATGTTAATTAACCTAATTTCATTAATTCAAAAAGTATTTAAAGACACATCTGAATAAAAGACTTAATTTCCACATGGCTTTCAAAGAGGAAATACATATTAAACAATACCATTAACTCACCTCCAGAGTTTGCATGAGTGTTGGCTTGATGGCATCTTTCATAAGTACAGCCAGAGCACCACTAACTCCCTGGAAAAAACATAAGGGAAGTTTTGAGTAAACTCAGCTTAACCAAGTGATATATTTCTCTTTTATACATTAATTACTCATTATCACAAAAGTTTTAATTACTTGCATTACAACATAAAAAATATTGTTCTATTGACCATTCATCTCATAAAGCTTATTCAAATATGTAACTGCAGAACTACCTCTTGCAAAAAAAAGACTCAAATGCAACACATCCAAAGATCTATAAAAACAAATACTGCAATATCTTGCAGCACATAATGAAGCATTCATACCAAGTCATCTGCAGAGACTGGATTTCCCTCTTTATCGCTGGCAACCACCATTTTGCCCAGCCTCTCTCTCATGTCGGCCAATCCAGTGGTCAAGGCCAGTACAGCCATTATTTCACTGGCCACTGAGATGTCAAACTGTGTCTGCAGACAAATATAACAGTGTTAAGATTAAAAATTATCACATTTCTAATATGACTTCAACATTTACACAGAATGCACTGTAAGTCTCCTTTTTGTTCCATATTGTTTTAGTTTTCATTTAATCAATTTTTCAGCATTTTATTCTTTTGCATCTGGTGGCTAATTTTACAGTGGGAAAAGGGCACATATATTCCTGAAAACTATGTGATTCCATTTCCATTTGAAAGCTTTATCCTTTGTCAGACAGTGCTTCCAAATATATAACATTTCAACGACACCTAGAGTTACTCATACCTCTCTTGTGTGTCCTTTCTCCAGGGGTCCTTGACCAATGGTGATTTTACGCAGGAAACGGTCATTGGTGTCCATGACTAAAAACATATTAAAACAAACAGAAACAAAATAGATGTGGAACTGACTCTCATATGTTTAATACTAAAGAAGCATCTCAACATGCTGATGCTGACTACAAAAATAAATAAATAAATAAAAAACTCATAATGATAAATGACATACTAGTGGATAACTGAGGCAATTGGTTTTAAAATGTTTTTATAAAAGAATTTTATATTTCAGGTCACCGAGTGCAAATCTATACTTCGAAGAAAGATGTCTTCACCTACCTCTCTGCCAAGTAATGGTGCTGGGATCTATGTCAAGTCTGACAAACTTCTTGATCTCCTCAGGAGTCAGATCATCTGGGTTGGTCTTAGCTATGCCTAGATTCTAAAACAAAGATTACATAACATTGTATTCAGATGTTTTAAATGTGGAATGACACTTTATCCATATATGTTTTTCATGTTAAAAAATTATGTCAAACTAAAGCATTTTACTGTTAACTTGACAGTTGATGTGCTGGAATGAGTTTAAAAACTAATATCTTCCAAAGAAAAATTCACAAATGGCTTTCACTTTTTAGTAAACAAATAATACAATAATAAAAGTATTATGACATGATAAAAAGTTTCTTCAATAACCAACATTAAAAACAAAAATAAATTATTATTCTCACTTGAAGTCTTGTTAGCTGTATGGGACAAAATGATTTCTTCCCTTTTTTAGCAGGCACCAGTCTTTTCCACAGTGCCTCGTCTGACTGTGTGGACTCATGGAACATCCTGGCCTCTATGGCCGCAGCCAAGAGGTTGTTAGCAGCAGTTATAGCGTGGATGTCTCCAGTCAAGTGAAGGTTGAATTCCTCCATTGGAATAACTTGAGAATATCCACCACCTGCCGCTCCACCTGGTGGGAATTTAGTAAAATATGTTGATAAGATGATGATAAATATAATTAAACTTTATAAAATATTCATATGGGGATAGATCTTGTGTAAATGTAGACAAATCTTTTTTTATGACAGTATAAAATGGGACTTTCATATATCTCCTAATACTATAACACACTTGACTGGAAAATAAAAAATCTTTCTTTTCCACATGGCACTCGGCCTCCAACTGGATCAAATTATACTACTGCCCTGTTGTTACCTTTGATTCCAAATGTGGGTCCCTGAGATGGCTGCCTCACACAGGCAAACACATTCTTCTTCAGGTGTGCACCAAGAGCCTGACACAGACCAATAGTGGTGGTACTCTTGCCCTCCCCCAGGGGAGTGGGGGTTATCCTACAGGTGGACAGCAGGTTGATTTTCGTTAAACAAGTTTTTTTTTCTTGGGGAGGGGGCTTTTTGGGGACACAAGGGTTTTCTTAAACAATGATGGGGGTTATCATGCAATGATCACCAGTACTGATTAACTGAGCAACACAAGTACTGGTGGTAATTTGACAATAATTATCTCATAGTTTAACTGAAGCAACAGTCACCAGCAACAAATGTTCTGACCAAATAATCACCAGTGTTTTAATTAGGATAGAGAACTGTAGAAATTCTACATATTTCCTTTAACATCAGCAGTGTTTTCCAAACATTTTCCTTACCCAGTTACTACAACATATTTCCCATTAGGTCTATCCTTGAGTCTCTTCAGGGCATCCAGAGTAACTTTGGCTTTCTTCTTTCCATACAGCTCAACCTCACTGTTCAAAAGTCCAACTTCTGAGGCAAGGATAGCTATGTTCTTAGGTTGCTGAGACTTGGCAATATCTATGTCACTGAAAATATCACAGACATATATCTGAATTATGTACGAACATCACATTTTTCGACAAAATGTGTACCTCACAAAGTCATCTTTCACTATGCCACATTTTCTGATAGTGTAAAGTCAACACAGTATACATTTATATGAAAGTGAGATTTACTACTTCATCACACTGAATAAGTTTCACAGTTCTGTTTTTGCCCCTGCTAAAAACTTGTTTACATCTAAGTCCCTTCGATGACACGGGGAAACTAAATCTAAATGAAGAAGCATCCTTCCCCCTGTCCCAAATATTACAGGTTGTATTTGACACCAAATGAATTAAATACTGTGAATTCTTTCATTTTTATCATTTACATCCCTGGCGGCCCTACCTTGGAACAGGTGTCTTCAGTGCAAGGGGTAGGAACTCCATCCTCCACTGGCCTACCTATAGTCAAAGTACAAGCATAGTTTCAATATAAGCACTTATTTTTATTTTTTAATTTCTCAAACTTTGAAGTTTTGCTCTAAATTACAGGAAAAAGGATAAAGATAATTGTAACACAAAAGATATTTATCATAATGGATAAAGATAATTTTCCATCATTATGTACATATATTTCGTTCATAGGAAATAATGCATCCATACAAGAATTAGTTCTCAACTAATCTCCCAACAAAAAACAATGATAAAATCTCAGCCAATGCAACATAAGCTATGTAAATGCTATGAAATATTTTCGATGTTTACCTCCTCTTTTTCCAACCCTTTAATAGCTGCATCTACTGTATTTTTGATCAGCATAGCGACTGTCATTGGTCCTACACCTCCTGGGACAGGAGTAAGCCAGCCAGCTACCTCCTTCACTTCATTAAAGTCTACGTCACCAACCAGACGCTTTCCACTCTTCTTGGTGTCATCTAAAAACAAAATCACATTTCATTATGTTGCCTTAATTCATTATATAGTCCAAATGGTAGTGCTTTAATAATTATTTCTGATATCATAATCACGCCTTATATCTGACTGAAAATGCATTTTTTTTGTCATATTTTACCTGGGATAGAATTAATCCCACAGTCAATGACAACAGCTCCGGGTTTTACCCAATCACCTTTAACCATTTCTGGTCGTCCAATGGCCACCACCAAGATGTCTGCTGTGGCAGCCTAAATAATCATAAAAACAACTTTTTCACAAATAGCAATCATTTTATTATGAAAAAGCAAAAGAAAAAATGTCAGTAAAAATTAGTCACTAGTGTTCTCAGAAAACAAATATTGAACCAGTTTATGGACAACATCTTAAAAATTACAGTCCTTTGTCTTTCTATTCAGAGTGTGCAATTTTCTCTGCTAACACAGGGATGTTTGTCAGGTGTGAGTAGTTCAAGATTATAATACATGAAAAATCAACTCACAACACTCTTCAGGTTCTGTGTTCTGGAGTGGCACATAGTAACTGTTGCATTCTGGGATCGCAGCAAGTCTGACATTGGTGCCCCAACAATCTTACTCCGGCCAATCACAACAGCAGACTTACCCTCTATTGGAAGACCTGGAATTGAACACAAGTGAGTCGGCTTAAAAACAGTCAGCTGCACTAACTAAATTGAAAGACTCAAAGGAAAAAATATTCTGAAATAAAACAAATCAAAATCTAATTAACATTCCAATATTAGGTGTATTCATTGATATCACAGCAAAGAGTTCCTTGGCAGACAAAATGTATCACCTGACACAGAAGTTAATGGCTCACCTGTTCTCTGAATAAGCTCTAAACATCCTCTAGGGGTACAGGGTAGCATGCACCCCTCCATGTCCTGTCTGGCAAGCCGACCAGCATTGACACTTGTCAACCTGTATAAAAAGCAAACATTTTTCTTGCATAGAGTTTTCAATTGCACATGCATATGTCAAATTAATCCAACAGTATTTAATTACATGCATACTAGACATTTTTTTATATTGCACTATCCAATTGTTTCTTAAAACTAATTACAACAAAGAGATGACAACCTTCATTTAATGGGAAAAGTGCAATAAAACAGATTTTCCTGGGATAAACGACAATTTTCCCATACTTTCCTATGGTTAATGAATCTGTTCTGACATTAAAAGTAAGTCAATTGTTTTTTTTTTAATTATTTTTTTGAAATAATCTCCAGAGGGTAACCAAGGATGAAGGTCCAGGTGGTCCAAGGGCAAGCACAGATTTCAGAATAATTGCTATAACTACCATTTTGGTGGTAAAATGGAATTTATGACATTTCTATGTTTTGTTTACAATGTTTTTCTAGTGGAGTTTTGAATCTCATGTGAAGAGTTGTTTTGCCTTTAAACTGCTTTCAGTATCAACAATACAAATACTAACAATATGATATACCCCAGGCCTATGATGAGTGTAATAGATTGAAACTGAAAGACAAGCAGCTTATTCAGTGAATTATCTGCATCCCAATAGAGTTGAGATGTCCTAGTAAGCCATTTTTGATTCCTGGAGCACCATATGAGTTAGAAAGAACTACCTTTTTGGCTGGAAAAGGTCATTTTAAATTAAAATTTGATCTAGAATATAATTCATTTCTCAAGTCTGATTGTCTAAGTAAGTAAAAATGTCCAGGTTTTTCAGACCCTCCCTACACCTTTGATTTTGCAATGTACAGGCTTGGGTCACCTACCCGTCCACATCTTTAGCTGGGTTGATGGCATTGGTGACCACATGGGCATCAATGGGGTGACTGGACTCCATGGGAAGCTGGAATATCAGGATGTCTGCTGAACACATCACATCAAATCATATCACATCATATCACATCACATCACATCACATCATATCACATCACATCACATCACATCATATCACATCATATCACATCACATCACATCACATCACATCACATCATATCACATCACATCACATCACATCATATCACATAAGGAGGTATTTGAATTTTGCTTTGGAACAATTCTGACAAATTTCCATGCTAAAGGGAACACTACGTATGTTAATCTATAGCAACACTGAAACAGTTATTAAGAATTAGACATGACTGAAGAGTAAAGTGATAACTCTTAGAGGATTAAAACATGAATGATGTGCTCCATGCCCTCTCCTTGTTCTTGCAAGCTCACTTAACAGCACTGTTATTCCATGTACAGTACACATGCTGTGGTGGCTGAGCTTCCTGCATCATTATCCCATGTACAATTGCTGTCAGGCTCCCTTACCTGCTCTTATCATCCTATGTACTAGTAATCAAGCCGTATAGGCTCACTTACCTGCACAATCATCCCATGCACATCTGGGTCCTCATTCAACCTGTCTATAACATCTAACACCTGATAGAAACAAAAAATAAGCTATTGTAATAAAATCTTACAAGAGAGTATGTTTAACATTAGTTTCTATGACAAACATGCCTATAATAAGTGAACAATTTTTTTGTGTGCTTTGGCTAAATATCAAAAACATTGGTGATTATCTCCTTAATTGCATGTGGATGGTATGTGCATAACCCAGTCCATCTTCTACTTCTTCAATTTGATGTCCAAATATCACATTTCATACATAGTTCAGATTGTAACTGTATAACCACTGCCAGGGTGATTAAGTACAACAATACACCCCAGTATTACAGAAAATACAAATGGTACACAAAAAAGTACTCTTTCAAGTAATAAACAACATATTCCGAGCTACAAGTAAATACAGACCTCCCTTTGAGTGGATGAAGATGGTAGCTTCACATGTTCAAAATTCAAGCCTACATCATTGGCAGCTTTCCCCTTCATGCGGATGTAGACATTAGAGTCCTCACGGTCACCAACCTGATATGAGAATAAGTGAATATTGGTGGGGATATGCCTGCAGTTTTATTTGTCTACATTTTCATTTAAAAAATACACTGATAAATGCACATGATACTATATTCCTATAGCTATAGGAAAGTGTTTCATTTGTGTGCCTCACAACATGTCACATTTGATCCAGATAAATGTGGCTAATACCATTTTCTGAACTTTAATCCACATCTTAGATCATTTGTGTTTGGTTACTCAAACCTATATGTCCTAGTTCTGGCTGGAAACTAAATATAAACATAGCAGCATGCTAAGACGTTTGATAACCTTTGAGATAAATAGGGCAAGATAGTTGACAGTTGCACTCACAGTTGAAAACGATAAAATCCAGACTGAAATGGAACTTAATAAATTTGTGACCTTGATCCAACATATTACTGCATTAAGCATGCAGAATCTCAAAGTTTTAATCATAATGGCCAGAGTTGGTTCATATCTCCAGTTTAGGTAGACATGTATGTTCAACAATTATGAGACTATTGCAACTTGAACTAATTTTTTTAATTTTTTAAAATTTAATTGGCAAAAAAGAAAATGGATATATATGCCTTGCTAAAAAGCTTACTAGTACATGTACAATGGGGAAAATACTGTGAAAAGCATTAACATATAATCACCTGTACCACAACCAAACCTGGCTTAAACTCAGGTCTGGTTTTGACCACTTCCTGGACATAGTGCTGCAACTGAAGTCTGATTTCCCTGAAATATAAACACAGATACATTAGTTTGTATGCTTTTTAGATTTGTCACTACGGTATCATCAATATTACGAATGAATTTCCTAAATAATTCTGCACATTTTTCTGTAAAAATATAAAGTGATGACTATTAGTAATTTTTAGCTGTACTAGTACATCTAGCTGCCCCTACTCTCTTTATGCAGAGCCTGCTTAATGCTGCCAGTATGCAGATACAACCTGTAACCCCCCCCCTTCTAGCGAATTGAATGATATTAAACAGATACAGCTATGCAAATTGGCTTTTGTTTCCCCATTTTGCTGACAGTATATATATATTGTTCTACACTGAGCCTGTGTCTGGGTCAAGCTTTGCTTACTGAAACGTCCAGCCCTAAACAAGGGAAATCATTTCTAGTAAGGAAAATATCATAACAAAAACGACAGAGTTGCCAAAAATGCAGATGTCATCAAAGTATATTGAAAAGGAGATGATTCAAGTACAGATGTGTCTCCTGGGTGTGATGTCGTCAAGTTATATGTCCCAATTTCTGCCTCCCGAGTTCTGGTTTGGTTTGCAATGCAAAGTGCTACCTTGGCAAATGCTACCTGTGAAACGATCGAGACGGAAAGTCGATTTTAACACGCCAACTTGTTTAAGGTCTGCCCACCTTTCTGATTACCTCTCACTTTATATTGAATTCGTAAGTTTGCACCTACTTTGCGATCTCTGTGCCGCTTAGTAGCTGTGCCATGGTCGTAGGTCCTCCTCCGATAAAACAACCCACGTGAATTTTTGGCCTTGACCTTTTATGACCTACTTTCACTGTGCCGTTCAGAAAGGGGTGTGGTCATTGTGACAGGAGCGCATGAACAGGGTTATGCTATTTCTTTTAGTCCTGGGATACAAGTCCCAGGGCACGCATTCCTAGTAATGGGAATCCTAAGGCAGACATGGATAGGATTTTATGTCCGAAGATCGATGGTCAAAAATAACAGCGTGAGGTAAATGAATGCAAGTTCGCTACACTAACATACTAGTACGTGCCTACTGGTACGTGCGGTAGGCTATTAATGCAAGTCCTAATAGGAGGTGCATTACCAAAATTGAAGTACACATACGCAAATGTTATATGAATGATTAGATTTATAGATACTATATTTTAGGTATACCAAGTTTTTGTTGAATTTCATGAAATTGACATCTTATTTCCATATTTTGTGACAAATTATTTTTCGATATAAGGGTGGGGAAGGGGCTATGTACTTTAAATTTAATTTAATAAAGTAACAAAAACAAATATCCCAGCTGTTTTTATTCATTTATATTTTGTTTTATTTTTCCTCTACATCGCCTTTTTGATTGCTGGCATTTACGCTGGTTTGAAATGAGGGAAACGTCACAAGCGAAACGAGGGAAGAAACACAAAAACAATTGTCCCATCCCCTTTAGCAAAACCGTTGATAGATCTTGATACACCAGTGCCCGGCAATTCTTACAAAGAGCTTCTGAGCTCAATGTATAATTCAATTAGGCGATACAATTTCTCGCATTACTGCGCCCCTTTTTTGCACTGATCTTTCCTGCACTTACTTCCGTAGTCCAAGTGAGCGAGCCTCGGAGGGTCTATCAGGGATAATCAAAGATCTTTTAAAGTAAAAATTGAACATCTGAAAAAGATTTTACGTCCCGCCTTTTATTGCGGGATTGCGGCTAGTTGCAGGAGTACCATGTAGGCCTTCTGCGTAGATCTGCGTAATTGTAAGATGAAAACACATGTAAGACCCACAGAGCTCAGCTGCAGTTTATTATTGTTTAAAAAATCTTATGGTTTTTTATACATGACATGTATATTTAAACTTTTGAATCTTGTAATTCATTTTCACACAATCTACATCTTCATCCGTTCGTCTATCTAATTTTCTACTTAATTATTGCACCAAAAAAAACCCCAGAAAATACTAATGTGACGGTGCTAAATTTGTGTATGCTGTCAGCAGGCGCTTAAACGTGTATTAACAAGCATTTTGGATCGGGGAGCACCGCAAATACAATAAATAACATGACAGACCAATTATAATGACACTTGGGAGTATAAACGAGGCTTGCTATAGAGGCTGACGTATAAGTATTGTATGTGACAACGGTTATACGTACAACTTTGAGCGTATGGAATCACCCCGTTTCCCGCCTATATAAATAAAAATATAAGATATTGTTTTTGAACATGATCAAAACATTTCATCTCTTTCCGGGTATGCAAGACTATATTATTTGCCTACGCACTCGAGACGTATAGGCCTACGATATAAATCTAACGAACATCTTGCGTTTGTACATGTATGCGAATGGGTAATTTTTCCGTATTCATACGTTAGTGCTCTACGCTGGGTGTTTACACTGGGAATGTGTCCAATGCATTTCTTATTTCCGTGTTCCTGGTCTTATCTTCTGTGTTCTTGTTTGAAAAGTTCTTCAAACAGTGCATTTCGGACGTGGTGATTTTTGCCTTCAAGTGTTTTCTTTAGAGCCCAGGTCCGGAACTTATGTGTTTAAATATAATTTTCTTCTTGAGAGACTTTCAGCTCACAAGTAAAGCAATGGCTCGATCTTTTCAATGGACAAAAATGATCCAACTTTCAGAAACAATTTTATAATCACAATGTCAGAATGTGTATTTTTAAGAATAGCATTTGTGGTGCGTTTACTGTATAGGATAGAACAATAGAGTAGCTTCAATAGGAACGTACCGATTTTAAGAAATTATTATTTATAAAATACAGTATCTGTAAAATTCACAATTTCCTCTGTTGAAAAGATAGAGTAATTATTGTAACTGACTTTGATGGGTCAAGCTTTAGCGCTTTTCTCTTTGCGAAAGACCTGAAGACAGATGAAGGCAGAGGTGACCAAACGGTATTGTTAGGTCATCTCCATGTTGCAATAAAATATTTGGAAATTAATTTTTAAGGGGTGAACTGTTCATATACTACATTATATTACTTAAATATAACCCACAGCATGAACTTTCGTGTTTTATTAAATCCATACGTGCACTTCCTACACTGAAATAATACCCGAAAAAACAACTATGTTTGTAGGAACGTCGCTTTTTTTTAATTTTTGTTTCTCTTTTATGAACTCATTTTGAAATGGATCGTATACGGCATTCTGTGACTGTTCACAAGCTGTGCACATTTCTATTCTGCGAAGAGAATCTTTTCTGGCCTTTGTTAGAGATTTACTACATACACGCATGTAAACAGGACGTGACTCCGTTGTCCCATTTCATCATGTAGTAAAAACAAGAAATCATAAAATGAACGAAGAATTGGATAAGAAATACTAACCCTTATCAATTCATAAAAGAAATATTCATCCTTATCAATTGATAAAATACATAATCCGCGAGTCAAGCCACAAGTACTTCTGGCGGGATGCGCAATCACAGAAATGTGGCATAGCGGTTGTTGCAAGTACCAATACAAAAGGACTTTGAAATTGTCGAATTGGTTCAAAATAAGAAAACAGTATCTTTAGATTTATACTTTATTATGTATTATTTAATAAGGATATCTGATGAGTTAACCAGGAGTTTCCTGGCCGCTACTGAGAACATTTTGCTTTATCAGACTTTTTTCTATTTCTTTGAAATTATTATCGGGGAAGGGAAAAGAGATCCTCAAATTTGGCTTGAAGACCTGAATGTTAATATTGTATTGTACGAAAATTGTATATTGTATGAATGAATATATATAACTTAAATCCATCTTAAAATAACTATAGACCGGAGAACTAAATTACAATATTTCCGTTTACATGAAAGCATAAATATCACATACCACTCACACAAAAAAAACTTCGTTACCGTCTCTGACCTAAGTATAGTTAAACAGGCGCGCTGCAATACCTTCTGCGTGCAATCTCGTTAAGTGAATGTCCTGTTCATCAGTGGCGACGGAACTTTAAGTTTAGGATTTGTTGCTCGTACCTTGCAATTAATAAATTATAAACCTACAATCAGCTAAGATCAGCATAATTCTTTCAGAATGCAACTATTGTACAAACACAGATAATAATGAAGCTTACATTTCGTGATAGTGACATTAAGTAGGAAAAAACATATTGGTCTTAAAGATGAACAGCGTAAGATTTTTTTGAGACAAACCCATACTTATTTTCCTGGGGCAAGCAATATTTTTCATACTGACCAACCCGTGATACTCTTTCCACGTCACTCGCCATAATTCTGTAACAATCTGGGAAATTTTAAAAATCGCCATCACATCCAACACTGACATGGGGTGCAACAGGAATGGAAGTCCGCTAGGAACCGCAGGCCGTTCCCCATTACTTTGTACAGGTGACATTCGGCCCATATACTAATCCCAATGCTCCAACTAACCCTAACCTGTACTAATCATAGGGGAGCCCGGTCTTCCACTCCTAGGACTGCCATTCCTGTCACACCGGGTTGCGCGTGATTCTAAACTGTGGTGGTGAGAATCGTCTGGAGAAGATAAATTAAATAATTTTTGGCGGCATTAATTCATGACATTTATCTGTTAAAAGCTCTGGATTTCTTGTTCTCGGATAAGTTCAACAAGAAATGGTTTGTGTACTTTACCTATGTTTAAATTCTTACACTTTGTCCCTGTAATGCAGACTCTTTAGTCAACCCTTCAGATTGCTTTTCATATAAGAGGCTCGAAAATTCAGTTTATATGAAAAGCAGATGTATAAATTTCTTTTATAGCAGTCCAGCAGCTTCTGTACTTTGACTGATGTGATTTTAAACTGAAAATTTCTGGGCAGTTAATGTTACGAAGGGTTATAGCGACCCTCTCTCTTTCTTGATTGCACTAGCACATAATGCAAAACAATCGTTTTTCTTCTTCTTAATATGACCACGCCTTGCTGAAGTTGCCTTTCATTTGCCAACATTTTCCATCGGTGGTGTTTCCATACATTTTTTACATATCTTCGTCGTCTACTCCGGACCCGCTGCCACTCTGCGTCTCTGGAAGAATTGAAAAATAAATTGTTAATTCAATCATTTCTTAAAGATAAAGTATATTCCATCTGCTGTATCTTTAAGCTGCTAAATAATTTTCTATGTGAAACTGTTTTTCTCGTTGAAAAACCCATTCAGTTTAACATTCTAACATTTGGTAACCCTACTGCGGTTTTTTTCACCTTCATCAGACCATGAACGGTGTACATAACCTTTTACAGGAAATATTTCAATCATTCTCTACATTTTGAAAAACAGAGTTCAACTTAAAGAAGTTTTTAAGCCATTTTAGCCATATTGTCATCATACCATACTGATATCTTACCAACATCTATTCCGTCTCTATTTTTGCCTTTATGAGTGGCCATTAGAACGTCCGTGATCTCAACAAGGTCAAGCCTAAGCTGACTGACCATGGCATTGGTGGTCCGCTCATTGACCACTACCTCCGGGTTACTGCGCTGATATATCAAACCTCCGACTACTTCGTTCGGAAGATACCTAAAACAGTGGAGGGAATTTCGTATAAAATCGTGCGCAGTAATGATAGAAATCCACCATTGCTCTCCCCTCCCCTTCTCACTCACGGCAACTGCACTATAGCCGAACAAGCACCAAGACACTCCCTTAGGAGGGCACTTGAAGTAGTGATGGCGCTTTGATTGAAAAGTGACGCAGCTGCTCTTGGAATAGTGTTTTTTCACTCAAAAACATGCTAAAGCTGCGCTTTTCTATAAACTTTACTGGTAAATGTAGAATGTTGGGGTCTGTTTCACAAGAGAACTTCAGAACGAAAGTTACTTATTTTGACCCAAGACAGATCATTAGCAGTATACTTAAATGAAAAATTAGACCTGTTTTATACTAAGAAAGACGTAGGCACCTTTTAAGACCACCAGTCACTTTTTTCAATGGCATACTGCACGTTTCTGAATATACCAATAATGAAATGTTTCAAAATAAGTTAACACTGAGTCTTGGTCTAAAATTCTGGTGTGGAGACAGCCCCACGAGGAGTTTGAATGTGTGTGTGTGTGTGTGTGTGTGCGTGCGTGTGTGTGTGTGTGTGTGTGCGTGTGTGTGTGTGAAGTGGGAGGGGGGGGGCAGCTAAAAGAGGACCTGCTTCATTCCCTTTACTCTGTTATTCCAATTTAACATAAATTCTCATGTTGGTCATAGTCTACTATTAAAGTAATAACCTAGACACATGCGTTCCGTTCCAACACTTTTCTTTTTCCGTAAATGGCGCGGCTAGCTGATCACAAATTCGGGAGTGAAGCTGTTGCCATAGATTCTCCGCGCCTGCCTGAGCTCGTCTCGCTGACTGGAGGATGCTCTCAAACTCGTCTTGTGTCATCATGTCGCGTCTGAATTCGTAAGATGTCGCGTCTCCCATGGCTCTCTTTTGTCGCCGTCTCAGGAAGGAAGGCAACGGGCCACAAGCTGCGGTAACCTGAGGGTGACACGAATATTCAAGCATCTCAGAGACAACGCAGACAACAAGTATAACCACGGCATGCAGTGAGAGTTCACATTTAGATCACAATCCTCTTTATTCTGCGATAAAAGGTCAAACAAATCAAATATCCTCTTGCTTTCTTTCCATAGCAAGTTATTGAATACAACACGTATATAATGAATCACTTTTCAAAAGCAGAGATCTGAAAAAGAACTCTTTCTTTCGTAAACCAAGATAGATTTAAGGGTCATTTAGATTGTCGAGGGTACATCAAATATCCAAGGACCTCAAAAGAAATAATTAAAAACGTACAAGTCCTAGGTTCTTTCAGTTTCAAAATATCACGTAGAGGTTTTCTGCAAGAATCAGAACTAGGACAAAGCAAAGCCTATTTGGATGATAAACCAATAATCCGCAGTGTTGCTTCAATTTCACGTTTTGAGCAAGTACTGAGGTTATATTCAAAAAATTATGCCCAGGCTTCAGGCAACACGCTAAGTCACGGACAAAGACTATGATATCATTAGTAATCTAGACAAGGGGCATTTTTTTTCTAATAACAGATTCTCTGTTTATAATAGAGGCAACTGGGCGCCCAAATTTATCTCCCTCCTCGAGACAAGCATGCGCCCTCAACAGGTTCTTACCTTCGCCGTTATATTTTCGGAGTTTTCCTGATATGTTAAGATGGCGTCACTGATGTGGATGGCTACAGTGTTCAGGATTACGTCAATGTTAAAAACGGACTGAACGCGCGTTTCCAGCATAGCCAGTGCATCTGGGAAAAATTTGAATAAAAGAAAGAGACAATTAAAAATTTTTATGTAAAGAAACAGTTTACATAATTAGCAGAAAATTCATAGAAAAAATAGAACCGAAAATGTCACGTTTTAATGTGTAAAACAACATATCTTACAAATAGAATGCACACACAATTTAGAATCTGTTGGAGGTTTCAGAGTACCGGATTCAAGATTAGCAAAGAGGCACTCTCAGAGTGTAATCTATTCTTTTTCAAATGCTATTTCTTATATTCACTACAAGATGAATGTTCTTTTTCAAACCAGTGTCCATCGCACTAGACAAATCTCCAGGGCAAAAAGCACAATCACCTATAAACTTATCTGACTCATAAGAAAACCTTATATCTACCCCTTCCACTTACCAATATATGTCCTCCATGTCCGTGTCAGTTCCCAATGCTGGGCATAGCACCCCTTCATGACGTTCACACAGAAACCCTGACACGGGCGGACGTCACAGCGAGGGCAGAATTGCAACTGTGTCGCTGCCTGCATGCACTCGGCCGTCAGGGGGAGCTGAAGCGTGTTAAACAAAAGTAGGCCTAAATGCTTTTTCTTCTATGCTTACCCATCAAAGTTTGGTTACATTTTATTTTCAAAGTTATCGTAAGTCTCATGCATTAAAAGATAAACTGCTAGCAAAATTAATGTATCACATTTCTCATACTCGCAGGGATTAAGAATATATATTAAGGGTGCAAATCACATTGATAGAACATATCTCCCAAATCTATCCCTTCGATTAAGAGCTTTCCGAGACATTACCGTAGACAGATCACTCATGACTTTAGCTCCTGATTTCAAGCCATAGATTAATCCCCGAGTGGCTTGGGACGCCTTCCGAAGGCCCCTGCCCAGTTTCTGATCAGCCCCACGGAAACCCTCACTAATGACGTCCTGTTGGTCATGCACGCGTCCCACACAGTCTAGATAGCGCTGGTCCAGAGACGCAGGATGCAACAACCGGAATAAACGATGCGACAAATCCCTGAAGAAGGAATTCACCTTGCCTTCTAGATCCACAGACTTGCCGTCTATGTAATCGTACATGTCATTAAATAATCTCTTGAAAGCTGGCTCCATCTTTTCATATAAAAGACCATAAGTTCGCCGAAAAAGGACTGATGCTTCCCTTTCTTCCATGCGGATACGACTCAAGACAAATTCTGGAAATAAGAAAAAATCCTCAACAAGACGGTATTTTACACATGTCATCATATAAAATGATAAAAGGGAACGAAGAGAGGAAAATAAGATAGAAAAATGCAAGTGGGGTTTGGATATATATAAACTTTGAGCAAATAATTTCAGTATTTTTTTTATCCACATCAATACACCAAACATTTTGAAAACCACTCTGCGTCAGTATACGCTGTCATTATGTTGTCATATGACCCAGTAAAAATCTTGAGTCTGGTGTGTAATAGTACTCTGCCAGAGTCTAACATTAGTTTTTCCCATGACTTGCTCCCAATGTCTTTTATCTACACGCTTATTACATGAGATTGCGCCTCAGTTATGGAGAAATACAGAACACTTGTCGGATTCTGTAGGCGTGTTTACACTAGGCGCATACCCAAACCGATCCCAGATATATTGCACGTCGTTCTATAAATGTCATCTTGAAGTAATGCACTTCTTTTCAGTAGTCTGAGCTAAAAAACATGTGGTCTTTTATCTGACAGGTAGTTTACCAGATTTGTCCTGGGTACAGGTTTTACTAGTACTTACGTTTTAATTTCTCGGCCAGTGTGAACAGGCTGGACTGGTAGGGACTGGTTATGTTCATGTAAATGTCCATCATCTGATGACGTGTGAACGAAAGTAGACCGGGACCACAACCACACGCTGGACCTGTCCTCATTAAAAAAAAAGAAATTGAATAAAGAGGTTTTATTTCATCGCTCAAACAACCATGCCCCAATACATGCACAATACTGCAAACTTTCCGCGACCAGAAAACTGAATACTTTGCCTTTTATTTCAGACAAACAGCATTTTATAAGTGATTTCTAATTGTTGGTCTTGTCGTTTGGAATATAAGATTGAATTTCTATTGAAAATCGAACAGACGTAGACGTCTCATAGCAAATATATTCATTCGAGAAAAAAAGGAAATAGAAACCGACGGGTGAAGTATGAACATCAGTCTAACTTATCATATTAGTCCTTATCAAAGTATATACATGTAGACAAGTTTCTTGTATGTTGACGAATCTGTGTACGTCAAAAAATATTTTGATTCCTCTAAACTTTTCGTCCCATCGTGTCATGAATACTAGATGCAGCTTTAACGTACTGCCATAAAACATCATCTAAAACTACTATTAAAGAGGGAAGTATCGTATTTGGTTACTCAAATTCAAGTGTAAATAGAGTAAATGGTTCGCGCAACATGAGCCTACCAAGAGGTCTGAATGCATAGATACACTCCACTCTACGAGAGGGAGACTTACATCATGTTACTGCAAAACACACACACATTAAGGGACAGTTATCCTAATTTACTAAAAGCCTTTTTCAGTTCTTGTAACCTCAGTGAACTGTGAATTGGAAAAAAACCGAAAACAACCTAAACATCAGCGCCCGACCTTTGTCAAGCTCTTGGGATATGCTTGGCGAGTTTTAGATACACAGATCTTCATTTTTCGATGGAGGTCTATGATGTTAACCTTGGCAAATGCGTATCTGATTTATTTTAAGTTGAGAAAGTTATACAAAAAAGACATGGAAAACAAACCCCCTTTAATTTTTTCTGATTTTTACAGATGAAAATAAAAAGTAGTATATATATATATATATATATATATATATATATATATATATATATATATATATATATATATATATATATATAAACAAAAATATCTCTAACTTATTTGATTTTTACAGCTAAAACCAAAGCCATTAACTGAAGATGTTTCGGGGCAGAATTGAAATTAAAACTTTTTCTATTTTATGAGTGCACCGCAAACAAAATATACTTCTTTCTAGACAAATTCCCAATAACAGTGTTGTAGGGAACTGAAATTTGGCCCTCCAACTTCATGCTACTTCTTTAAAAAAAGAATAAACATACCTCAGCTGCTACAAGTAGTAGAATACAAATGCATTATTTGTTTATAATAACAAGTGTTCTTTTGTGTATAAGGCATCAGATATAATCCTATATTTACTGAAGCACTTTTGAACCTGCGATATGTTTATCTTTGGAAAAAAAAGCAATCAATAGTTTAGAAATTAACTTTCAATAGAAAATAATGTCTCAAGAATCACATTCAACTTCAAAAAGGCATTTTTACGAGCTTCACAGTCTATGTGTGCTTACGCATGTGTATGCATGCGTGCGTGCGTGCTTTGTGTGTGTTTATGTTAGGGACTCTACTACTAATGAGGAAAAAAAGCATCTTGGCTTAAGTGTTCCCATGTTTTCCTCTCACTGCCCTCCCCCCCACAAAAATGTATATCACAGAACCAGAAAGTTATAACTCGCAACGATATATAACATGGGTGAGTAAGCCAATCTTTAGGTTCGTCGACTCCCATCAAAAATATCATTCACAAGCGGCAATCTTCATATGAACGTTTCAGAAAAGTTTGGTCAAGGACCATGAAATCATTTTGACGAAATGCAACGTGACCATGCGAACAGCAGTAGAAAACAACACTCTGTTTTCCCTCAGTCGGAGAAGTGTATACACAAAGTTGATGAAATCACAGCTATTGCGTGAATTCTGAATGAAGTCGGGAATAACCATTGTTGAACTTAGCTTCTGGCTAGGTACATAGACCATTGCACTCGGCACCGCACAATTACTTTTAATTCGAAAGGTGAGAGTTGCAACCAACCCTTACACCAATTCTGATGTACGATTGTTAAAAAGACGGGGTATATTAGCCCCCTGGAGGGGGAATCTGGGGCCTTATTTGAGCCATAAGTGAGTACTCCGATAAAGATGACAAGTTTGTGTAAGAGACGCGCCGAAATTAACGTCTTGCCAGAAGTTTTATTTGCTACATGTATATAAAGTAGTATTTGTGACAATATTGTGGCAAGGGCAGACATGATTGATATATCTGCCAAAATCTTACTTTCCTCCAGGCTTGCTCTAGGCACTCGCTGTGGAGGAACAAGATTTCACACTAGGCTGCAAATTCCCGAGTAGTGATTAAATCTGTATATTGAAAAGCTTCTTTAAATCCTCGTGTCCTTATTAAAATGGACTTCAAACCCACGCATCAAAAAACATATTGCGACATAGCGTGGCCAATTTGTCAAACATTATCCGCCCAAAATACCACAAGGGAAAAAAAGTTTGTTGCCGGTGTCATCAACCCATCGTTTGATGCAACTGGCAGTATTTATAAATGAAAAACGCTTGATCATCTCCTAAGACACATACTTGGATTGCTCCTTTTAGGGCACTGCCAAATGTTGTCTGTGAACTAAAGATGTATTACATTATTTTAATGTAAATTTTATTCAAAAATGGTCCGAAGTCCAAACAACGAAATAATCCCTTTCTTTACCGCCGCACGGGTATAAAAAATTCAACCTGTGTCAAGGGATGGAAAAAGCATGCAGTTACCCTAAATAGTATTACTGAATCATGTAAAGTGAGCGAATGAAGTGTGTAAGTTTAACTTTTTGTAAGTAACATAGTCATCTATGAAGTACATAAATAGCTACATGCAGATATATTGAGTCTATGGAATATATGAACAGTACCATTCTGAGGCACTGAGCCTCCGGTAACGTTATGTCTGCATCAAGGGGTTTTGTTAGAGCTCGTTGGTCTGCATCCGGCAATGTCCCTGATACAGGGTGTATAAAATTGAGAAAATTTCAAGAGCTTCTTTATCTTTTTCAGAACCAGAATGAATTTGCCTATTAACCTCGCCTGCTTGTTACCATGTCCTTAAACGGTGCTTTCTCGAAGACAATATTTTTGCAATAAATCAAATGTTGATGGACGGTGATAGGGGATATTCTCTCATATGTAACAAAGGCTACTTCTGAATAACGCGCGGACAAGCAAAAAACACTTTTGTAAAACGTAAAGAGGCAGAACATGACAAGTGTCAGATGTCAACTGTTTGACAGCAGTGTAATCTCACTAAACACGGAGTGACAGGGAGACCATGTACACAGGACCCGGGTCGTCTGTGGACACGCCCACTTTCCCTGACCATAGCGTGTTATTTTGGACTAAATTAACAATGATGAAGGGACGTTCAAGAATTGTAAAAAATATTCCCTAACAAAATACAACTGAACAAAATCGATAGTAAATTTTACGGTATATCTTAAAGATGATTGTCAGTGCCATCGAATAAACATGAATAAATTCAACTTCAAAAACTTGATAAGGTTTTTACTGTTTTAATTAAGGTAAACAAATTTTAAAAAAACATTTTTGTGAGAGCCTTGGTTGAAACTGAAACTTACCCCCTCGTGAGCCAGTCCCTTCTTCTCTCTGTCCAGTAGTCACGGATGTAGAAGGTTCCATTTTGTCTAAGCGTTCCTGTAATTCCCTAATTAATTCCCCTTGTCGCTTCATGTTCATATTCTGTTGGTCCAGGCGGTCCATCATCAGCCCCACGGTGCCTAACATCTGGGAGATGGCTCCCTCACACTCGCAACGGTTTGTGACATTCGCTTCCCATTTGGGTGGACTGATTTTGACAAAAACTGTGGCAATGTTTGGTTTTCTTCCGCTTGTCTGTCCCTCACACAGAACGCATGTTAGCAACAGCACTGCCAGGTATCTCACAGGGAAGAAAATCCCAGTCCACGACGTCGCCTGTGTTGGCATGATTGGAGCTCACTGTTTTCGTTTTACTGTAACGGTATGTAATCTCGTGCTAAAGAAAATTCCACCGATGCGGACTCGAAAAATTTTAATTTTTGCGCATCTGTTTCTCTGAAGACTTCAACCGGGACTTTTTCCGTTTAATCAGTCTCGACAGGTCGCGTTACTAAAATGCAGTAGCGCCGCAGTGTTGTTGAACTCAACTGCTTTCAAAATAGTTTCACGCGACCGGCTAATTGGCGAAAGAAGGAGGCGGAGCGCTGGCAGAAAAGGCTGAATCTGGACGGTTCAAACTATTTCTTCTGTCTCTACTCCACGGAATGCGTTGGTCGCCGGCGGTAGTTTGCGTTTGAAAAACATTTGTGAAACATTTCCAAAAGCAAGTTGGTTATAGATTACAGGACCAGATATATCAAACCATTTAGAAAAAGAAAACTGCTTGAAAGGGTCTGAACCCAGCCTGCTCTGTAAATACAGTAACAGAGAGAGGGGTATTGTTTGCCATGCAAAACATTGTTTACCCAGGTGAAGGGGGCAATGGCGCTTATTTCACCTTGTAACAGATCAAAAAAGAAAGGCGTGTTCAGCATGTCAAATGACAGGACTGATGTGCAGATACAATATATGTACTGTGAAGACCCTGTATTGCCACCAATTCCAGATAAATATTGACACTACGGCCTTGTTAATATTAGAAGATGGTTGCGTCATACTGGCATCTATCTGAGTAGGTATAGATAGCTAATTGAGCGGACAGAGAACGCACCCGGGACACATTAATGGACTTCGTCGTCCGGCGTTTAGGGGGCTTTTTCATCAACGAAGGTGGCTTGGTGCGAGGTCACAGGCTGTTTAATGATCATGATAAAAGAGGGTCAAAGACTCGGCAAACTAAAGGACTTGGTGCTCACCTTGGCGCACTGCCCCCAGTTTACATTTTACTATGTCAATTAGTGCACATACCACCTCTGCTGTTTTTCAGTCTGGCGCTTGTCTACTCTTGTGTGGAGTACAACTGCTTTAGAAAAAAATATACAAGTGTTTTTGTGTGTCAATTGATGTTGTATATATTACACGTTATGCCGATTGATACATTTAGACCGGCTTAGTTCGCTTAATTTAACTCGTTTCCCGACTAGGATAAACACATTGATGTGCGGAAAAATAACTGAAATGCTCTCTGTTCAGACTGCTAATCTATCCTTCAAGGCGGCGCAATTTCTTAAATCAGCCATCAAGAGCCACGGGCTAAGTTTCTCTAACGCAACTTGATACGAAAATGCACAACGTCGGAAGCTGGGAGCGAGTTGCCCACTCAGCGTAAATAACACGGCTATTCCATTTTACGTATCTCGTTTTATGTATCTTAAGACTGTTTCCACAGTTCTCCGTTTTCGTTTATTTCCTTTATACCATTTCTCGTGATCAATCGTTTGTACAAACTTAATTAAAATTTCGCGTCGTACGAGTTTTACGACTGCGCAAATAACGTCTCTTGTCCAACCTTACACCTCTGTGCAGCAACAGAGAACTGCTAATGTAAAAACGTTTCTTTCAAAGAATGACTAATAATTGTTACCTAATTCTAAATGATGGATTGGATGTCGTCTGCTGACCTGTGAAGATCCCATTAATCATTCCATTCAGCAGCAGCAGTTCTATTTAATTTTCTACTGCAGTTCTTCTCTACCGCACCACGTCAGCTCGACGTATTCTCTAATAATGAGCGTCATTAATTGCGTATTGCTACGTGACATTCTCATAAATGAGTTTTTGGTTTGTTAATGTAACGTGACGAAACTGAACTCCATTTACCAACGACTCTGTGGCAGTTTGATATCTTATGATTATGGGGAACCAAAGACAAGGCCATAAAACATTGAATTCTAGACACACTAATACACGGGTACCATCCAGATTTGTCTCATATTTCTGACACAAACCGACTCCGTGTTAAATCAACACATTCATAATATAAAGACACGGAGAAGGCTGACTCCTCCTCCATCCCATTTCCAATAAAATAGCTGTGATTTATTGCTGATGCAACAGAGTTTACGAATGATCTAATTCTCCCTCATCAGAACTTGCATTTAAACTGTTATCAAACAATGGGCGACTGTAATATCATTTGAATTGATGGACCCTTTTTACCTTATTAGATGACCCCTACCTCTTGCAAAAAGAACTGCAAGGCCTTAGCTATTCAGTTTCAGAGAGTTTTGAGATTTTTTGTCAGGTTTCAAGTTTATAAAATGATGTTAGGTGTTTTTAATATATCTTGTGCTTCACGCCATTGCTGCCGCCACATAGGCCTATTAAGTAGCCTATGCGGTAGTTTGGTCCTCATCTTTACCATAAGTCCAAGACACATTGTTGCCCATCTATAAAATTCATCGCATTCCTAGATTTCAAAGTCGTCCTCCAATTAGTATCGAAGTCGTAGCTCCAAATAGGTTTCACAGCCGTTGTGCTAGAGAAGAGATATCTACTGCCCCTTTTTATGTGCAGCTAACACACCTTTCAGATAAAATACGATAAACAGGTGTCAGTCAGTTCCCCATTACTTTTTTACAGGACTTCCATTCCTAAAACTACCATTCCTGTCACGCGGGCCTAAACAGAAATCGTTAAGTCTCCAATGTCAAGGAGCGTTTGATTACCATTGCCTGCTCTGTAACCGCACTATCGCCCTAAGTATTTAAGCCACTGGCACAATGAATAATGCACTGTGTTGGGAAAAGATTGGGCTTAATTTGGAGGTGGGGATGGGGAAGAATCGGGTGCATTTTCTAAAGACTAAGCTTGTTTTGTTAAAATCAATGTGAACGTGGCCATATTATTCTTGTTTTGATAGACCCAAATGAAATATCTTCCTCACAGGGGCAGGTCCGCTCCACCAGCCTCTGAAAATACAAAGAGAATAGATGATACTGTTTTATCCCTGTGAATCAATGAGTTTGAGTGTGAGTTTTTAAAATGGGTATAAATGATTTAAAAAGAAAATATTTACTTTGTCATCAAGTTATATACTCTCGGCAAGATGTGTAGTTTCACCCAGTACATAGATTGGCGTTCTTTGCCTTGGTCGATAGGGAATGTTTCCATGGGAACGCCCTCAAAGGCGAACTCGGCCATGATGCAGGTGTTGTAGCTGGTCACTAGTGGACATGCCGTGTACCCATCATACTGGACAACACAAAAAGACGTGATTAATATCCAGAACTAAGACAAAGTAATCGGTTTGAGTTACCGAGGAGAAAGGGGGCAGTTTTGGTTCTCAGAAAGACGCCTCAAAAGGTGTAACATTTGACTCGTTTTCATAAAAAACATAAAATTTATTTTACAAACTAATTAGCTAACAAAAGTATTTTGACTGCTTATTTAAAAAAACATGCATTCATGGTTGCCATGAAAAGAAATTCATTTTCGAATTTGAGAACTCGTCTTTGCCAAAACTGTCCCCCTCACCCGTTACCATGCAGTCATTAGAGACTGATGCCATTTTCAATAAAAAACGCAATAAATAATGAAAAATATGAAAAAAATGTTATTACTGTTTTGCCAATTTCAACATTTTTATTTTTGATGATAAGTCCTACTTTGAGTATATATCTCCAATGTCGAGTAAATTCTATCATTCATATTTATTATTCATTATTCATTCATTCATTACTTAAGTAATGAATAATAAAAATGAATAAAAATGATAAATCATTTAATATGTAAAACAAGTCCAGTATCCCACCTTTCGGGTAAGCGTCCCTCCCTTCATCACTGCAGCTAAGTTTTCAGCCACGATTCCACACTGGGATGCTAGAACGGTATGAAAACTAGACTCTTTAGTAACTTCTTGGAAATTTTCAGAATTCAGTTAATTGCCTCGTGGAATAGATTCCTTTCCATCATAAGTGAGCTAAATAAAAGCTTTCTCTGTGCAAGTCCACCACTTATCAGTAAGGCACTGTATAGGAAACTCTTTCAGTTTGTAGAAATAAATAAATAAATAAAACCAATATATAAATAAATAAAACTAGTAAATCAATCAATTACTTGAAAATCGAGAATACTGATTGACCATAAAGCAGGCTACTGACAAAATTTTAAAAACAGATTCTATTCACCAACCTACAGCGGCTGCAGTCTTTGGGGTGGGAACATCAGTGCAGTCTCCGATCCCAAAGACATTAGGGTACTGGGAGTGCTGTAACGTGTACTTATCGACAGTAAGAAAGCCGCCAGCGTTCACCAATGGGCTGCTCTTCAGTTCAGTTGGTGTTGACATGGGTGGGGTCACGTGCATAAAGTCGTACTGAAATTTAAGGAATATTTCTTGGCGCAAAATACTTTGAAAGACTTTGATATCACTTCTCGATAAATTACCTAAATGCCAAGTTTACCGTATTTATACATTCATAGCACTGTAAACAAACTCTTGTTCAAGATTATTTTCTGTGCTCTAGTCGTCCTGACAGGAATGGCTTGCCTTACATCGCTATGATTGACCGTTGTGTGCATATAATCTCGCTTTCACTATTTTCTAATACTTTAAACATGTGGCAGGTTATTTAATGATAATCAATACCAAAACTCGCTTAATCAAAAACAGACCTGTGTTTTTAAAGGTGAAATGACACAAATGGGATGAAGAAAAGACTATAAAAGGATCGCAACCTTTTAAAGAATACCTTTGCAGAGAGGAGGAAAGAGAGAGAATGCATATACCGGTTGAACATATGTTTCACCAGTCTCTAGTTTCATGAAAACAGCTTCTTTCTTCTCAGGATTTACTTCAACCAGGTTTGTTTTAAAATTGACTTGTATCCCTCTTAAATGAGAAAAAATATATATTTACAAGACTATTCCCTGTATGTCAGTATGCATGGGGGATAAAACACGTCCTTAATAATTTCATTACTTATTTTCATAACATTTTATATACATTTACACAAAATGGACTTAAAAAACTTTCATGTAACACAGGATAAATAAATGGAGCAAATGTTTTGGTAACACAGGATACATTATTGTAGAAAATTTTGTGCTCCCTCACCTCTTCTCGCAGACTCCTCTGAGGACCTCGGCATATTTCGGCGCTCCAAGCATCACCCCCATAGCAGTATTGTAAGTGATAGTGCTACTTTTCTTTACACCATTCTGTAACAAAATCATACAGCTAATGTTATAATGGATTTTTCCCCAATTATTAGGCAAATGACACAAAAAAATTAACTGAACTTGGACGAGAAAGTGCTCGGTATAATTGAAAATGTGGTATAATTGAAAATGTTCATACAAAGAAAGCATAAATAAAGAAAGAAAAAATGACAACAAAATTTTATCACGAAAAATCTGAACATACCTTTTTCCATTTCGACTCGGCAAGATACATAATTTTCTGCGGGGCACCTGGACATTTGATCGGGGTATTTGGCAGCGTAAAAACCGCCTGACCGCCTTTAAACTTGTCAATGGCGTTGATTGTGCGCGTTACGTACTTCGCGGAATAGTTGCTGACCAACATTGGATCCATTTCTAGGCCTTCAGTAAGACCCTTAATCTTGAAAGCAAACAGGAAATGATTTTTAAGTGACAAATGAAGGAAAGGAAAAAAGTAAGAAAATGGATATCAATGTTATGGATAAATCGGCAATGTTTCAAAGTTTATTAGTTGGTTTGTACATGGACTTTGTTATAAAAGAATTAATATAAAGGAGGTCCAGTGTAAAAAGCCGTCCATGTGAGACACACAAATGTGATTGTTGCGCTAAAAAGTACAGCACCTCATTTTACTTTCTGGACACATCGTCAGTCTTTTAATATGAATTCAGTATATTACCGAGGCCTTCATGACTATTTATACACATTGGCATAACACGAATACCACTCACATCTTCGTATCTCAGCTGTAACCCCACCGCTACAACCAAATATTCATACTTTATCTGGAAGAAAATGACATCGTATTAACAAATAAAATAAAATAAAATAAAAACAAAACGGAAAATAGTTTTTATTGTGTGACAATTTTGGCACATTTCTGTTTTACTATAGACACTTTGTGTTTCTCCAGAGAAGGAAGCCTGGCTTAATAAATGGTTCACCGTTATGGTTTCTTTGATGTTGTCATTTGTCAGATCGGAGTACAAATCTCTATCATAATACTCTGTAATACCCCCTTTACACTGGACGGCGTCCTTTCTGCGTCCTTTCTGCGACCATGAAATTTGGCATCGCTGTGGTCTTAATAAGGAGGCACGAGCATTGATTTTGTATCAGAATGAATGCTCAATGATCGGCCAGTTGTCGGCACGTAAAGTATTATAACTTTTAGCTCTCAAATGGGACCGTACTGCTGGACGCAGAAAGGACGCCGTCCAGTGTAAAGGGGGCTTTACTGAGTTCGACTATTTTACACTGCCATGGCAGCAATGGTACTGCATGCGCATTTCTAAAAGTAAACGGCAAAGAAATAAATCTATATTTACAATCATAACTACAATTCCCAAGCATTTTCTTCAATTCTAATAACAGTATCTTCTAAATCATGGACAAAATAAATCTAAATCAACGTTAAATGGTAGAAAGTACTATCTATCTATCTATCCACATATTAAATATATTTAAGTATTTCACAAGCTTACCTCTTCCCCTCCCTGTGTGCTTACAGTACAGGTGTCGGGCTTAAAGGTAGTCGCTCTGTCCTTAATCCAGTCACAGGTGCTAGGAATGATGGATGCCATGGGCCTGTAAGTGTCCTCAAGCTTTACGATCCCACCGCCAACAAGAGTCCACATGGCTTGATTATAGTGGGCCTGCGGTCGTTAAAAAGCAATGATAAGGGGTTGGAGGCAGTCTATTTTTTTCATATTTGTCAATTTGAATCATTCATTATTTATTTGTAGGCCCTACTATCATTAGGATTGTTGGTATTATCATTAAACATAACATTGTGCAGAAGCACACTGACACGTGTCTTCTTAACATCAATGTTAGCTAAATAGCTAAAATAAATTATACTTGTCAGGCTAATAATCTTAAAACATCGCTCGGGGTGACCTTCAAATGTCAATAACCGAATACCTTGGTGCCGTCTTTTGATAACACGGTTTGTTAACTTCAAGCTACTTAGAGGCGTTAAATGATTATTCAGATAAAAAAGACAAAACATTTAGCAACTTACGTCTGAAGGTTCGATAATGGCGACTTTCCCCTTGCCGAGCTTGGAGCTAAATCTAGCCGCGATGGCGGCACCCCCGGCCCCAGACCCTACCACCACCAGCTGGTAACTTTTTGACCCACGTGCTGAAGTGCAGAAATTGTTGAGTTTGCCCAATGATTCTGATCGTACGGCATTTTTACAGAGGAGAGACGCTGTTCTCGAGAAAGCAGCCATGAGGTCACAAAATGTAAACACGAACGGGGAACTCAAGGACCCAATATCACATGATTTAGTTCAGAGGTCGTATGAATTTGCTCATTTTCAGTTGGCGTTACATTGCGCCTTTTTAAAAATATGGTTACATTCAGAAAGTGCTCAACAGATAAGCTGCTGCCCATAAAAGTTGAAATAACTTGCAGAAAACAAACAAAAAATCAACAGGGCAAGTTATATATTTTGTAGACCCCTAATGTTTCGCATTAAGATTACCCACATGATATGAAAAACATAACTGATAACATAATTTCAAGTACATAACCTCATTGGGTCATGTACTTGAAATGAGTTGGCGACGGATCGGCGGATTAGGGATGAAATCAAATAAGACATGAATTACAAAAAGTTAATTCAAATTTTAGAGAGGAAAAATGCATCGAATTTAGTGGCGACGTTCAGAGGCTCAAGACGGAAGAGTTGGCAATAACTTTCTTTCAGACCGAATGAAGTCCAGAAAATTGATGTTGAATACAGTTTTTTCTTTAACGAGCAGAAACGGGAGAGTTGACATTGGCTAACAAGAAAAAGGAGGCCCATTCAACATGCAATGAAAATGAGCAATTTTCTCTGATAAATCGCCGCTTTTATATTTTAACAACGTGAGATAGCAGATAGCGGTACCAGTGATCACATTCAACGTTCAAAATACAGGAACTTTGGACAACAGACTTTTTCAGAATATATTTTCAACATTTTGTATGACTAACAACAAACAAGAGGCGATAATTGTGTGCAAGACAGCATTGGCAATTGTTCACAGAAGACGAGAAAACATTCACATTCCATGTATTTGACATGATTAAAAATCTTGAACAATTTAGAAAAAATAACGACATCTGCATGGTACGTATAGTTGACATAATGAAAAAATATTGCAATTTATGGTTTCGTTTAAGGTGTCCATGTTAGGTGGAGTGTGCGTGTTCACTTTTTCATGGTTACTACATTGTAGACATGCTGGTTTTCTCACTCGCTCCTCGCAGTGTATAGCTTCCTCGACAAAATATATATGTATAGGCCACTTTAATGAAGGTTTTAAAGACCATTCATTTTGCAACAGCTAGAGCCACATCAAATGGCTGCATCTATTTTCAACTCAAATGTTCTGGCAGGAAATTTTACTAGAAGGGTTGTGTCCTAATATGTCTTATAGACAAACCATTTAAAAGGAAGACATATTTTTAATTTTTCACTCATGATATAATGTAAGATTCATTTTTAGCCGCTATGTTAGGAATACGTTTATGCATTAAATGTTTGTTACATATTCCGTATCCTGCTTAAAATCCCTTTAACACAATTTAGACTGTATGACAATAACGCTGCCGTTGTGTATATATTTGTTGTCCAACGCTAGCAACCTGGCTCCGTCTATTTGGTCAATCCGAGGTGAAACAACTTTCGGAAAGGAGCAGGACCTTCCCACCAGCCTCTGCAAAAGATCGAAATATCGTGAGCACAAGTAATTGGCTGATTTCGGAATATTTAAATGACAGTATTCCGGTGACAAGTCTGAGAGAGAGAAAGAGAAAGACAGAGAGAGGGGGGAGACCCTTACTTTAGCATCAGGTTGTAACATACAGGAAGAACATGTTTCTTCGTAAGTAACATCGTGCGTCTTTCCTTAGCTTGGTTGAATGGGAATGTTTCCATTGGATGACCGTCGAAGCCAAACTCTGCCATAACACAAGTTTCGTAGCTAGTGACCAATGGACAGGACGTATATCCGTCGTACTGAAACAAACAATCAAATTTGAACACTTTGGGTGTGTACCTTTAATTTGTCTTCGTCGGATATTATTTACCACATTTAATTGCATTTAAATCAGCTGCGAAGTAAACATGCCCACCTTTGGTACTAATTCTTTTCCATTCATTGCCGCTGTGATATTTCTCCTCAACACACCGCACTGACTTGCTGGAATGGAAAATTTTGCACGCTCTTCTTAAGACCAATCTGAATTTTTCTCAGTATGATTTTTGTTGCATATTTACGTCATCATATTTTAACCAAAGCTATTATTCAGATATTAATTTATGCCTTCGGCAAAAAGTCACAACAGAACAAAAAAACAAGTAAACAAAAATGGCATAAAATGATGAAACCTGCGGCGGCTGCAGTCTTCGATGTTGGAACATTGGTGCAGTCTCCAATGGCAAAGATGTTCGGGTAGACCACGTGCTGCAGGGTGTTCTTATTCACGTTCACATAGCCGGTTGGATCCACTATTGGGCTATTCATGAGCTCTGTGGGAGGGGTCATAGGAGGGGTGACGTGCATGAAATCATACTGAAAAAGATGTGTGTCTATGTTCAAAGTGAATACTAAAACAGTCAAATAAAACATGCAAAAAACGAAAATAATGTCAGAGGGAGAGAGAGGGAGAGAAAGACTGACTGACTTACCGGAAGTGTATACGTTTCTCCTGTATCCAGCTTCATAAAATCTGCCTCCTTCTTATCCGGCCGCACTTCAACCAAATTTCTCTTGAAATTTACCTCTATGCCCCTAAAGAAAAAGTGTATAACACATTAATAAATTATAATTAACATTAGAAGTAAAGAAAAAATATGGTAAATTTTGACTATGATTTGGCATTGTGATACTTACCTTTCTTTGCATATTTGCTCCAGTACCTTGGCGTATTTTGGTGCACTAAACATGACGCCAAGTGCCGTATTGTAGATCAATTTAGTCTTGTTTTTAATTCCGCTCTGAATGAAAAGATGACAAAAATAATATAAAATATAAATAAATAAACTTTAGAAACGCTGTGATATGGATTAATATTCTCAACTGCAACCAAAATAATCAGAAATAATCTAATTTTTTAATAATACGCGCACTTTTAATATCCAAAACCAAAAACTGAATTTTCGAAAACAAGCAAACAACTCTGTTGCGATTATATGGATATCACTTCATTTTTTGAAAACAGGCTAAATCTTATTATTGGGCTCATAAGAAAATATTTCAAAAGCTTGAAAACGATCCTTACCGCCTTCCATTTGGACTCGGCTAAGTACATTATCTTCTGGGGGGCTCCAGCGCATTTGATGGGCGTATTGGGTAGCGTGAAGACCGCGTTGCCGCCCTTAAATGTCTCAATACCATTGATGGTACGAGACACATATTTTGGGGAGTAGTTGGTGACTAAGTAGGGATCAACGTCAAATGCTTCAGGTAAACCTTTAATCTGCAGTGAGAAATGCACAATTGAAATCTAATATAGATTAATGGCTTTTACATGCAAGCATGGAGAAAAAAACATCTGTATTAGAAGATAATAATATATACATATATATATATATAAATATATACGTGCACTAGGTTTTTTGGATTTAATTACGGTTAAATCATATGTTCTATTCGTGGCAATTTCATTTAAAAAACAAAGAATGGTAAGACTTGCATATTCGTAATGCAGCTGCAAACCCATGGCAACGACTAGAAACTGGTACTTGATCTGGAAGAGAAAAGAGTAAATTCAATGAACTGAAGTGAAATGAATGACTCAACCCTTTCATATGCTGTCAATTATTTACGTCTTCTACTATACATCCGACCACCTTCGCCTATTTGCGTTGAGGTTAACAAATAAGTTAAAATAGGTAAAAAAAATGTGGTTTTATTTTATATATAAAAAAAAGGTTAAACCGAGACACCAGACCTGATCCCCCGCTGCAGTTGTTACAATATCGTTCTTGGGATCGAACTCCATTGCCTTGTCCTTGAACCAGTCACAGGTGTCGGGGATCACAGACGACATCGGCCTCGCGGAATTCTCCATTTTTTTCAGCCCTCCTCCAATTAGCGTAAACATGGCTTGATTGTAGTGAACCTGTAACAGTGCGGTCACACACATAATACATTGGCGAAGGAACTAAGTAAGGGAATTATGTAATTTTTTCAAAACCACGCCAGTCGTTAGCACAGTAAGCATGGGGCTAAGAAGAAGCCTTCGCTGTCCCTATTTCTTGACTGCCCCCTACACAAACACACGCGCACACAATTACTAATTAATGTAAATTAAAAGAACCGTTATGTTTCAATATGTTTCATATTATTTTGTAATGAGCTCATTAAACGAGGTGATCTGATCACATGGTTATGAATATCTTTATTTTGTTCTATAATTCATCTACTTTTCCCCATCTCTGATTATTTTTACATGACTACGCACAAACGGGCAATCTGTTACACAGTAATATAGTTTGCCTTCCTTTTTTATCGATGTTTGTATGAGTACTTTAGTTTCTCATTTCCATAACAAAAGTACTTCACCATAAGAAACAAGCTGGAAGTGTTTGGTGGATACGACCGTAAAAGAAGATCCCCCCACTTCCCCGCCCTCATCACACGCATGCATACAACCATAGTGGTTCATTTGCTAAGCTGGAAAAGACATCATCAGGCTAACTTAATACGATTGCCAAGTTGCACTGGCTTGGTTTCAAGTAGGTCCTTGTGACAATCTTCTTCAGGAAAACACGTCGACCAATTTACGTGAAATTAAAGTACTCTAAGGCATAAAGTAAGCACACGAACTATTAGAATGCCTCTTGGAATAACTCTCCATTTTTTTTCTATTTTCATTCCTTGCATACGCATCATCAGGTGTATGCCGCTCTCCTCACGTTCACCTTAGTATTCATAGCACGTTGTGATTTACCGAGTACAGGCGTGGGTCTGCAACAGCCGCGCGTGAAAAAGCAATTGTTTACTAATAATAAACTACTACTTTTCAACTCTTCAGAGGCGACCAAAACGGTCTGTGACTTTGCTCGTATAATAAATACACACAAAAAGCTACACTTCACTCGTGAATGTTTTTGCGCACTTACATCAGACGGCTCAATGACGGCAACTTTCCCTTTGCCCAGTTTAGACCCAAACTTGCTGGCAATGGCCGAACCACCAGCTCCAGAGCCAACGACCACCAGTTCATAGTTCTGTGCCCCAAGACGTGAAGATGTGCTGAAATAGGAAACTTTAAAAGGCTTTGGAGCTGCACAACGAAGCAGCAAAGTAGCCCCTCTACTGCCAGCCATAGTTAACAAACAGAGAAATTGTGTCGCTGTATGAATAATCCCGTTCTCGCTAAGAGGCGCGTGCGTGACCTTGGCACCTAGGCGTCACGTTTTCCCGTTTTGACTTTTGGTACATACACGTTCCCCTATGAAAAGGGAATGGATCGTATAAAATATAAGGCAATGAATACGTAGTGTTTAACCACTATCTCAGATAATGATGAACACTTAACAATTGAGGACCATTTCTGTGGCATTCTAAAACTGGAAATTCTGACACCGTCCGTCGTTTCAAGACAGGAGTTCGTTACAATTTTTTCACTCATGAACAGAGTGCTCGTACTTTTTTATGCGGGGTCTGCATTGTAGAAGGGATTTACCTTCACTCATATGCACACCATTGCCATTCTCTAAACAGATCATTGAAACGGATTAAATTATAATATCAATAAAACTAGGATGAAAACGCATTGGAAATGAAAAAAGTTTTTATTCTAAAATAGTACATCTTTTGTACAACTCTAATCACTGCTTACTAAAATTTTAATACAAATTAAATTTTGTGGCGTAGTTGACGGGTTAAAATGATTAAAACACTCCTGAATGGCGTCAAGATGAACAAAAATTAGTCCCAATAAAATGTTCGTGCATCATTCCGATTAAAAGATTTTATATAAATTCTATAAATATCAACCATCCTGACGTCTATAACAATCTGTTTACAGTAACGGTAACTGCACGTCACCATCATCACAGCCCTTCAATATCGTCTGCTCCAAATACGACTAGGATCTTCTGTTAAAAAAAGGAGAAATCAAAATTTTCAATTATAAATTTAAGAAAAATGTAAAGAAAGTCGAGATGTCATAACGATTTTTTCGCAGTTTTTTCTAATGCCTGTAAAGCTGAAGTAGTAATATAATAAACACTTTGTGACCTTCAAAACTATCATAGTCCTCCTCTTGAATAATTGTTCTATCGCGTCTTCTGTGGGGTTCACTTTGCTGACAAGGCAAGGACCTTTCCGTGTGACGTGGATTACGTCATCTCAGAGCCAGTCCACGTGACATATTACTTCCCAAGCATCTCTAAAGCCTAGCACGGTTCACCTTCATCACATTTTACATAAATACCAGGTTTGTCCTTACTGACGATGTTAATCTGATTTTCATATGTTTTAAGTGCTGTATGGTTTTCTCATGTCTAACAAGATTGAAACCATAAATGTAAATACTGTTGTTATACAGTGAAATCACGTTTTCTCTCACAAAACCATTTGGGCAGCCTGGCATTAAGTGTGAAGTGCTTTCATGGAAAACCGGCCTCATTCATTTTACATTGAAGTTTACAGGCAAACCGATTACGGTAAAAAGATATGATCATACTTACATAAGCTTATGTACAAAGCAACATTATATATCTATCTATACAAACATAACTTGTACAATGTACACTGTCAAAAGCTCAAAACCAGCGATATGAATATAAAAAAGAATACGAAAACAATTCAAATCTACATAAAATATATGTACACAAAACCTTTATAAGGGACTTGGCATAACCACTCTTTGTAAATATGACATTTACCTAACTTTAGCCAGCCAGTGGCAAAGCGTGGTGTATCTTAACTAAAATCCTTTGGAAGAAAATTATTTGATCTATCATAATCATCCCATAAAAAGATGTAATGCCATACGGATTCATCTTCCTTAGCTAGGGAGAGAGTTTTTTATATTTAACATTGAAACTGTCTGTACATGATAACACAGGCAGCAAAAGACGGTGAATACATAAAAAGCTGAATTAAATCGGTCTCTAAAGCTGGGATTGCCTGTATTTGATGGGCAAGTCAAGAACAGCCTTTCTGTAATATGTATACATACCACGAGAAAGACCATACTTAAATGTGCCCCATCTAGGCATCTTATTTAACCAACCAATCTATGAAACTTGTCTAAATATAACCTTAACATAGTTTTAGTCTTCCAAGTGTCAAAAACTCAAACCAAAACTATTACAGTTTAAAATAAATGGGTGTTTAAACCTTTTAAAACCCTAATTGCTGTGATGGGGTTTTAAAAATAATGCATCTATATGGCCTCTATCACTGCTGCTTTGTGTGCAACACTGAGCTGTGGAAGCAGGCAATATCAAAATATTGTTTCCAAAATATGACGCATTTCAAATACCAGACAGCAACCATCTTTCATCTCAAACAAGTACTTCAACATCATGCTTTAAATGTTATGCATTTGTAATAACATTCCTCATTTTTAAAAACAATACTTATATTGCCTAGTTTTATGAGCAGTTGAGGTTTTAGCCCAGCTGCTTATAAGCTAGCCATCTTTTGTGTACAAAAACCCGTTTTGACCTTGTTTTCTTAACTCCAAATTCAAAATATGGAACATCAGATATTGAAGAAATTGTCTACAAATATATCATTTTACCAGTTCTTTATACATAGAAAGAATAGAAAAGCTGTGCAAAAGTTTATATATGGTGGTGCTAGGCAATCAGATATGGATTTCACTGGTAAATATCTCTTGGGCCAATATAAAAAAAAAATTAGAAAAAATAAAATAAATAAAAATAAATAAATAAATAAATAAATAAACAAACTAATTAAATACATAAACCAACAAACATACTTGTAAGATAATGGACACATTTTGATTAAGAAAATTGCCGAATTCTTTTTTCCTTATTTGGACAAAAGGTCCAAATCATGTTATTGTATGTTTGTGTCTAAGAATCCGAACTATTAATTTAATGATTCATAAGTTGATGCTCATGCATCTTTTTTTTCTCTTTTTACAAATAGTATTTTAATAATTATTTATCAGAAGAAGAGAACTATCTGAACCTTAGCCAGTGTTTTAAATTTTCACCTTCATAAAAACCACCAAAAGTTGGTAAATTATCTTTCCTCTGAAGAAATGTACATATTGCTTTAAGTCCAGAGAGTCCATCAGTATAGCGTCATAAATATACAGATCTACAAAAAAATTAGAAAACTGACATAGAACAAGAAATGTATGGCAGGTGGTATTAGTGAAATCCATCTCACGTTAACTCCTCCTTGTCCTACATAGTGATTCCTCTCAATCCTGACGAACAGTGGTCAAATGTATAAACATGTGTATGAATTACCAAGTTTCAGTTGTAGTCGCCTGTGTCCAGCAGGTTGCAGCACCATCCTGTGTTCGTGAACAGGGCACTATCCAAGATATAGCTGTAAAAGGTCACAGCATTCCTCATATTGATAGCAAGTGTCCACTGTCCACAGGTGTATTTATGTCAGGCTGCAGAAGACCGGTGCCCTGGTGCCACACCTTGGTTATTATATGGACACTCTTTAAGTGCTTGATAATTCTGCTGAATAACTGAAACTCCAGAAATATCATCAGTAAACCTTCATGTATCTGGGAGCTGTTCGTGGATTCAGAATGTTAACTTCAAAATCAAATTTTAAAGAGTAAGAATCAATATCAGGTGTATATCAGTTGGTGTATCTTTTAGTGTTCAATCTGGGGGGAAAGATTGCTGGAGTCAGTGCTGCCCTCGTTGTCCCCTTCAACCATAAGATGAACTCACTGTAAGATATCTAGGTCAGTCAGTCTCTAGGAATCATCTGGAACAGCCTGTATCTGTGCCTGATCTGTGGCCTCACATCCTGGCCCTGAAAAGAGAATACTTATTTTTGGAATGGCCTGTATTTGCATTTTATCTGCACACCCGCACTTCAAGCCAAATTGAGAAGAATACAGTTGAAAGTATTCATCTAATTGATCGATTTTTGTACACAAGTTTATACTCTAAATGTTCTTTGGATTTGTGTTGAGGCAATCAGAGGCATATTTTTTAAAAGTTAATATCTGTACTTTTTGGGGGTTTAATGAACAGGTATATGTAAATGGCATCAATGATCAAAATGCTAAAAAAAATGGTACAAATAATAAGTGTATCAGGACTGGCAGTCAGAGAACAGAGACAACTTACCATGACAACTAAATGCTCAAGAAAAGGTAACAACTTCATCAGCTCACGGTCCTCTCTATCTACAAACCAACTTTCAATTGGGATGCCATTATCAAGCTGAAAGTAAAAATATCTTTAATGTAAAAATATCTTTAATGTATTACTTAAGAAAACATCTGAAGACAAAGAGTCAAAAATTTCAAGAAATGCAGCGATTTTTACTATTCTTTATTATTAATTAGTTATAGAGTTTAGATGACCACCTATTGTAAGAATAGCTCCATTTGGTAATTTATTGCCTGTGGATAGTTCTTCACTTAATATGATTTTTTTTTCATTTACCAGGAAGCCAAATGCCTGTGGAGAGCTGTCCAATTATTACAGAAAACTGTACCTGGTAGCCAAGTGCCGATGGAATTTTGTCCACTTATTACAGAAATTACTGTACCTGGTAGCCAAATGTCAGTGGAGAGTTGTCCACTTATTATAAATATTACTGTACCTGGTAGCCAAATGCCTGTGGAGAGTTGTCCACTTATTATAAATATTACTGTACCTGGTAGCCAAATGGCTGTGGAAAGTTGTCCACTAATTACAAATATTGCTGTACCTGATAACCAAATGCCAGTGGAGAGTTGTCCACTTATTATAAATATTACTGTACCTGGTAACCAAATGCCTGTGGAGAGTTGTCCACTTATTATAAATATTACTGTACCTGGTAGCCAAATGCCTGTGGAGAGTTGTCCACTATGATGGTTTTGGTAAGATCTCTGCCCAGGATGGATAAGTCTTTGATGTAATTCCCATTAACACAGACACAATGCTCTCGGAACAGACGATGTCTAAAAAAGGTTAACAAAGAGTTCAACAAAAGGACAAATTACATAAAAAAATCCAGCTCTATCTTCAGGATCAAATTCCAACCCTATAATACATGTCAATCTGCTGATACAATGCATATACAATAAGCTTGCTGTAAATATGTAAACAAGTAAATTCTGACAAGATTAGAATACTTAGTCCATGTAAGGGATGTAATAATATTATATATTTTCACAGCAGAGTTTATTTCTCACCTGATCAACTTTTTCTCTGGGTCAAGGAGATTCATCAGTTTATCAGCATATACTTTCTTTGAAGCAGTGAACAGTATAACTTCAAATATCTTAGAAACATGTTCCAAGAATTCTCGGAAGAAGGGCCGAGTCCTAACAAAGACCTATCATAGTAAAAAAAATTTAATATTTAAAATAAAGGAAGTTCTCCCTCCTCTTATCATGGCCATCACTAATCTATTTTCATTCCACATAATCACTTACCCTATACATTATATTTTCCTTCCTGATTTGTGTCTAATGACAAAAATAAGTTTATGATAAATACCTCTAACATTTAATAATCTAATAGTATAAACCACCTTTACCTGGTAAGTAACATCTTGAAACAATACCGGGAATGTGAATGCTGCATCCTCTAATTCAGTCAGACTACAGTGGACCAAAGTCTCATCCTAGAATAAAAATCAGATATCAATATGGAATTGGGACTAATTAAATTGCAGTTATAAAATTCAACATGCAATAAAAATTAAACATTCCAAAGAAATTAGCAAAATAAAACTTTAACCCATGGAGAAAACAACAAAATGTAGCTGCGGGATCCCGCCTAACGCAACAAGAGAAAATCAGTCCAGAAATGTTCCATGATTAAATTCAGGCCCTTTTCACATCAAGCGGTATACTTAACGGGTATAGTTTGTACCAGTTCACTTTGACAGGTAATAACATTATAAGGGGCTTTACTCCCTTTCACTAGTTTTCTACAAGTTTGCTGCCTGCTGTTGGGTTGATAAATTAGCCGTAACAAGCACAGAGGGCCTGTTTAGGTGACTCTCTTATATAACAGCCAGACTATTCAGTTATCAATCTCTAAGTGAACCAGTACAGACTAGTTCAGTATGCTGGAATGTGAAAGGGGCTTATCACAAAACGACTAAATGAAATGATGATCAAGTAAACTCTAGATCTCACACTTCCATCTAAACATAAATACCCATGTACCCATGGCAACTTAACTGTCAAGAAAAGGTTTTACAATTTTTAGATGAGAGCATCAGTTTTCATACTGAGAATAACAAACAAGAGAATATATGAGTCAAGGCACATATCAACAGTTTTTAACTAGAGGNCAAAAGCTGAATTAAATCAATCTCTAAAGCTGGGATTGCCTGTATTTGATGGGCAAGTCGAGAACAGCCTTTCTGTAATATGTATACATACCACGAGAAAGACCGTACTTAAATGTGTCCCATCTAGGCATCTTATTTAACCAACCAATCTATGAAACTTGTCTAAATATAACCTTAACATAGTTTTTGTCTTCCAAGTGTCAAAAACTCAAACCAAAACTATTACAGTTTAAAATAAATGGGTGTTTAAACCTTTTAAAACCCTAATTGCTGTGATGGGGTTTTAAAAATAATGCATCTATATGGCCTCTATCACTGCTGCTTTGTGTGCAACACTGAGCTGTGGAAGCAGGCAATATCAAAATATTGTTTCCAAAATATGACGCATTTCAAATACCAGACAGCAACCATCTTTCATCTCAAACAAGTACTTCAACATCATGCTTTAAATGTTATGCCTTTGTAATAACATTCCTCATTTTTAAAAACAATACTTATATTGCCTAGTTTTATGAGCAGTTGAGGTTCTAGCCCAGCTGCTTATAAGCTAGCCATCTTTTGTGTACAAAAACCCGTTTTGACCTTGTTTTCTTAACTCCAAATTCAAAATATGGAACATCAGATATTGAAGAAATTGTCTACAAATATATCATTTTACCAGTTCTTTATACATAGAAAGAATAGAAAAGCTGTGCAAAAGTTTATATATGGTGGTGCTAGGCAATCAGATATGGATTTCACTGGTAAATATCTCTTGGGCCAATATAAAAAAAATTAGATAAAATAAAATAAAATAAATAAATAAATAAAAATAAATAAATAAATAAACAAACTATTTAAATACATAAACCAACAAACATACTTGTAAGATAATGGACACATTTTGATTAAGAAAATTGCCAAATTCTTTTTTCCTTATTTGGACTAAAGGTCCAAATCATGTTATTGTATGTTTGTGTCTAAGAATCCGAACTATTTAATGATTCATAAGTTGATGCTCATGCATCTTTTTTTTCCTCTTTTTACAAATAGTATTTTTATAATTATTTATCAGAAGAAGAAAAATATCTGAACCTTAGCCAGTGTTTTAAATTTTCACCTTCATAAAAACCACCAAAAGTTGGTAAATTATCTTTCCTCTGATGAAATGTACATATTGCTTTAAGTCCAGAGAGTCCATCAGTATAGCATCATAAATATACAGATCTAAAAAAAAAAAAAAAAAAAAAAAAAAAAAAAAGAAAACTGACATAGAACAAGAAATGTATGGCAGGTGGTATTAGTGAAATCCATCTCACGTTAACTCCTCCTTGTCCTACATAGTGATTCCTCTCAATCCTGACGAACAGTGGTCAAATGTATAAACGTGTATGAATTACCAAGTTTCAGTTGTAGTCGACTGTGTCCAGCAGGTGGCAGTACCATCCTGTGTTTGTGAACAGGGCACTCTATCCAAGATATAGCTGTAAAAGGTCACAGCATTCCTCATATTGATAGCAAGTGTCCACTGTCCACAGGTGTATTTATGTCAGGCTGCAGAAGACCGGTGCCCTGGTGCCACACCTTGGTTATTATATGGACACTCTTTAAGTGCTTGATAATTCTGCTGAATAACTGAAACTCCAGAAATATCATCAGTAAACCTTCATGTATCTGGGAGCTGTTCTTGGATTCAGAATGTTAACTTCAAAATCAAATTTTAAAGAGTAAGAATCAATATCAGGTGTATATCAGTTGGTGTATCTTTTAGTGTTCAATCTGGGGGGAAAGATTGCTGGAGTCAGTGCTGCCCTCGTTGTCCCCTTCAACCATAAGATGAACTCACTGTAAGATATCTAGGTCAGTCAGTCTCTAGGAATCATCTGGAACAGCCTGTATCTGTGCCTGATCTGTGGCCTCACATCCTGGCCCTGAAAAGAGAATACTTATTTTTGGAATGGCCTGTATTTGCATTTTATCTGCACACCCGCACTTCAAGCCAAATTGAGAAGAATACAGTTAAAAGTATTCATCTAACTGATCTATTTTTGTACACAAGTTTATACTCTAAATGTTCTTTTTGATTTGTGTTGAGGCATATTTTTTAAAAGTTAATATCTGTACTTTTTGGGGGTTTAATGAACAGGTATATGTAAATGGCATCAATAATCAAAATGCTAAAAAATTGGAACAAATAATAAGTGTATCAGGACTGGCAGTCAGAGAACAGAGACAACTTACCATGACAACTAAATGCTCAAGAAAAGGTAACAACTTCATCAGCTCACGGTCCTCTCTATCTACAAACCAACTTTCAATTGGGATGCCATTATCAAGCTGAAAGTAAAAATATCTTTAATGTATTACTCAAGAAAACATCTGAAGACAAAGAGTCAAAAATTCCAAGAAATGCAGCAATTTTTATTATTCTTTATTATTAATTAGTTATAGAGTTTAGATGACCACCTATTGTAAGAATTGCTCCATTTGGTAATTTATTGCCTGTGGATAGTTCTTCACTTAATATGATTTTTTTTTCATTTACCAGGAAGCCAAATGCCTGTGGAGAGCTGTCCAATTATTACAGAAAACTGTACCTGGTAGCCAAGTGCCGGTGGAGTTTTGTCCGCTTATTACAGAAATTACTGTACCTGGTAGCCAAATGGCTGTGGAAAGTTGTCCACTAATTACAAATATTGCTGTACCTGGTAACCAAATGTCAGTGGAGAGTTGTCCACTTATTATAAATATTACTGTACCTGGTAGCCAAATGCCTGTGGAGAGTTGTCCACTATGATGGTTTTGGTAAGATCTCTGCCCAGGATGGATAAGTCTTTGATGTAATTCCCATTAACACAGACACAATGCTCTCGGAACAGACGATGTCTAAAAAAGGTTAACAAAGAGTTCAACAAAAGGAAAAATTACATAAAAAAATCCAGCTCTAATTTCAGGATCAAATTCCAACCCTATAATACATGTCAATCTGCTGATACAATGCATATACAATAAGCTTGCTGTAAATATGTAAACAAGTAAATTCTGACAAGATTAGAATACTTAGTCCATGTAAGGGATGTAATAATATTATATATTTTCACAGCAGAGTTTATTTCTCACCTGATCAACTTTTTCTCTGGGTCAAGGAGATTCATCAGTTTATCAGCATATACTTTCTTTGAAGCAGTGAACAGTATAACTTCAAATATCTTAGAAACATGTTCCAAGAATTCTCGGAAGAAGGGCCGAGTCCTAACAAAGACCTATCATAGTAAAAAAAAATTAATATTTAAAATAAAGGAAGTTCTCCCTCCTCTTATCATGGCCATCACTAATCTATTTTCATTCCACATAATCACTTACCCTATACATTATATTTTCCTTCCTGATTTGTGTCTAATGACAAAAATAAGTTTATGATAAATACCTCCGACATTTAATAATCTAATAGTATAAACCACCTTTACCTGGTAAGTAACATCTTGAAACAATACCGGGAATGTGAATGCTGCATCCTCTAATTCAGTCAGACTACAGTGGACCAAAGTCTCATCCTAGAATAAAAATCAGATATCAATATGGAATTGGGACTAATTAAATTGCAGTTATAAAATTCAACATGCAATAAAAATTAAACATTCCAAAGAAATTAGCAAAATAAAACTTTAACCCATGGAGAAAACAACAAAATGTAGCTGCGGGATCCCGCCTAACGCAACAAGAGAAAATCAGTCCAGAAATGTTCCATGATTAAATTCAGGCCCTTTTCACATCAAGCGGTATACTTAACGGGTATAGTTTGTACCAGTTCACTTTGACAGGTAATAACATTATAAGGGGCTTTACTCCCTTTCACTAGTTTTCTACAAGTTTGCTGCCTGCTGTTGGGTTGATAAATTAGCCGTAACAAGCACAGAGGGCCTGTTTAGGTGACTCTCTTATATAACAGCCAGGCTATTCAGTTGTCAATCTCTAAGTGAACCAGTACAGACTAGTTTAGTATGCTGGAATGTGAAAGGGGCTTATCACAAAACGACTTAACGAAATAATGATCAAGTAAACTCTAGATCTCACATTTCCATCTAAACATAAATACCCATGGCAACTTAACTGTCAAGAAAAGGTTTTACAATTTTTAGATGAGAGCATCAGTTTTCATACTGAGAATAACAAACATGAGAATATATGAGTCAAGGCACATATCAACAGTTTCTAATTAGACTGTCTTACCAGGTCTAGCACCAGTGAGAACTCTGGTGTACTGCGTGTCTTAAGAGGCAAGGCTGGTTGCCGCGCCCTGATTACCTCATCTACTGGTGGCAGGCGTTTAATGAACAGGAACCTGCAAGAGAAGAATTTTATGCCAACTAACTCATTTCATTTTAACTGAAATAAAAAACATAACAAACATATTTTTGATAAATCAAATGTCTGAAGTGTTTAAAAATCAATCCATTAAAATTGTGAAAAAAAAAAAATTCTGAATTTTCTCAATTTTTATTTATCCCTGAAAAAAGAGAGAGAGAGAGAGAGAGAGAGAGAGAGAGAGAGAGAGAGAGCACTTACGGATCAAATGGTTCAATATCCCATTCCTCATAAGATTCCTCTGCTGCCTCTTCCTCCTCATTGGTTGGCTGGTAATGGTTGACCACGCTATAGTTCTCATAGCCCTGGTAGATAGCGGGAGGACCAATGTGACACATCTCCCCATTATTTCCTGGGGTGAGACTTTCTCGACCTGAAAGGTGCAAATCATTGTATTCTTTTAGATTCTTAATTTATTTTCACTCAAAAGCCAGCAATAAACTATGTTCTTCACCATTCATCACATATCTAACCCAAGGCAAGAAATGTCTGCACAAACATTTGAGGTAAATTAATGCCTATAAATCATCTTCCTTCTTTCAAGATTATATCACAAGATAATGCCTTTCTAAACTAGTTGCAGGTACAAACATTACTGACGTCCATTAGATAATATTCTTTAAAACTTGACAGTAAAGCTATTATATTCAGTAGGGTATATTCAGACAATCAACAGAAAGAAAGTCATTCCCACTTTGATTTTAAGATAAAAAGGAACATTAATTAAACTTACAATGTAACAAAATCATGAAAACAATTTGTTTTATTATTGCTGTAGCTGGGGATCTTATAAAATATCTATTTGTATGAACTGATGCCATGTAATTTGTCTCGTTACAACTAACTCCTGATACAACCACATTAAGTTTAAACTAACCAGAACATGTCACTACTTAAAATAAAAACACTTCAACTATCTGCACTTGCTGATCTTCTATACATGGCAAGGTATATTGTGTTTGGTGAAAGGTTCACACACTACCTTTGTCTACTTTTATTCTACTTCTCGTGCTGGCTTCCCCTTAGTACCTTATTCTCCATAGATGTATAAAATAGAGATCTTTCTACCTTTTCTTTGAAGTACGTGACCATTAGATACTTAGATTTGAACAAAATTAAATACATAAAGGCTTACTTGAATTAGAGTCACTTTCTGAAGATTCAGTCGATATGTCCAAATCCAGCTTTTTGGCCAGTTCTGCAATTTGCTCATTTTCATTCTCGTCAATACCTGAAATTAATTCAAAATTTAAATTTCAAAAAATATTGCACTACTCACAAGAGCAATAAAGAAATATACATGAAAAGCTGCTTGTTCTACATATAAATATGACATATAACATTAGACTACCACTACAAAATTGTTCAACTCACTCTTAATGTGTTTGGCCACTATGTAACAGCCAGTATCACTATTGTTGTACACACAGCCACTCTGTGAACTCCTATATCATGATCCCAGCGTACTACCATCAGATACAGGAGCCCAGACCTGGCAGCAGCGAGTGCTCCAGTTCCGTCTACTGATAGGCAGCGCTGTAATCAATCTGGCTGCAGTATATACCACAGTCAATCAATACAGGGAACAGAATGCTACAATGCCTACTCCATATCACTGGCATTCCCAGCCTCTACCACTACCACACTGCTTCTGATGCTTCCATCATATTCTTTCATATTATGCTACCCTAACAACTAGTGCACTTGATGACCCTGGTTTACTGTGCCAGATTATGGTTTGCAAGTCAGCTGAGCTAAATGGGATGTTTACATGTGGTTTTCCTAAGCATGGAGGCCCACCACAATATTACCAATGTTTACACAGAAACGGTTCTCAATACGTGAGAGATATGCCTTGTCTTGATTGGGCATAAAAACTTGGTAAACATGNATGACATGGCGGCGGAGCCGGCGGAACGGACCGGACGGGACTTAAACCATGTGTACCGCCAGCGCTAACGCTGGTGGTACAATTAGACGGTCTTACCAGGTCTAGCACCAGTGAGAACTCTGGTGTACTGCGTGTCTTAAGAGGCAAGGCTGGTTGCCGCGCCCTGATTACCTCATCTACTGGTGGCAGGCGTTTAATGAACAGGAACCTGCAAGAGAAGAATTTTATGCCGATTAACTCATTTAATTTTTACTGAAATAAAAAACATAACAAACTTATTTTTGATAAATCAAATGTCTGAAGTGTTTAAAAATCAATCCATTAAAATTGTGAAAAAAATTCTGAATTTTCTCAATTTTTATTTATCCCTGAAAAGAGAGAGAGAGAGAGAGAGAGAGAGAGCGAGCGCTTACGGATCAAATGGTTCAATATCCCATTCCTCATAAGATTCCTCTGCTGCCTCTTCCTCCTCATTGGTTGGCTGGTAATGGTTGACCACGCTATAGTTCTCATAGCCCTGGTAGATAGCGGGAGGACCAATGTGACACATCTCCCCATTATTTCCTGGGGTGAGACTTTCTCGACCTGAATGGCGCAAATCATTGTATTCATTTAGATTCTTTATTTATTTTCACTCAAAAGCCAGCAATAAACTATGTTCTTCTCCATTCATCATATATCTAACCCAAGGCAAGAAATGTCTGCACTAAACATTTGAGGTAAATTAATGCCTATAAATCATCTTCCTTCTTTCAAGATTATATCACAAGATAATGCCTTTCTAAACTAGCTGCAGGTACAAACGTTATTGACGTCCATTAGATAATATTCTTTAAAACTTGACAGTAAAGATATCATGTATATTCAGACAATTAACAGGAAGAAAGTCATTCCCACTTTGATTTTAGGATAAACAGGAACATTAATTAAACTTACAATGTAACAAAATCGTGAAAACAATTTGTTTTATTATTGCTGTAGCTGGGGATCTTATAAAATATCTATTTGTATGAACTGATACCATGTAATTTGTCTCGTTACAACCAACTCCTGATACAACCAAATTAAGTTTAAACTAACCAGAACATGTCACTACTTAAAAACAAAAACACTTCAACTATCTGCACTTGCTGAATTTCTATACATGGCAAGGTATATTGTGTTTGGTGAAAGGTTCACACACTACCTTTGTCTACTTTTATTCTATTTCTTGTGCTGGCTTCCCATTAGTACCTTATTCTCCATAGATGTACAGAAAAGAGATCTTCCTGCCTTTTCTTTGAAGTTCGTGACCATTAGATACTTAGATTTGAATAAAATTAAAGAGGCTTACTTGAATTAGAGTCACTTTCTGAAGATTCAGTCGAGATGTCCAAATCCAGCTTTTTGGCCAGTTCTGCAATTTGTTCATTTTCATTCTCGTCAATACCTGAAATTAATTGAAAATCATTAAATATCAAAAATATCCCACTACTTACAAGAGCAATAAAGAAATTACATTAAAGGTTGCTGCATTGTTGTGCATTACCAGTATTATAATTGTTGTATCAGACCGCTATGTGGTACCCTGTATTACTACTGTTGAATGTGACCACCATATGAACTTTTATATCACCTTTCAGGCCCATAGTCTTTTATTAATAGGGGTGGGGGGAGGTGTCTTTTTTTTTTCTTTCCTCCACTAAGTTGACCCATTTTGTGCTTAAGGCATATAAAACCTAGATCAAATTTTGATTCAAACTGGACTTTTTCCAGCCAAATGGGGGTCATTTCAAACCCTCTGACACCCCCAAGGTTCCTGCTGTTGCCACAGCCTACCCTTATACATCTGTAGAAGCTTGTATTACTGTTGTTGTATTTCGCCACTATAAAGCCATAGATGATAGGCCACCACTATAACATTAGACTACCACTACAAAATTGTTCAACTCACTCTTAATGTGTTTGGCCACTATGTAACAGCCAGTATCACTATTGTTGTACACACAGCCACTCTGTGAACTCCTACATCACGATCCCAGCGTACTACCATCAGATACAGGAGCCCAGATCTGGCAGCAGCGAGTGCTCCAGTTCCGTCTACTGATAGGCAGCGCTGTAATCAATCTGGCTGCAGTATATACCACAGCCAATCAATACAGGGAACAGAATGCTACAATGCCTACTCCATATCACTGGCATTCCCAGCCTCTACCACTACCACACTGCTTCTGATGCTTCCATCATATTCTTTCATATTATGCTACCCTAACAACTAGTGCACTTGATGACCCTGGTTTACTGTGCCAGATTATGGTTTGCAAGTCAGCTGAGCTAAATGGGATGTTTACATGTGGTTTTCCTAAGCGTGGAGGCCCACCACAATATTACCAATGTTTACACAGAAACGGTTCTCAATACGTGAGAGATATGCCTTGTCTTGATTGGGCATAAAAACTTGGTAAACACGTTATATCAGTAAATGTTTTTATTTTCTATATATATTTCATTCTTACTCTATATGATTATGTCAAAACTTGAAGACCGTGTGTTTTATATTTAAGTGAGTGCTTTATTTGATTAGAGAGATATAGAGAGAAAGAGGGAGAATAAGAGAGAATAGAATTTGATGCCTCTGTGAAAGATTGCACACATTTATAAGAACTATGTTTAGAATGTTATGGCCAACTGATGCCCCAAGAGACCTAAACAAGACTGCAATGGAACAGCACAACATGCTGACCCATTGACAGGCAAATTAATATATTGGAGTTCATTTGTCTCTGTACAGATGTTTAGCTGAGGATGTATGACTACCTGTAACATCAGTACAAAAAGCTCTTCCCAAATCAATATTGGACTGATTAAAATAATATGCATTTAATGCAACCTTTTCTGCTTCAGATTCCAAAGCAGCTAACTTAGCAGTCAATAGCATTATCTGTTATCAATGTGACCTAGAGATTCCAGTATTATAGATTGGCGATGAGTGCGTGGGCTGCGGGTTTACAACTACAAACCAAAGCCACAGTAAAAACATGCTAGTAATCAGCCCATAAATATCCCATGTATATTGAACACAGTAAGGCAAAGTTGGATCACTTCCAGACAGCTAGCAGGTCAGACTAACATGAAAGTAATCTAACATATTAGGTACTAGCAACTGAATACACAGTAGTAGTGCTGCACTGGCACAAGCTGCTGCCTTGGCTCACTTTCTGCTACACATAATGGCAACCACAAAACCACAGCCAAATTCCATTTTTACAACAGCCAAAAATAAATGGGCTCACTATCACAGTTTCATACTGGGCTGGTGTTGACATATGAAATTTTCATTAACTGCTTGAACAAGTTTATTTTGGCAAAAAGGGTATGTTTTACCATTTTTCATAATTTGGTGAAGTAGTCTTCTTTTCCCCATTTCACATTTTTCTTTTGAGAATTTATAACCTTGTAACATGAAATTTACATATGAAATTTTCATTAACTGCTTGAACAAGTTTTTTTTTTTGGCAAAAAGGGTATGTTTTACCATTGCTCATAATTTGGTGAAGTCGTCTTCTTTTCCCTTCTTTCACCTTTTTCTTTTGAGAATTTATAACCATGTAACAAATACTGAACTTCAAACATCTAAGCATTTCAATAAGTTCCATAAGCAGCTGTTTTCCACTTTTTTCCATATCCCTATTTGCCCTTCTCTGTACAGCCTACTTACCATTTTGGCAAAAGGAGTCGTGATACACTGGAGAGAACAGGGTGTCCAATTTAGAGGACTCTGTGTTATTGTTTAAATTATCCACATCTTCACAGACTGCTTCTTTGACAACCTTCAAACCTGAAAAGAACGAAAATTTCAAAATGATAAACAAATAATATGCTTTCAGAGAGAAATGTGTTTTTAAAAGTCATATAATCAGTCAATTCTTTTACATCTCACTTCAGATAACAATTCTGGGTGACACAGATATGAGTAACAAATTGCTGCTAAAAAAAAGAAATAGTCAGGTGGGTATAATGACAGTGTTTCAGTACTTCAGATTTTTGAAGCATGGGTATTTTATTACCAATCTATTTGGTTAAATTGCTATAATCTGGCAGGGAAGGAAACAGCCCAACAAAAAAAGAATGCTCATGTCCCACTTCTTTCCTTTTTCTTCGAGTTCTCAATCCACAGATACAAGATTGGTACGTTGTTTCCAGCACAGCTTTAAAATCAATTAAATTACCTCCAAAATTATAATTTTCTTTCAGTAAAGGGAAATGACTACTCTAGCAAATGAGAAAAAAAAATTTAACCTAAACATGATACCTCCCGAGAATGCACCCGCCTTCTTGAGGAGAAATGCTGTTACTCTAAAAGAATAGCAGTAAAATTTGTGAGGGCTTCCTGCACTCTCTCTAATGCATTGATATGCCCATACATCCCAGGCAAACAGACTCCTTAAGGGACAGCTCCTCAGTTTTGAATAAATAACACATTATATAACATGTTCGTCACCAAAGGAAAACTCCCACCTTTGGCCTTCTTCTTGCGTTTCACCTGCCCCCCTTCGTGGTTGTTGTTGTAGTGGTTGTTGGCAGTGTGTGGGCTCCCTATGGGAGAACTGGAGATCAAGTTGGTGTCCACATCTTCCTTCCAGCGCCGCTTACTCGGCAGCTCCTCTATACCCTAGAACACAATAACATTGCATGGTAACAGAGAGCTTTGGGGTGCTTTCAAGATAATGTTTTATGATAGACATTTCCGGGTTTATCATGACAACTTTTATTCCAAATTTTAACTGCAGTGTGACTGTAAAATTACCCACACATGGAATTTTTTATCATAGTAGCACACAGCATTTTGAATTGCCAATTTTCATCACAATTTCAACTTCAGGCAACATTTAAAACGTCCAGTGTCAACACTTTCCAAGTAGCATCTAAAATATTGAACACATCACTTGAAACAGATATCTCCCAGTAATTTCCCATGAGCTAAAAAAAAAAAAAATCTTACCATCATTTGATTTTTGTCCTTAGTTTTCAAGGCTACACATGCACCTAATGCTATAGACCCAGTGGCTGCAGGCTCTGGAGGATCCTGAAAGCAGACAATCACGGAAATGTTAGCAAATATGGAAACAAGGCACAAGCCTGAGAGTAAAATACTGTAAGGCCACAAGAAAAGAAATGAGAAATGTACGTGATGACATAGGTTGTAACTTGACACATTAAAATGCCAGGTATTTTGTTCAGTAGTAACACCAGGTAAGAATGTCACCTGTATATCTGCAAGTGTACAAATAAAAAAAGAAAAAAATAAAAGATTCAACATGATTTATTCAACGCGTCAACTGTACCAGTATAATGTAACTGATATTAAATGAAGTTCTAGGACAGAATTCTATAGCACTACTGATTGTAACCTGCATGTTTTAATTATAAAAAATCAAAATGAAGACAAATATTGACCTGGAAAAAAATAAAAAGCTGCAGGTACAATATGCCTGCAATCAATCAATTAGCTTAAATCAAATGCAAACCGTAGTCATTTTGGAAAAAAATAAAACTAATGTTTTGTTCCCTCTACAACAAATTTGAGAGATATACTACAGAAATATAGTAAAACAAAAGATTTTTAATTCTTCTTTTCTTTGTTTTCAAAGCATTCCAGTAACAACCTTTCCATTTTTTCACTTATAGTGAACATGAACAACTGACAACACTAACCCTCACTCTTTTTAATTGGAACCAACACGATTTTTAGTTGGAAACAACATTCTATGAGGCATGTAGACCCCCCCCCCCCCTTGTCTACACCTTCCTACAAGGAGTATTAATCATTAAGCCATTTACACAGATATCAAGTATATTTCATACAACTCGTCCTCTTGTCAGCTCACTTCTTTTAAGGCCAATTACCTGTATTGAAGCTAATGATCAAATAGGATAAGGGTGAATTCAGCTGTAACAAGGTGTCATTCACAAATAAAAATCATTAATCTGGCTAGCATTTACAGCTGCTTACCTATTCTGTCACTAAAACAATCAAGGTGCAAGTTACCAGGTACAAACTGACATGTTGATGTTAACTCGGACACCTCGTACTCCAGTTCACTGACACTGTCGCTTTTGCCCCAGCAGCACACAGGGACACCATGCAACCAGTCCCTAGACCCTTATCATCTATATTAGCTAAGTAGCAGGAGTTTTATTTACTCCAGTTTAAGCGACCTACTAAGCACCTGTGCTAGATAAGATTAAACAGATAGATGCGATGGTGTCTTTTACAGTAATGTACCCAGGTTTAATATGCAGGGCACATTTGCGTTGCTGGTTAACCAGGTCTAATAGCCTTAGCTTTCGACAACACTGGCAAAATCAGAAATGCATTAGATGAAAGCAGATAAATTGTTTGGAACATGACTCAGCCAGAGTGGTCATAACATTTTCAAATTTAACCAGGTTATTTTCACTATTCTATCCTGGATTCAAAGCATGTAGTTGAATAAATACTTATCTTGGCTTTACTTGGGGGTTTAAAGTCGACATAAGCTATTTTACTCCTAAAGTGAGATTGATGAGCAACTGTTATTTGAACCAGATTTTCTATTTAGAGTAAATGCAGTGATGTAAAGGACTTGAAACTTTGCATAATGTACCTGCCTAAAATGTGTAATCTTGGTTGGTAGCGTGGCAAACACCCCACCAAAGGCATATATCAATTCTAGTTGAAATTATTCCTTCTACTTTAAGTGAGAATTCTCAAGCATCTCAATACCCATTCAAGACCATTTGGTTTTCAATATAAGAGAAAAAAAGATTGATGCTGACTTCAGCATTTAAAATGTAACTTACTGACAAAGTGTCAATATATCTGCTTTGGAATTATTAAAAAGTACAGTAATACAAGAATTTTTCTAGCATGTGTTTGTTGCTATGCCCGTATAGCGCACAAAGAGTTCTCAAGCATCTCAATACCCATTCAAGACCATTTGGTTTTCAACATAAGAGAAAAAAAGATTGATGCTGACTTCAGCATTTAAAATGTAACTTACTGACAAAGTGTCAATATATCTGCTTTGGAATTATTAAAAAGTACAGTAATACAAGAATTTTTCTAGCATGTGTTTGTTGCTATGCCTGTATAGCGCACAAAGAGAAATATGAAATAACAACACCGTAACTTATACCAGCATTTACTATCATGGCACACAAACCTTAAAGACTTATTTAAATTTTTACTTCTTTTCTGGTAAACAATCACCTCAATTCTGAAAAATTAATCTCAAATATATTCTGAAATTCTTTCTTTGCCTCTTCAACACAGTATGTTTGACCGAGTGTGTTCAAATAAGAAACTACCTTTTTCTGAGAGCTCTACGTATACACACCTGCGATTTGGCCAATTTTCTTTTGAGGCTGGTAACTCTTCCTATGTTTTCTGTTCGTTTCCCTGGCTTGTCCGGGGACTCTTGTTCAGCCCCAGCACAGCTGCGAAGTTGCATGGCATGCCACGAAGTACTCACATCATCCTCCGCTCTGAAAGACAAGCACACATCACATTTAGATACAGAAAAGCAGAAGACACACTCATAGGCAATCATTAGAAATAACTGAACTCAAAATTTTGTAAAGCATTGAATGAAATTTTTTTTAAGCAAGAATTTATGTAATTTTGCAAATAAAGTAATCCACAAAATACTCTTACAAGGAAAAGCATATAAAATATTCCAAAATGTGTGTTCCACTTCAGTCCACTTGCAAGTTTGATTTTCTTTGGAATAAATGCAACCAAAATATTGAAAACTGAAGTAAATTTCCACACACATAAATGCCCATAGATATAAACCAACAATATGCAGGACATGGATTGCAATTTTTTTTTTTTCTTAAAATTTGCCAGATATAAAAATGCTGCTGCTAATGAGCTATGAAAGCAATTGGTGTTCACGTTTTGTACAATCAATCTGTAGGGTCTTTTGCATCAGAAATCAGCTGAAAGGATGGATAATTTCAACTAAATAGATAAATGTACTCTCACATTTCCTCAACATCAAATATAATTGACATTTTTGGGAACAATTTTCACCACATAATAAATAGGACAAATGTTCACTAACTTTACCAACTGCAAAGCAGAACAAGGTAAATCTACAGCAAAATATTGATTTGTAGATTTGTGTAGCCCATAGATACAGTCAAATACTTTAACATATGGTGTGCACATTATATTCTCTGTTGAATGTATGGGCTAAGTCACTTTATTATAACCACAAATGTCAGATCACCAGATTCATACATGCATTTCATTGCTCTCCATCTTATTGAATATCAAATTACCTGCCACAAGTTACTAATGGGGGCAACATTAAACAGGTGATGAATTATTTGGGCCATTCACATTAGCAAGTAAATCGAGTCCAGTTAACTCCGATAGAATTGGGATTGAATAAACCCACTTTCTTTGCATTCAACAAGATATCTACAGGTTTTTGAGTAGAGATGAATTGTTATGCTATACAAAATATTTCATTTGCTCGTGTCAAGAATTATTTTTACTAAAAAAAAAAAAGCATTAAAATTTCAGCAAATATGTGCAGCAAGGAGAAAAAGCAGATTGTAGTTGTTACATGAAGCAGAGTCAAGGAAGTCTATGTTTCAGTGTTAGTACTGTCAGTATTTCCTGCGAAATCTGATGAATTGTCCATTTGTACGCATGCATTCTAAATGTGATTTAGATTTTATAGTGATAGAACCCTAGGCCTGGATCTGGGTTTATTTGGACAGCAGTCACAAGTTTGTAGTCAGTTCACATTTTAAAAAACCAGCCCCGATAGGACCACGATCAGGCCCTTACAGCAGCTGAAATTGCCAGTGTGAACGGTCCTACTGACATCAGCCAGAACTAGGTTACAAAAACATGCATGAAACACAAGTGATGCTGTCATTAACATTTTAACAAATATCATGCTACTTATCTACCTTCCAATAGTCCTAGGACATATATTACTTTGTATAAAGCTGAATTTCAATATTTCCTGAGGTATTAATTAAACATAAAAAACTATTTAGAGGGGGGGGAAAACATAATTCATTCATCCGAGGGTAATTATAGGAGTTAAGTGCCGATTAGCTTTCATGATAGACCTAAGTTTATATAACAACCCATTTATAAGCCTGCTTGTGTACCTATTCACATACCAACAGGTATATAAGCAAGCCATCAGTCAGTATATCGCTTGTCACTGATTTCATAAAACTATCCTCCAGCTACCAGTGTTATATGCTGGCTTATGATGTGTGAATGACACTTGACAAGTTATCAAGTTAATGAACAACAGTGCTTCCCTAAATGGTGCATTTATTGGAAGTTCCCATTTCTGCTTTCAAATTATTTTGAAGGAAATATTCAACAGCAACATTAAAAAAAAATTACAAGCTTGGCATCATTTTATCATCTGTAAAATGCTCTCCAATATTTCAGTGTCACAAAGAACAATGTTAAATTTAGGAATGCAAATACTAGAAACTCTTATTATGGCTGATGTTTTGAAGAAAAATCATAGTAAATTTGGCATAAAAAATTTTCAAAGCAAATATTAGACTTGCATTGTATACAAACAGTCAAGTGGGCGTTGATTTAGTTCACCTTTGTGAGGTGAGGTCAGCTTCACTTTCTGTCTCCACATACTTGACATGTGAAGCACTGGTAATCATAAAACTGGGACCAAAGTCTATGAAGTTACGTCACAAATGGAAGCAGTTCCATTTACAAAATATTATACTTCTTATTTCATGTAAATCCTACTAATTTCCAATTATGTTCAATTATTCTTAACCCTAAGACTTATCCAAAACTTTCACAATAGCTTATATTTTAACTGTATTAGGGCCTACTCAAAACATATGAAAATGTATTTCATGTTTCAGGCAATACACTCCTACTTAATATCAAATATTAAGATTATACTCAAGTGTCTGTGGTCTTTGTTACACATTAGTGTAGACAGATAGATGGTGACTGAATTAGTAAGAATTTTCAATCCAATAAATTGTATGCTGTTCCTCAATAAAAATGTCTTAATGTACATAATTTTTTAAAGAACCCACTTTCAAATGAACAAACAAAATATTAAAGCCGTCCTATCCGCTGCATCTCCAATTATATGAAGTCTGACACATAGTAATGATGCAGTGATTCATCCCCTGCTCCAGATGTCCAGATAAGGCAGTCGCATACTACTACATGTCCAAGCTTTGGGAGGGGTACAGATTAACTTATTAAAGCTTATCCACTAGCACTGGGCAGGCCAAGTAGACAGATGACACACTTGCCCCCAAGGAGTCACTCCATTTCTCCAGGTAGTTAATGTTATCCACTCTCTGCTGGCGGTAAACCACACAAATACTATGAGCAAGGTATTAATAGTGTGTGTAATGCAAGTATCAACATGTTGATTTAATAGCATGTCCGTACCTGTCTAATCACCTTTCTGTCCCCCCTCCCCAATCTTAAAACTGTCCGCGTGAAGAATATAGGCACTGGTGTAACAAAACCCAAGCAATGCCACTGCACTATACAGACCCTACATAATATGGGCCATATTTTACAACAGAAACCGGATACTCTTGGATAAAGAGCCTTTTTAATTTGTTTAAAAACTAATTTAAGTATAGGATAAAAAAATGATATACTTACATAGGTTACCTACAATCAAAACCCAAAGTCCATTAACCTTTCATATATATGTTTGACACTACAATACAACTTAAAGATTATATACCCCAAGAGTCTAGTTTGCATTTCATACAAAATCGATATCCAAGTGTATAGCATAATTGAAACTGACCCCTACCATGTTCCTCTGCTGTTTAATTTGATTGATTTTCTTGTTCCGCCAGCACCAATCCATACATTGATGTTTACTTTCCCTACCTGCCTTAGTTCTAACATAAATTAAGCTTAAAGTAACTTAGGAAAGACCGTGTATATATCTACCTGTTGACAACGCTCCTGTGACCTACATTCTCCCTGCGTCTGACTACTTCTACTAATAGCTTAGTCTTCAATGCTAACCCTGGCATAAAGCCAAAGCTTGGGATCCAGCCAACTTCAGTTAATTTTAGAGCAGGCTGCTTGCTGAATGAATAAGGTCACAATCAATATAGAGCCTTACCTTGGAATACATCTAAGGGAAAATGTAAAATAGCTTTGAATGTTAGACGGGATAAATCTCTGTAGAAATTTGATAAACTGCTCTTAGGACCAAGCAAACAGAGTAACTTTGAAGTTTTTTTACAGTGCCCTAGTGTCACTTATAATCAAATGTGAATGTTAAAGACTGGGGCATTTTTTCACACCTGACAGAAATTGGAGACTGGCCAATAAGGAACATCAAAAAACCAACTGGTTTAGGAATGTAAATGTCAGTCATGAAATACCTATAAATGGCTCTTAACAGTCCCTCATGACATAACAACAAAACCATCACAAAAAATACTACTAGTGTTCAATTTTCCAAAAGTTGTTCATCCAAGTTGTGTTGCACTCTTCAACAGCACAGCAGAAACCCAGTGCCAATCAAAAACAGGTAAAAACAACAGGAGAGAAGGCAAAGCAAGTGGACTGGTAGATAAAATTACTAGTATATCAGCAAACACCCAACTCATTCCATCCAGCTGCATCATGGATCACGACACCCTTCCTCTTCTACCTTTTCAGTTTGTTTCTTTTTATACAAAAGTAACCACTGACAAAGGCCAGTCTCAGCAATTGATCTTTAAAATGAATGTTTTCAATAGATAGTGCTTACTAAGTTCAGTTTGAATTAAATCCTGTGGTTGACTAAGTATTTGGGGCATATGGTATTTAGGCAAGTACTCTCTATAACTTACTAATGTCTTGTAAACAATAATTGCCATTAGGAATCATTCATATTACAGTGCT